CCTCAGAGAATATCCCGTGACACCGAATTTCACAAAAATCGATCGAATAGGAGCTGAGATCAGGCCCGCCACAAGGGGGGGATACTGGGGGGGAGGGGGATACTAGGTCCTTGGTACCGGGGCCCGGTCAACATGTCATGTCATGTTCATGTCAGTCCAACATGAAAGTGGGTAAGGGGGTCAGCGGAGAACTTTATCAGAATTCAACCCTTTTATCTATGCCACCAGCTACGCGGAATATGCTGAAAGCGCCAGTGGCGCCTATATAGAATTAGATATCGTTCCGAATCATTTTGGACTCATGTTAGAAATAGTATTTCCATTTAAATCTTCCGTCGCATTTCTAAGGCGCAATGATACAACTATTTGAACTCTCCGGAATGCGTGAGGTATCCGGCCGCATTTGAAGGCGTTTTGAAAACAGCCAAGTTCCGATACTCGGATTATCGTTTTGCATAGTTCATATTATTTTGTTTCCATTTCTAACCACTTGTTTAATCATAATCCTCCTATAAAAACCACCCATTTGCTAAATACAATTCTAGCTGAAGCGCACTTCAGCTATGCATTCACCACTGCAAAAATGTCAAAGGAAATCGACACGCCCAGCGTGCATGAATGCAGGCCCGCCACAAGGGTGGGATACTGGGTCCCTGGTACCGGGGCCTGGGCCCCGGAGGGGGCCCGTGTTACCCGTGAAAAACCACTACGAATTCACATGCAACCCTTGTTTCGTAAGAAAAAGTGAAAAATTTACCCTCAAAATTTCGCAAAAGGTGAATAGATTTTCAGAAATACGCTGGGGCGCTGTAGAATTCTTCTTAAATTTTCAAAGAAGTATACTTCCCGGAAAATTTCTATCTTTTTTCAAGATTTTCAGTACAGAGGGATATTTTTAGTAACTGCGTTTCATTTTCTTCCGTCGTAAGATGCTAAGAGTCTCCAGTCTGGGCATCCTCGACTTCAATGGCTCATGGCTCAACTCCCTTGCCATAGACAAACGAAGGGGGAGTCCAGGGGGGCCTGGCCCTCTTAGAGCTGAAAATAGTATCATATGCCCCCCCCCCAAAAAAAAATAAAATTTTCCAGATGTTTTGAATGCAACAATTCGCAAGTATTTTGTGCTGAAAGTAGAAAAAAAAACATAATTATTCCGCAGAAATTGATGGAAAAATTCTTTATGGAAGCTTCAAAATGCGTCCGATTAGTCGTATAAATTGTAAAATTTCTCGGGGGATGCCCCTCGGACCCCCCCCCCCTCCGTGCTTGGGGCCCGGACCTTAAAACTGGTACCAGGGCCCGAGATGGGATGTGGCGAGCCTGCATGAAGGCTATTTCCATTTAAATCTTCAGTCACATTCATACGGCGCAATGATACAACTATTTGAACTCTCCGGTATGCGTGAGGTATCACGCCGCATTTGAAGGCGTTTTCAAAACAGCCAAGTTCCGATACCCGGATTATCATTTTGCATAGTTCATATTCTCTTGTTATATTCCGTACCACTCGTTTATTTTTAATCCTCGTAGAAAATCCACCCATTTGCTAAATAAAATTCTAGCTGGAGCGCACTTCAGCTATACATTCGCCACTGCAAAAGTGTCAAAGGAAATCGACATGGCATGTCGATGCCCAGCGTGCATGGATTCTATATGCCTTCGTTCATCGTCTTTCCTTCCGTAACGCATGATACACGAAATAATTGCGTTTTTCACGCGAAAAGCGAAATTGAAAAGCTCAGATTTTGGATATCATGCGTTTTCATACGAAAGGTTCAAAATTTGAAATCCAAAATGGCGGGTACTCGGTACGTGGCCAAAAATGCTATCTCAGCCAGGCCCGCCACATCCCATCTCGGGCCCTAGTACCAGTTTTAAGGTCCGGGACCCAAGCACGGAGGGGGGGGGGTTCGAGGGGCAACCCCCGAGAAATTTTACAATTTATACGACTAATCGGACGCATTTTGAAGCTTCCATAAAGAATTTTTCCATCAATTTCTGCGGAATAATTATGTTTTTTTTCTACTTTCAGCACAAAATACTTGCGAATTATTGCATTCAAAACATCTGGAAAATTTTATTTTTTTTTGGGGGGGGGCATATGATACTATTTTCAGCTCTAAGAGGGCCAGGCCCCCCTGGACTCCCCCTTCGTTTGTCTATGGCAAGGGAGTTGAGCCATGAGCCATTGAAGTCGAGGATGCCCAGACTGGAGACTCTTAGCATCTGACGACGGAAGAAAATGAAACGCAGTTACTAAAAATATCCCTCTGTACTGAAAATCTTGAAAAAAGATAGAAATTTTCCAGGAAGTATACTTCTTTGAAAATTTAAGAAGAATTCTACAGCGCCCCAGCGTATTTCTGAAAATCTATTCACCTTTTGCGAAATTTTGAGGGTAAATTTTTCACTTTTTCTTAAGAAAAAAGGTTTGCATGTGAATTCGTAGTGGTTTTTCACGGGTAACACGGGCCCCCTCCGGGGCCCGGGCCCCGGCACCAGGGACCCATATCCCACCCTTGTGGCGGGCTTGCATTCATGCACGCTGGGCGTGTCGATTTCCTTTGACATTTTTGCAGTGGTGAATGCATAGCTGAAGCGCGCTTCAGCTAGAATTGTATTTAGCAAATGGGTGGTTTTTATAGGAGGATTATGATTAAACAAGTGGTTAGAAATGGAAACAAAATAATATGAACTATGCAAAACGATAATCCGAGTATCGGAACTTGGCTGTTTTCAAAACGCCTTCAAATGCGGCCGGATACCTCACGCATTCCGGAGAGTTCAAATAGTTGTATCATTGCGCCTTAGAAATGCGACGGAAGATTTAAATGGAAATACTATTTCTAACATGAGTCCAAAATGATTCGGAACGATATCTAATTCTATATAGGCGCCACTGGCGCTTTCAGCATATTCCGCGTAGCTGGTGGCATAGATAAAAGGGTTGAATTCTGATAAAGTTCTCCGCTGACCCCCTTACCCACTTTCATGTTGGACTGACATGTTGCAGTCTGCAGCCTACGCTCAACTTCTTTTCTCCATTCTTTGCTAACGTATAATACAGGAATAGTCGGCGATTTTTAACGGGGATTCCGAATTGGAGCTTAGATTTTGGATTTAATGCGTTTTAAGACAAATTGCCAAAATTTCCAAATCCAAGTTAGTCGGAGTGGCCTCAAATGCTATCCCGGATCCTGTTTGATTGATTGTTGTGCAACCTCGGAGGCAAGGGGTAATGGAGATGTTGCATGTGTGAGGAATTTGCGATTTGACTACTGATTTTTATGTAAAAGTTCGCGAGAAATACGATGGTGCCACCGGTTTACTCTGAAATTAACTCCCACGCTCAAAAAAAGCTATCAAGTTGAGGCCAAAATGAAAGGAATATCCCACGCTATCCTGAGAGTCCGCACCTCTACATTAAGACAAACTTTCCATGCGAAGATAGGGAGCAAATATACATTGACAGGGCTGCCACTTTATTTGGGGACTCCAAAACTGAAATCACGGCAACCCAAGATCCATCCATATAGGTCAGTCATTCCCGAAACCCAAATGAGAATCTTCTGCGCATGACGTCAGCATTACTGCCGCGAAAACCAGAAATGTCGGAAACAATGCTTTTCTTATGGGAGAGAACAAATTTTTCTTAATGAATCATTTAAATTTCTTACTTTTAAATTCTTTGAAGCTTTCTGAGTGTCGAAAGGAACGTTTAGAAATTAGCGTCAAGGGTTTCAATTCAGCTGAATTTGCGTTTTTATATTTTTAAATGATTTTTGAAGTCAGCGATGTAACAAGCCATCTAGTGGTATAGATTCGCGTGTAAAAATGGCTGATGCAGAGTAAACTGTAAAAATGAAAGAGCACAAATTCGGCAAAATCGAAACCCTGAATGCTAATGTCTAAACGTTCTTTTCGACACACAGAAAGTTTCAAAGGATTTAAAAGTAAGAAATTTAAATGATTCATTAAGAAAAATTTGCTCTCTCCCATAAGAAAAGCATTGTTTCCGACTTTTCTGGTTTTCGCGGCAGTAATGCTGACGTCACGAGCCAATGGAAAGGGGCTTACCCTGAGCGGGGAAATCTGCGCAATGACTGACCTATATGGATGGATCTTGCGGCAACCCTACTTGTCTCTGGTATTTGCTCCCTATATCTTTGCATGGAGAGTTTGTCTTGATGTAGAGGTGGACTCTCAGGATAGCGTGGGATATCCCCTCCATTTGGCCTCAACTTGAGAGCTTTTTTGAGCTTTGGAGTTGATTTCAGAGAAAGCCAGTGGCACCATCATGTTTCTCGCGAGCTTTTACTTAAGAATCAACAGTCAAATCGCAAATTCCTCACACACGCAACATCTCCATTGCGACGGAAAAGTTCAATTTTTGTTATATTTTCAAAATTCGAAAATCCAATTTGGCGGACGTGGCCTAAAATGCTATCTCGGTCCCCGTTCTATCTATTTTTGTGAAACTTGGTAGCAGATGGTGCCATTCGACATGAAACTCGATTTCTGTTGTCAAATTTGCAAAATTCGAGAATCCAAAATTGGACATTCGCTTTATCGGTTAGTACGCGAGTAGTGGAGCTCTCGTTGACCGGAAAGCGGGAAAAATTAAAATTTTTTAAAACATTCACGAGCTTTTACGAGCTTCTGGAGACAAGAAGGTATGTTTATGCAAACTATAAACAATTCAAAACACACACACTAGTCTAAAGTTGGCTGCAGGTGCTTGACACAAAGCCATTAAACAACAGAAAGAAAAAAAACGCAATAGTGTATTTAATACACTAAAAAAAGGGGAAAAAAAAACAATTCAAATCAGGAGAGGCCACATAACTCGCATTATGGAAAAAAATGATGCATTAATTTTCACTGCTCCCTCAAATTTTCCGCCACATGCAACGACCAATCAGCGTTGAGCGCGGTTCTCTGTTCATTCCGTTCCAGAAACATCGTTCCTTTTTTCCCATTTCACACCTGTTGAAGGAACTCATAAAACATAAATGGACCAGCCCGAAATCAAAACAAAGTATCGTACTGTCAGAATTTTCATGTCATTATCATTAGATTTTGTATGGTTTTGTGATTTTTCTTCCTCTTCATTGGATTGAAGATTCGCTAGTTTCATGAGTGATTTTTTTCACGCTCTTCAGAGATAGCACCTGGTAAGTTAAATCTGTTTCATCAATTTGCTGAACTATCATGGATGGACGTTGGCCTAGGACAAGAGTCAATGACAGCGCAAACAAAATTTACTCACATCACCTTTCTCACATTTGTGGTCTCCTTATTCTTCGTATATTCAGTATAACGAAACATGAACCGTAGTTTTGTCTTTCCAAGTGAATGAAACATGATAAAAAAAATTACTCCCTGAATTCATTCGGACGAAGTTTCACTCGCAAGCACCTTGAGTCTAATATTGGCACTGACAAGGTGGGCAATCGTTGAAATTTTGCCTGTTTTCTTGACTGCCTGTGTCCGTAACTTGTGTGGCCACGGAATTGAATCTTGAAGCTGAAGTCTGCATGTGAGTGCATCATGTCAGTTTCAGTTGAAACGAAAGACAATGTACCTACAATTGCCTTAGCGTGGTTGATGCAGTAAATATGTTCTAATCAGAAAGATGTCTCATTCGAGTGATTTTTGAAATCAACCCAGTTTGCCTCGCTTGTTTATTACAGTCATCAAATGACCTAATTTTTAAAGCACTACCCTCTTACTGAAGATTAGGCAGGTAGGCAGAAGTCAAGCTAATTTGTTGTAAGATTCGGTGGACAAAGCTTAAATCTTTGTAATATTGCACATGCAAATCTAATTTGTTTCGGTATACTTATTGTAATGTATCAGAATTTGAGAAGAATACCAAACGCAATTAATCTAAGATTGATGATGTCAAGCATATGAACTGAGTAATTTTGCAGCGGGATTCACAATGGAACAAAGCATCCTTATCTAATTTTAAAACAAAACTTTTCATGCATTAAAATGGTAAATCTTTAACTATCTATAAATTCTATCTGTATAGTCTCATGTTACTTACCCATATCTAGAATTTCTTGAACATAAGTTGGCAGCTGTTTACTTTCAGTTTGCATGCGACTGCGTTGCTGTTGTCTAATAGCAATCGAGGATTGACCTTGGGTGTCATCGTTTGCTCGCGCATAAATCAGTGACTGCACATGGCAGTCATATGTAAACCATTGCCAACGTATGTGATATGTGTTCGACAGGACATGCTCATACTTTCTAGCATTTACGACCACAGTAAGGTAGTAAATGGATGCAAATTTTTGCAAGACACTTTCAGGAGGAAAAAGGCTATTTTTTTTTTCTTTTTCAGGTTCTCATGAGAGTTTTTCCATACCACAATGTCCGATGAACGGAAAAAATCAATAAATTACTATCATGGAAAATTGTCTAGGGATGAAGCTGAGTCAATCCTTAAAAATCGTAAGTTCACGTAATTAATTTTGTCTCTTGCTGCGTTTAAGTTTTTAGACTTCCTAGATAAGTTCGCTGAAGCACTCAACACTTTTTTCCCTCTCACTTGAACTGTAAATGGCTGTAAGTTTGTTAGAAAGTGCTTTAAGCAAAAGTAGAATTTTAAAGTCAAGTGGTGCATTGAAGCCTCCAGTGTGAAAAGGAGAAGAATGTCATTCTAGAAAGAATTAAAGCTAAGATACTTTTATTCTGAAGAAGAAGAAGAAAGAAAAAAGTTTAACAGAGCAATTTGATCTCAAAAAGTAAATTGTCAGCATTGCAATGTCAGTTTAAACTTTTCATGAGCTGTGAGACTGATCATAACATCTCAAGTTTAAACACTCTCTTTTGGAAATCACAAAATGTCACTTATTTCTCTAACCATCCAGAGGTGCAATTCAAAATTCAGAGTTTACATGTTTCTATTTTTCAGAAAATAGGTTTTAAATCTAGCATTGTCCACTATATACCAGATAGAGCTCGAAGAGAACTTGGAGATCCTAGTTCCTCAGATTGATTGCCATGGTACACGGGTGCACGAAATGATCATTTTTTCTATCCAAATGAAGAGAGTATGGAAGAAATTCCAATCTGAATCGATGAAAAAAATCATGCAAGGAAAATGTTGATAACATGACCACTGAGGAAGCATTTTGTGCATTCATTTCAGATCATGATCAGAACGAGAGACAAAGATTCTATTTCCAAAGTTGTTAAACATTTGTGTAAAATGTTCTATAGTTAGAAACTCATTGTTAGCCCCCCATCGATAGTGAAATTGCAGTTATGGGTAGCCAAAGTGCGAAACCTTTTATCTCCATTGCGATGTTACAAAATTTCTGCTCCTATTTCATTTTCTCAGGGAGAAACAAGCCAATGTTGTAGCTCAAAATTTATACAGAATATTCTGCTGAAAGGGAGGGAAAACCGATGGAGCTCTCAAGAAATTACATTAACTAGTTTTCCAAGCAGAAAACAAAGTATGACAGGAAGTTTGCATCGTCACAAACAGAGATACTAGTTTCACACTTTGGTCTGCGATATGTGTACTTTGATTTGCAGTGTTTCAGTCCTTACTTTATTCTGCACAATGAATACTACTTAACATCATTTCTTGAAAACTTCGGTGATTTTTTTCTTCTCTATGTGAGGAATATTCTGTGAGAATTTCAAGCCACGATGGTTGATGATCTCCTTTTTGAAAATAAAATTGGAGTGGAGATACTTAAACGCCACAACCAAGCTGCGTATTTTTGCAGTTTCAACTTTAATCTCTACTATTATTCCCTATTTTAATGTCTCTAATACACAAGTTTATTGATCTCTAGATGAAAACGCTGAAAATGGTCTTTTCCTCATTCGACTGAGCTCAACTGAAGTGGATTATGTTCTCTCTGTGCTGAGAGACAATAATGTCATCCACTATCAGATTTTTCGCCACGGTGAAGACGCGTTTTTCTCGGTGGAAGAGCAAACTGTCATCCATGGCCTAGAAACTTTAGTTGAGTACTATCAAGGAGATGGTGCCAACGGTTCTGTCTGTCAGCTGCGGTCCTTTGTTGAAAAGGATCCACTTCCCCATGATACTCGGCGGCATGGAATAACAAATCTACTACATCGCGCAACGAAAGAAGGTAAAATCAGTTTTCACAATGGAACCCCTATTTTTAGTTTTAAGCAGTGTTGTACGAAATGTTCAATTGCTATAGTCCAAGTGGAGTCAAAGAACCTACAGGAACAGAAGTAGGTAGCCTAGATAAAGTTGGTTTTAAGAGGTTTCTAATAGAAAACTAGTTTTAAAAATACTTAAACACAAATACTTGAAATGTGTTGCTCTCAAAGGCTTAAATTTCATGTTCCTTTCATTATCACTATTTTTCAGTCCTAAATCAATTATTACATTTTATGGAAGGGGTGTATGAAAATGTGGAAGGAAGAAAACTTTTCCTCAAAATTCCGTCAAAATTTGAAAGTGAAAGGAAAAGAATGAGAAAAAAGTAATTACTTTTGCAATTGTTTGGAAATTTTGTGGAGAGCTTAATATAGATTGCTGGCAGGCAAGTGCATGAGAATGTGGAAGCTTTTAAGATTCTGCACCTGTGTAGTTTGAAGTACCAACTCACGTTGTCGAAACTTGCGTTTAAATCTTTTCTTGTGCTATCTCTTATGAGATAGTTTAATTGAGATTTGCACATCATTCAATCACTCTTCTTTAATAGGGATCTTTTCAGTATCAATTTTCATGTTTTTACTTGAATAACATGTCGGAAATTTTTTTTCAGGAAATACCGTGATTGTGTCTGAATTACTGAAGTCAAGGACGCGAAATCTTGACGCCAAAGATGAAACAGGACAAACAGCAGTTCATCTGGCAAGTCGTGTCAGCAAAGATGAAAACAGAATCGAAAAGGATGAAATTTTAGAAATGTTACTCATTGCGGGGGCCAGTGCCAACTGTCGAGACATTGACGGCTACACACCTCTGCATGTAATTATTCTTATTTTTCATCCATAGCTTAGCTTTATATTGAGGAAAAGTTTGTTCTTTGTAATTATTTGGGATAATCATCATCTTTTGTTTGTCTTTTGATGGCTCTTTTCAGCATCCACAGCTGATGGAATTTTGAGCCACATTAACGGTCATGAAAACGGAAGGTTGAACAGTATATTAAGGAAATATCCCATTTGTAGAGAAAATATTCATGACTCTCCTCAAAAATAAATATTTTATCAGGAAGCATTCGGCAACTCTCGATGTTTCTACAGTGTTTTTCCTAAGCACAGCAGAATATATTTACTGTGTTTCTCAATTTTTTAAAAGCCATGAAAAATAATTTTACAGTTTGACTTGATTCTTATTTTGCACCTTAAGACCATCATACTATGATTTCAGTTTTGTGATTTTTCTCATTTATATTTCTTTTGTTATTATTTTGATCATTAAAATTTCCGTATTTTGTGTTCTGCGCTTTTTTTTTTGTTTGTTCCCTTTTATTGTTTTGATTTCTTTCAATTTTTATTTTGTTTGATTTTTCACCTCTTTTAGTACGCTTGTCAAAACAATTTACCGTCCACAGTAAGGATTTTAGTTGAAGTTGGTGGGGCAAACCTTCAGTTGAGACACCCTGAAACAGGTATTGTTTTTAGTCATCCGTAGGTTTGTTGTAGATTAGTCCCATTATTTAATTTTTTACGAGTAATTGCTTTTAGATATTTTTAAAAGGAAAGAAGAACAGAATAGCTGATCTTATTTTAAAATTATAATGCAAGAAATAACAAAATACAAGTGTTCAAAGAAGATAAAATGAGGAATATTCAAGTTATTCTATCTTTCTACAGATGCACATAGATGTTTGTTTAACGAGGTCTTGATGAATTTCACAATTTATGTTCAGGATCTTCAGTGAAATGGTATGTTCCGCAATGATTTCCTCCTCCATGAAATACAATCAAATATCTCTAAGCTGGAATGCATCAGGACCAATGGCTCATTCTGATTTGGTTATTTTGGTCCATTTAAAGATTTTTTTCAAAATAGAGTGAAGCAAAGAAGGAAAAGGCTCGTCTTCATGGAAAATTTGGAAGAGTGAGGTATAATTTTAGAAAATAAGTGAGGAAATAAATGCTAGATGATATGATGTATCCTGCAACATGAAACTCCCGCAACTTGGTTTTTAAGCACCTGCTATGTTGAATGACTCTGGAGATTGAGTAACAATGCCGCATACTGTTTTAAAAATGGCTGTTGTACTTTTGAATTATACTTTGTATTCTGATTTTAAGTTTTTATTTCTTTCAGCTTGGGTCCCCCTCCATGAAGCAGCTAGCAGAGGTTTTGTGGACGTCGCTCTTGTGCTCTTAAGTCTAGGCGCTCCCACCAGGCCTCGAACAATAGACAATCTAACTCCAGCTTTATTGGCACGTGCAAACAAACACTTCAAATGCGAGGACTTGCTTGGTAAGTATTTTTTCTTGGAAGCTTAGTGTAAACTTCCACACATGTTCATTTTGTTGGAAATTGATCAAAGTAACTTTCTGTCAACATTTTATAAAACCTAAAGACAGGTTGGACCTCATTTTATAATGAGCAACTATTGTCTCTGACTCATCTTATTGTGTCATTTATCTACTCATGAACATTGGTGCTTTTGTGGATGGGCCAAGAAAAGACTGTGAAAAAAAAATTGTGAACTGACCCGTACCGAAATAATATTTATTGTTTACCAATGCTGTACCTCTCTGTACTAAATAAATAAATAAAAAAAAGGAGCCCCTAATCGCAAAATGCAGTCCAATTAGTGACGAAATTAGAAAGAAATGTATCTTAAGTTGCTATGTTACCAACATCATCATATATAAATTTTTAAAATGCATCCTATCATCTTTACAGCATGAAACCTTTGTGGTAATTTTTTTCTTTGCTCTTTGAAAAAAAAAAAAAAGCTGTAAAAATTGTGTGCGAAACATTTTTGCAAATTAAAATTTAAAGGGAGTCTTGACTATAATCAACATCGTTGTATCTATAGTTTCACCAATGATTTCATATACTTGATCAAACTTTTTTTTCATTACTGGTAGAAAGGTATTTAAAAATTTTCTAAGGCTCAGACACTGAACCTGTAAAAGTCAAAACTCACATGAACTTGCAATTGGACTGAGTTAAATGGAAATGTACCAAGTCTTATTATGGGAAAAATGTGTCATAATTTGTCTTCTGTTGAAAAATCTTCGTCAAACATTATAGTTGTTAAATTTTGTCCTTAACATTGAGCCTTAAGGAGGAATAAAAGTTCGAACCTCTTTTTCCCAGTTCAAACTTGATGCGACTTGATGCATTTTTTGTAAACCCTGTTCAATTGAAAAATCATAATTATATTCTCCTGTCTTTTCTATCTTTCGCAAACTCGTGGCACATAAAAAAGAGAAAGAAAAAATTTAATAAGTCTTAATGAGGCAGGCAATATAGTTTTCTGTTAAAAGAATAAAAAATGAGGAACAATACTACCTAATTGACAATTTAGGCGAAAGTGATATAGCAACTTTGCTGCATTCTATACTATAAAATATGTGAGTTTTTTTTTTTCCCCCCCAATTTGGCATGGGAGCGCTATAATGACGCTAATCCACCCTTTAAATCACAAAACTGGCGAAGGCTTTTCTTCATCCTGCAAAATGGTCAGTTGGCAGGTAGGCAGTATTGATCTGTAGCCATCGATGAGAGAAAATTAGGCGATGTGGTGAAATGCAGTCAGGCTGATTGAAATTAAATCTATCAAATTGATTATTCAAACCTGTGTGTGATCAATACCTTGTTTGTATTACAGCTCAGCACCGAAATCCTGAGCCAAAGAACACAAGGGCCAATTGGTTCCATGGAACATTAGAGCGGAATGAAGCTTTGCCTATATTTGAGCAAAATGGTTTTATTGATGGCATGTACCTTGTACGATTCAGCGTCAAGTCAAATAATCATGTTTTAACAATGTGTTGGAACAAAAAGATGCTGCATTATCAAATTTTAAAACAGGTATTTTTCGATTCTTACTCAAAATCAAATTTTGTAGCAGGTAACTTGTTGCTTTTTTCGTTGCATGTTGAATGGATTACTAGACAGGGTAAAACATGTAGCATTACAGCACATATGTTCTCATCCAAGTTTCATGCAGAGCATGTCAACATATCAAGGTAGATTTACACAGGTATGGAAAAGTTGAAAATTTCCCATGAGCCTCAGTACGTGTCACATGACCTCGTGACGTAGGTTAAGGGGCCCGTTTTTTAATTAAATTACAATCAAATTAACATTCAAACGTTTGTGCGTTTAAACGCTAAAATTAATATCGTATAACCAAAATTGTGAAAAAAATCCCACAAAATTTTGACTAACGATAAACCGAACATAATGAATCAAAATAATCAAAACATCCAAAATGGCTGACGTTAAGGGGCCGCTGGAGAGCCAATCAGAGGCCAGTTGTTTAGTTCTGTCCATACCTGTGTAAATCTACCTTGTCAACATATTTAGAAATTTTCTAATTAACTCATAAGCAAGGAATTAACTTCTGACTTTTCAGTAAATCAGTAAATGTAAATTTCCCGTTCATGGAAAAATCAACAATCTTGCATGGGATTATTACAATTTTCCGCCACAAAAAATTAAGAACACAAGAGAATAAATTTTGCAGGTGTTGAGCACTTTATGGTAGTCTTGTACCTACCTTAAGGTTTAACAAAATAATTTTGTATTCCCTACAGTTGCAAATCATCATTATCCCTTGCAAAGGTCAATTTTTCAAGTTATTCTTTCGAATTTTACTCGAGATGTGGCAAAATTGTCCTTCCTTTGATGCTATGTCAAGGATCCATTTGAACCTTCCTGAATCACAATGTGAACCATATGAGGGCTCCTCAGTAAAGGAGCCATGTAACATGTTGATCGACATGCAGGTTGACTCTACTAGTATGGATGTATTCCTCAAAGACCAGCGCTCGCACTGCCAATGCAGCTGTGTCAGCCGAACCACACAGATTGCTTTTTCTTGGCATTTTAGTAAACTAGTAGCACTAGGTACTGAATGAGTGAATTCACAAACGTCATTTTTCTTTGAAACTTTCTCAGCGCACACCATTCGATCTTTTTGTGTTTCCGTGATCAGTAGGCAATAAGTGCCAAAACACGAAGGCAGTCAACATGTTAAGGATTGTCCATGAATACCCCCTACACATGATTGTCCCTTATACATGTTTTAAAGTTTTTATTTTGATTGTCATAAAATTTACTTTTTTATCAGCAAGAGTAAGAAACTGTAAAATCTGAAGGGCATAAGTTAATAGTGTTATTCATTAAAAATCCAGTGTATCAAGTTTAATATTCTCTGTTAACTATGGCAATATATAGATTTTATTATCGGAAAATAACATTAATTTCAGGGTGACTTTTGGTTCATTGACAACGGCCCATATCTTGACTCGCTGGAGCACGTAATTGAACATTATTCCAAATTCTCGGATGGTCTGCAGATGTTACTCACAAGACCCATTCCACCGGCTCCAAAACCGCCTGTACCAAGTTTTCCTCAAAATTTGAATAGAGTAATTTCTTTTTTCTGTATCATCTTAGTGCTTTCATCTGGTTTTACTCATTTTGTGTCAGTTAAGTTTCTTTTACTAGGAGGCTTCCTAAAGTCTAGAATGTGGAGCAAGAAGTGGTCAAGAAAAAACTTTTCTTTCTTAGGATTGCTACAGTCAAGATGAATATCTAAACATCTTGGTGAATTTTAAAAAGGCAAAGAAAACTGGGAAGTGTCGAGAAAAATGACGAAATTGTCAGGGATAAATTTTTTGATTAATTCTTCAATCACATTTATATCGACGGTGAAAGTTGACAATCACATAACTCGTTTGCGGTGTCTGAAAATCTCCGCCTCTACGTCATTTTTTTAAAGGAGAACAAATTGATATTATTTCTTGAAGTTTTTGCAGAATTTTCTTCGCATTGAGAAGAAAAATCATGACAGTTTTAAAGAATTGCCGTTGAGTAATTTTCCATTTAAAAAATAAAGTATGACAGGAAGTCTGCGACGTCACAAACCGAGTTATGTGATTGCCGACTTTCACCGTCGATATGCTTTTCAATGTATTTGACATTGCAGACAACAACTATTGTATGCTTGTGTTGTTTCTTTATAATCGTTGCTCAAAAGACCAATCCACACAAGTAAGTCATTCGCATAGATGCTTTTTAAGATCCTACTTTGCATTGGGACGAGAAGCTTAAATGCAATTTATTTCATATGGGAGCAGCCAATGCTATGTCACCTTGGCTGCGGTTGAGCGAGGGCTGACTGGGGGACAAGCCTCCAAAAATATGCACAATGACTGGTTTATGTGAATTGGTCTTTATCTCCAAATGTCAGAGAGTTTTTGACCAAAGAGGTCTGTGCAAAAACGGCAAAATCCGCCCACCCTCAGATTTCAACCAAACTTCGGATTTTGATAGGCCTATATGCCAATAGTAATCCCTGAAAATTTCAGCCCCCAAAAATAATTACAAGAGGGGGGGCGGGGGGTCAAAGTTGGAAAATCGTGCAAAATTCAAACTGCTATATCTCGNCTGAGGGTGGGCGGATTTTGCCGTTTTTGCACAGACCTCTTTGTCAGGGAAATAGGAGAAATGTCAGGGAATTTTATTTTCTAAATTCTGCGGCAACCCTGTTTTCACCTTGTTTTTTGCCTGTACAAGTTTGTTTTATTTTCCAGCAAGAAGGTACAAAATCAAAATTAATAATATCATTTCTCTAGTCACTAGCCTTTAGTTTTTCCCCCCAAAAATTTGACTAAGTATAAAATGTTTGAGAGGAGTATTCCCTTCAACTTGCGATTAATTTTTAAATTTCATTTTATAGCTTGAACTGATAATGCGCCCATGAAATGCATGAAGATTCACTACCCACAACTTGCATTTGTTTTTTTTTTGTTGATTCGTTTATTTTTGTTTCATTTTTCTTCCTTTTTTCAAAGTGAAACATCTACGTGAGGATTTTTTCTTGTTCTCAAGGTACATTCAACTACAGGTATGGACAAACGGGGTGCCAAAGTGGCAGCGCTGAAAATAATAGGTCATTGAGTGATGTTGCAAGTTGTACCATCTTTGCCGAGCAATTCAAAATGACCTCAAGTCAGATCTGATAGCTTCAATGAGCTATCAGATGAAGTTAAAAAATTAGTGAAACTCAAAATAACGAAAACCTCAACTAAAAACATGAAAAAATAACACAAACTTGACGAGACCCTCTCTCTGAACAGACAGTAAACAAGTTTTCAAAATGGCATTGCAGTCGTACCATTGGACGCTGTCAAATCTACGCTTTTCGACGACTTTCTAAAATTCCATTTGTCCATACCTGTAGTAGAGTGTGCCTTGCTTGTTCTGCTCTCTCAAAACTTAGAAGCTAGGGAGGTAGAAGTAGATGATAAGATTTTCTTTGCTTTTTGGCCAGTCCAGCACACTGAGAAAAAAAATAAAAATTAACAATGTCAGCAAATTTGGGGAATGGTCTAATTTTTCAATTGTGTTATAATGCGTCACAATATTAAAATAGTAGTATGGTAGCTTTTAAATTTTTTTTTTGTGTGAATCTGCAATAATGTTTGTTTGTATTGAAATTTTGCAGCTGACCCCAACAACACTTCCAACAAAACACCGGAGATCCAGAGAATCTAGCACTGTTTCTGAGAAAAAACCCTCTCCGCTTCCATCGTCTCTGTCTCTTCCACGACGGTTGAAACCATTGCCAGCCAGTCCGTTAGGCCACCCTGTCAATGGTCATTCAGCTAGTCCATTTCCCTTGTCTCTCCCTTGTGAAAAGAAAACCGAGAAAGGTAAGTTCTTGAGACGCTTATTGGTCAAATACTTTTGTGTATAATAGTAGTTGCTGACGCATAGCTTTTCATTCACTGTTAATCTGAGTCAGCAGATAGAGCCATCATGGTCAGTCGATGAATTTGTTTTAAATTGTTATAGAATCTTTTTCTTGCCAACCTTCCAAATTGTTGATGCTTTTACAGCACGGCTGTTTCAAGCAACTGCTCATCGTCAGGTGTTTAAACAATTTTCTAAAAAACTAAAATTATCGTGAGTAGTTGTTTGGTTTCTGAGATCGCGATGTGACTGATGTTACTGATGTGACTCAAAACAGCTTTAGTGTAAAAGCATCAACAATTCGGAAAATTGGTGAGAAAAAGGCTGTATAGCAATTTAATAAATGTGATCAATAAAGTTAATAAAAGAAGTGAATTTGTTTTAAATATTTTTTGTGTGGTACAGTTAAGTTTAAATATAAATTTTAAATAAAAATATTAAAAATGAAGTAAATATTATTGAAAATACTAGATACTTAGATCTAAGCAGCTGGGAAAGGTGTTGAATGAAGTTCCATGAGAACAGTAATTAAAATCGTGGACACCTTGCACAGAACTCCTTGTTGCGGTGGAAAAGAGGAAAGCTGAGGATGAAAACTTTGAAATGAAGAAAACTGGTTCGCCTCAAAATTAAAATTGTGCATTGTCCTGTAAATCAGGGGATAGTTTAAGCAAAAAAAAAAAAAAAAAAAAAAAAGAGAGAGAGAGCTGTAAAAAAAGAAACAACATCCAAGAATTCGGAAAGTTTAGAAAAATGAAGGGTTTTTGAAAGAAAAAACGAACCAAGCAATGAAATCGCTCCCCCTGATTTAAATTGTAATTTTAATTACTTTTTCCCAAAAATTTTTCTAAGGTATATTTTTCTAAGGTATCAGGCAAGTGTTAAAAGGTATATTTGCATGAGATGTTAACATTTGTCTTTCCTTTGTATCACTGTGCCTTTTTTTATGATTTTTTTTTTTTTTTTTGCAGACTTTTTTATTCCATATGAGAATATCATATTAGAAGATACCCTCGGTGAAGGGGAATTTGGGTCTGTCTACAGAGGTATCTATCAAACAAGAGAAGGATACGAAGTAAGTGATTTTCTGGATAAGTTTTTCCTCCTTTTTTTTCTCTGCGAGGAAAGATGTTTGGCTTTAAGCTCTGCGTAGCTTTAGATGCATTTGTTGAGCTTTGATGTAAGAATAGCAAATTCAGTGTAACGCCTTTTGAAATTTTCAAGATTTTACAATCCTCAATTTTACTAATTTTTTCAACATTTTTTTCATACAGTTAATAACTTTAACTTTACAGTTATTAACAGTTAATAACTAACTTCGCCTAACATTTTATAATTTAGCAATTCAAGATTTTTAGGTAGATTTCGAAGAAATATCTACCTATTGCAGACGGTACGACCTCGTAATTTTCCGGAATTTTCGCTCAAAGAGCATCGATCCTGAAACCCTGAGTTGAAAAATGTGGGTCATAAAAAAAGTACGGTATATATATATATATAACTGGGATCTAACGAACCTTTGCGACCGTTTTTTTCCGGAACTATCCGTACGATCAAAACGAAACTAAGCATGGTTCTTCACTGCTATGAGGTCTAGATCAAGTTTCCTTTTTCGTGAAAATCGGTCCACCCCTTATCCGGAAAATCTCAAGTCCAAAGGGGGATGATTTTTCAAACTCGTCCGATCTTAGTCGGCGATACGTCAAAAAACTCGTCTCGTCGTGGCCTTCAAAACAACCTATATTCATCTACCCTCTAAAACCACCCCTTATCCTGAAAATATCAAGTCCAAAGGGGGATGATTTTTCAAACTCGTCCGATCTTAGTCGGCGATACGTCAAAAAACTCGTCTCGTCGTGGCCTTTAAAACAACCTATATTCACCTACCCTCTAAAACCACCCCTTATCCTGAAAATCTCAAGTCCAAAGGGGGATGATTTTTCAAACTCGTCCGATCTTGGTCGTTGATACATCAAAAAACTCGTCTCGTCGTGGCCTTCAAAACGACCTATATTCACCTACCCTCTAAAACCACTTCATATCCGGAAAATCTCAAGTTCAAGGGGGACGATTTTCCGACCTGTCAGGCTCATTAGGCGCAATTCTTTTCATAGAAACGATTAGTCGAAATCTACCTTTCGTTTCCACTGTGGCTGGAAAGCGTTTTTTTCAATTGTTATCTGTAAAAAAGAGGATTTCAATGGAATAATGCCTATCAACCTAGTACAAGACAATAGAGCTTCCTTATTTGCCACAGTGTCTGATTAACAGTGGACAGAATCTTATGCCCATCAATTAAAAAACCTCCAATTTGTATCTTCAGATCTAAAGCCATCTCAATGAACAAAAATTTGACTGGGGTTTTTCAAACTTTATGAAGAAGAGAACCCGAGAGCCAGGTTGTTTCTAAAATTGTTATTCGGATGTTCTAAATTTGGCAGGCACTCGCTTTTACTGCAATTTTTAGTAGGTGATTGTGATTTTTAGTAAACTTTTGTAGTTCTATGGAAGTATGTACGTTTTTTCAAAGTCTCGCAGGATTTTTCGAATTTTGCTGCTGTGTGGTTTGCAAACACGTGCAGTTTTTAGTGGTCATGCATTTATTCAATAGTTTTTTTGGACACTTGTAGGTAGTCGCATAGTACCTTACTGATCAGTGGTGTGGCGCGAATGATTGATTATCGATATCTTGGCATTTGAAGCTATGGTAAAGAATTGGTCACCAAGGTGTTCGCTGCGAACACCCTGACAATCAATCTTTTTTCATAGGTTTGAGTGGCGTATCAATCAATATATCGCAAAGCATGCCAAGCCTCTGTTACTGATGTCCCGGCTTAAGCATGTTTAAACACCTATCCTGGCCTATATGTAGTATAGGGACTTGGTGATGAGAAAAGAATCTCTTAAAATGAAAATTGTTGCAGTAAAATTCTTATCTGTGTTCTACTTCCAAAAATCAAGACTTATCACATAGATCCTGCGCAGTTGTTAATAAGATATTCCTGTACCCTCAGTGTCATTTTTTTCTTCTGTCTCAATCTTAATCTGTCCTAATTTTTTTTTTTTAGGAACCAGTAGCTGTTAAAACGTTGCACAAGAAGTACATGCTCTCCAATAAAGATGAATTTCTTCAAGAAGCCAAAGTTATGATGAATCTGAATCATCATTGTATCGTTAAGTTGATAGGAATTTCGCGAGGAGAGTCACTCCTCATGGTATGTTGCCTTGTTATTTTACTCAGTGTAACCTCCTTTTAGTTGAATATTCTGCGAGTTGGATTTACTGTATTCCCGAGCTGGTTCGTTTTCTCTTTGGTTGTTTAACCCTCAAAAACGAAGTGAAAAATTTTCAACCAAAAATTCTCAGTGTCAACCAACAGTCAAATCAGACAGTCGTATCCCAACTCGAGTTTCTCTCGGCTAATCAACAAATGAAAAAATGATAGTCACATTTGATATTCTTCTCATGGAATCAAGAACTGAAAGTCTAGCTTTTCATGTATCATCATGTTCAATGATAACTGTTTCTAGGGGGGTTTTCAAAATATATTTTCTTTGTGTGAGAGATACATTTCATTTTAGAACCCCAGAAGAGTTATATTGACCATTTTAAAATTCAATCAAGTTCTTTATTTAATTCCAAAGATAAAATATACTTTTAACAGCTTAGTTTGTTTTATTTTCTAAAGATTCAAGAGCTGGTACCACTAGGGTCAATGCTGATGTACCTAATAAAGAATGCCTCAACAATTCAACCTCGCAGCGATCTTCATTTATGGGCGTCTCAAATAGCTTGCGGTAGGTTTCCTCTTACTTTTCTCTCTGCAATAAATTATTTCTAAAGCCTAAAGAGTTAAACCTCAAAAGTCCAGTGGAATGCTAGTTGGATCGTATTTTGTAGAAAGGAACCGAAAGCATTCCAATGTTGCTGGGATGGTGCATCTTACATTCTTTACAATATAATTACTGAAATCATGAAAAAAATTAAATTTACAAAGGTAATTTTTGTCTTGAATTTATAGTTTATTGGGAGTAAAGATAAAACTTGTTTCGAAGATAAGTTTATATTTGCAAGGTAAAAAAAGTTGCACAATCGTGGCGACATTGGAATGCTCTTGGTTCCTTTTTTGTTGTCTGTAAGTAGTTCTGTGTGATATTTACCCAAAAAATTTCAATTCCAGGAGAGCTTAGTACCTTTCCCTTTCTTACATTCTTTTTTTGCAACAGAATTTAACTTACATCATTTTTACTGTTTCCTTTTAATCTTTTTTCTTCTTTTTTTCCCATTCGAACATGAAACGCCTTAAACATCACAAAGTAATTTCGAAGGACTTATTTTTAATCGTGTTTGATGTCTAATCGCAAAGTTATAATGTTTTTCAATTATTTTTTCCTTTTTCTTCATGTGCGTCTATTTTTTGGAATTTTGATAAGTTTCCATTAAAACTTTTCCCTTCTGCAGGGATGCATTATCTTGAAGAGCAGAGGTTTGTTCATCGTGATTTGGCAGCAAGGAACATCTTACTCGCTTCGAGGAATCAAGCAAAAATCTGTGATTTTGGCCTCTCTCGAGCCATGCAAGGGAATCAGCAAAATTACACCGCTTCACAGGGAGGCAGATGGCCAATTAAATGGTAAAAAAATTTTTTTTTTGGTCATCCCTGTATTTTTATGTCTTTGCAATTAATATTTTTAGTAATCAACTTCCTCACTATTATGTTACAACTAAATGGACCTCTAGACAGGGTATGTTTATGACCACAATCTTTTTTTCTCCATCAAAGTTTCACGCCAAATTAAGCAGATGCATTAAAATTTTCCGAAGTCAATCCATAAGTATGAAAATAGCCTTTTTTGTACTCACAAATTCCAAATTCCTGCTGACAAAAAAAAAACAAAAAAAAAACCAAACTCCAGTTGAGTTTCAAACTCACCCATCAAATTTTACGATTTTGAATAATTTTTTCTGAGCGCTTAATATTTTTTGAGAGGCTCCTAAGGTTTAAAAATTAGAATAGGAGAAAAATTCAGAAAGTTATTGTTCGTAACTGAAATATGTAAATAATAAATAAATTAAGAAAGGGCTCATGTTTTTCCCTCTGAAACTAACTATTCAAACCTTTAGAAGCTATTTATTTTGCCTATAAAAATATTCTAAACATTCAATTGTTCTTAATAATATTTTAATCAATCACTTCTGCTCTTTTCATTTTTAGGTATGCTCCAGAATCGTACAACAATGGAACGTTTTCCAGTGCCAGCGATGTGTGGAGTTTTGGTGTGACATTGTGGGAAATGTTTTCCTTTGGACAACCTCCGTATGGTGATATGAAAGGCGACGAGGTATGCTATGTTCAGCATTATTGAAGCCCCCTTATTGACAGAAGAATTTCCTTTTTTTCATACATAAAAAGGACTTCATACAGAAAATCAAGAATCCAGTGTAGGCTAAATTTAGGTATCACTTTATATGATAATATTTTCATGATCTCCTGAGTACCATGAGTTTTTCTCTGCGCAAATTTGAGAAGAGCATGGTTGCAAAATGAATTTTGCAACCATGCTCCTAACAGGCATTGACGTAATGGGCCTGTTGCCAATTTTTGCTGTAGCATAAATAAGAGCTGTTCCTTATAGATAATGTCTCAAAAATCACGGTGAGTGCATCGGCAAAGTCTGAAATGCACTCCTTACTTCACAATTTGCTCAAGAAATTTGCGTCTTTTTAAGCTTCCGGCTTCAAAGAAGATACTACAGCACAGGTGATCATTTCGTTAGAGGAGTCTTTTCATTCAATCCCTGCTCATCATGGCCAACGCCTCCGCGCGCAAGTTGAGGAGAGCACAAGGTCAATCAAGGCGGATATCTATCAACGCGAGAAAAATGTGAGTGTAAACACGCCGATTGTTATCTGGTGATGAGAATCTTCGTCCCGTCACATGTGTTTTGGTGGAATGGCGTCGGCTATAGATGTTAAATATTGCGCACTATCCTTGTGAGCAGGGGTTGGATGGAACGACTCCTTTAACAAAATTTTTACCTGTGCTGTGGTATCGTTTTTGAGGCAGGAGGCTCGAAAAAACGCAAATTTCTTATGCAAATTGTGAAGTAAGGAGTGTATTTCAGACTTAGCCGATGCGCTCATTGATTTTAGAGACATTTTCTATGAGAAACAACTCTTATTTTTGCTCTAGCAAAAGTTTGCAACAGGCTGATTGATGCTAATCGCATTTCAGTCCGATCACGTCACTTGAGCTTGAAGAATTATCTCAAGAAAAACTTTCAAAGTCTTGGATAGGAGAAAGAAAATTTTGCTGGACATCGCGGATACCATCATTTCTCATGACACTTTACCCAGGAATATTTGCTATTTTTGGATCTTCCTGTCTCCGAGGAACCTCTTTCTACCCCAAGCGCACTATTTACATGTCTTATTATGGTTTTCCAGGTGATCAATTTTGTGGAAGGAGGTAGCAGGCTACCGAGACCAGACAAATGTCCTTTCGAAGTGTACCAAATAATGGAACAGTGTTGGTCATACAATGCTCGTGACCGTCCTAAATTTGAGCAGCTAGCCAGCTTCTTCATCCCTCAGTATACCAATATGCATGACCTCATTCTGAAAACCGACATCAGTTAGTACCCTTGGTTTTTCTTGTTCATTGGTGATTACATGATTAAAGGTAATTTCAAAGTACCGCCTTCACTGGGAAATTTTGCGACTTGTGCCAATTTATACACGCAATCATGAAATAGAGAAAAGAAATGAGTTCAATAATAACCATAAACTTTTTGTGCCTTTTCTTCTCTCTTTAAAGTTGTTTTTTCATAACTGTTTTGGGCAGCATTTATCAACGTATTTATAGTCCAAGAATAATTTTTTATTGAAGCACCTATTTTCCCAGGGAAATCAGTCAAAGGGGGAGGGGGGTGTGATAGCATTTTTTGACGTAAGCCATAAAACTGGTTCTTAGTTTATCGACACCGTTTGTATTGAACTTCAAAAACTAGATTCAAGATGGAACCATATATAATTGTAAAAACAATGTAACAAAGAGTGAGTCAGAATAATGAAGGAGCCATAACGAGTTGGAGCATGGCAAGAAACTCCAACTCGTCAAAGAACTTTCTGAAATGGCAGGCATATTTTACCATGCTTTAATCCTTTCTTCAAAGCCAATTTCAGATTCAACTTTTTAAAATTTAACTCTACAAGTTTGAATTTTTTAATCTTTGTTTTTCGGCATCATTTTAAAATTGGCAGTGCCACCAATACTTTGTAAGGCTCCACTTGTGTTTTTTATACTACCAGTCTTTTTCCGCTGCTATTATGTGGACTCCTGTTGAAATTGATTCTGCAGAGAGAAGTCTTATTCAATTGGTAGTATTTTTCACCATGCAAATTGTTCTGATTGAGATAAAAAATGGATTTCATAAAATTACCCATGCTTCAGAAAGTCGTGCAGATTAAACGTCAAACTTCCCACTAAATGTCTAATGTGTTTCACTTTAGCCTAAGGATGTCTGATTTTCAATTTACAACTTATCAAATCAAATCATGGCTATCTCAAAGTAGGGAGGTGATTTATCGTTCACTTTAGGCTCATTTGATCCTAAATTTTTGGGCATTTATCCATTAAGTCGATTTTGGACAAATGGCGGCATTTTATGACCGAACTAAGAGTGAACGAACACAGATTTCTCTATCTGATCAATATAATTAATATTGTGCCAATTGTTGTTTAAATATTTGCTAAAGGTATGTACAGTGGAATATTCAGGAATTTCTAAATCGACATTCTGGAGAGAAAAATGGCATATTGTTTCATTTTGTCAGAATTCTAAACAAATCAGCCACAGTGTCTGATGTTAGACCAACAGTGAATGTGACAAACTGGAAGTGATTTGCTATCATGATTTTTTTTTTGCTGTGATGCATCTCAGCATTGTCCTTTTTTTCGTTTTTTCTTGCGCAAAAGTTATTTTCATAGGCCCCCAAAGTTTTCTCACTGGGACTTATCATTTAGTGTCTCTTAAGAATTCATATGGCTATTTTTCATCAGTAATACATTTCTTTTATTCTAAACAGATGAATGAGTTATGTATAACCAACGTTTTTTTCAGCATGATTCTCCTTGTTTGAAGATAATTTTTGCATTGATAATGCAAAATTAATGCTGTCATATCCATGTCAATAAAAAAGACAAGCGGGAAAGTTCTAATACTGTCGTATTAGAAAAGTGCTCAGGTGTTAGTAAATGTATTTAATGAAGAAAGGACGTATAAACTCCGTCGACTTGGCTGGGAAATGGAAATAAAACATCAGCTGATAGCAAACAAAGGTTACCAAGGAAACCGTAAACGCATATATTTGTTTCCCGAAAATGAGCTCACCGTTGAGCTCATCAGACGCGTTTTTTTAGGCTTCATTTGAGTTCAACGATCAATTTCGATAAGAATTACTCTACCGCTAAGAAATTTTCTTATAGACAAACGATCAAAACTACCTGCGCATTACGTTCAAAGCATAAAATACAGTTTTCACAGCTTTATTTATTTTAAAAATGGACCCCCCCCCAAAAAGCCTACACATCGATGAGCTGGTGCGCCATTTAAACGCATTAGCACTAGTATACTAGTACTCAGAGGCAAGTCGAAATCAAAAAGCGCTGCCTATCGGCTGAGCGCTTAAAAGTTATCATAGTAAGTAATTGTTGAAGCTAATTCGGTCAATGATTTTGCTGTCATGGTTGAGTTTTTTAACCATATTAGCAGATTCATTGGCAGCTCATGAAGCAGTCCAACTACTTGATACTTCTTCGATACATGTAGCAAATTTTATAGCATTGATGTTGAGTCATCCATGCAGAAATAACCGGTCTGCTGAAGATGTAGCACATTAGTCATGCAAGTCCATGGCGCAAGTTAGCAGCCAACATCGGTTCAACAATTAGTCTCAATTAGATTTCCTTTGACAGATTGTTATGCTGCCTGCCCTTAGTTGCACAGTGAACTTGTGTGCCACAAAAGCTTTGCCTTAATATTCAAGATAGGAATCTTCTGTTAATAGATAGTTCGATTTATTTCCTGAATATTTTGCTGTTTCATTTTACTTTTGGACGAAGTAGATATGCTCTCCGCTTAAGTGGAGCAATGTTATAAATTTCTAAAGTTTGACTTAAATTGTTATCTAGACGCAGAGAATTTGTGTAAATCGAAAGTATTATTTATGTATTTTATTTAGACTCATGTTCTCTCAGATGTTTATTAGTTTTTATCCCGTTATCTTTTTTTACTGAAACTTGACACAATATATCTTCATAATATTGTTTTTTATTGTATCTTACTTTTATTTTTGTTAAAAAGTTACTTGTAGTGGCCTCTTTATTCATTGTGTCCATACGTGTTTTTATTAGTATCTTTCAAATGTTTTTTGCAGCTAAAAGCTTGATGTCTGATTTTATTGAATTTTCATTGTACCGACTCTTTGAGAAAGAGGTTGAGACTGTTAGTTTATACTTTGTATTTTTAATTGAAACTAGGATTTTAGTTTTGTAGCATTTGACTGACAATTGCACTGGACTTTTGAGGCAATAGATAATTTTGTGGCACAGAACAAATTCACTACAAATTCTACCAAAGAATGTTCAAGAAGAAATTTTATCAACATTTTGTTCATATGCCTATTTTCTTTGGAATTAAGTTCTGCTTGTGATTTCAATCTTCTATTTTTTAATTCATCTTCAGGGGAATAGAAACGCAAAAAATTTCTAAAAATCGCAGAAAATCACGTTTTTTTTGTTAAATTTTAGATCAGCCCGATCTTCTTCTTTGATCGGATGCCTTTTACCCCCTTCCGTTGTGTTTTTGAATAATTTGAGATTTTTTTTTCAAAAAACCTTTCATTCTTAACAATTGAGGCATTACATGCGAAAAGGACCTTCATATCATAACTGTATCTGGAGAATCACACATTCAAAGTTTTCAAAAGAACATCATTCATAGAGGAATCGGTATTTTGCAAGCAAAATTTTTTGTTATCATGACACATATCCTCATGGATATTGTAAGATTTTTTCACAGTTTTGAAGCAGCATGAATGAAAAGTAAAATGACCTTTTCTTATGTGAAATGGTAATTTTAGCCAACTTAACCTCTCATCAATAGTTATGTTATGAGACAATTGTAAAAAATTTCATTCAAGATGTTTTGAGACCAAGCTGTCGCAGTTGAAATGTGTAATATGTGTGTGGGGCAGAGCGCGGCCATGATGAACCTGCCTGTGCTGCAAAAAACTTCACAGTCGTCAATGCCACTGACCGCCATTGTGCCTCAAGCTGTCAAGCACATAAGTTCAGCCTCTCCGGAGCTCACATTTTTTGTTGGCACTCCTTTTAGAATCTCAGATCATACTCAAATGTGATACTTTTCCTTTTCATATTTCAGCGAATCAGGTCACCTGTTTTTTTTTAAAAAAGGGCCTCTTTTGCATTTAATGCCTCAATTCTCTCAAAAGATTTTAATACTCAGATTAGATCAATTATTTTAGTAGTGTAACTTCAAAGAAAGTCAATTTCTGAATGTTACAAAAACTTTGTCCATTTAATATGTATTATCGTGAAAATTGTATTTATTTACCATAGTAAACTCTTACCTACCAACTTTGGTTTCTTATCAAGAGGTGTTCAAACGAATCTTTGATGGTAAAGTTATTGGTACTGCTTGTTTCGAAATACCAATACAACCTGATGCGGCTGCTCTTGTCCGAAACAGGAGGTTTTATCGGAGCTGAACAGGCTTCAAGTTAGAGCATTATTACCTTTGATGTCTGTTCATTGGGCGGCTTGGCATGTAAATCTAGTATGAATGACAATAACTCATTTTCATCAGCTTTGAAAACTCTAATAGTTATTGCCATGAGTTTTCTTTTTTTACTAATTTTTGAAACCGTTTTTTGAACTTTTTTGATAGCTTACCGAAAATCAATAGGACACATATAGTCTTACCTAGGTCCTCAAGTCATGTGTATAATGTATACTGTAGGTAATACAGTGTGTAAAGTAAAAAAAAAAATTGTCACTGTCTCACAAAGTTCTCCACATTTTTCACTCTATGTGTGCATTTCATTGGAAGCAAGGCATTTGTATCTCAATCTTTTGATTTTCTGCTTATCGTCGTTTCCCAGAGGAAGGAACGTTTCGCTATTTCATGGTTGCAAAATGTTCTTACACAACTCCTTGTGTTCTGTAAAACTTTCAACTAAAAATGTCAAATAGTCCTCAAGTAAAAATAAAAATCATGGAAATAAATTTGGTAATGCTGAAATGAAGCACATCCCCTCTTCTGGGAAACGATGTTGTATTTAAGCTTTCTTTTTTTTTCTAAGAAAAAAAACGAAACATATTTTTATTGATATTTTCAGAAATCACTTTCTTTTAGTGTGGAAAAAATAATTAGGGAACTTCAGGTATCTACCAGTTTCCATTCAAATTAACTGCAAATATTTTTTTTCACTCAAGTCATTAATACGAATTTTGAAGCAAACTTTTCTCTTCATTTTCCCTTTTTCAATTACTAAAATACAGGTACCACATTTCTCCCATTCTCATTTCCTTCTTGTTTGTTTGCCATAGTATCAGCATTGCAGTGCGTGATGCTCAATTTTCTTTAGTTATTTAGCGATATGGCACCAAATCAAATTATGTATTTTCTAAAATTTAGACAATTTAAAATTTTTTGGCCTTGATTTCGTGCCGAATAGTGTGGACCCAACACTATTCTACCATCCTGTCACGTAAAAAATTTGCACATTTCTAAGTTTTCTGCCTCAAAAAATAAACTTGAGCATAACATAGTACGGTTCAGTCACCACAGTTTCCTAATTCCACACAAAATTGAAAATGACCATTGTCATGTGTTGTAATCTTTTAATAACGAACACTATCTATCAAAATTATTTCTTTCATACTCTTCAAATTGAGTTAAATACGTATAGAAGTACTGTTTGTTGGAAGCTTTTATATTAGAAGCTGTGTCACACTATGGCGGTCATTTTTAGCTCAGCACGGAGTCAAGACACCGAGACAATTTATCCATATTACACTGAGTCTCTGACATAGAAATTTTCTGAAGTGGGAGCTCTCAAATGGGCAAATTTTTTACGCAGACTGTGAAGTTAAGAGTGAATTCCAGACTTTCCCAATGTGCTCAGTGTAATCAAATCATGTAGTGAAATAACTGCTAATGTCCATTCTTCCAGCTTCCACCTTTTTCTTGTTAAAAATATTTTCCAAGTGTCGATACAATCATGAAAGTGGGGCAAAGACTCCTTATTAAAAACCACTCTGTTTTTACTTTAGAAAAAGTTTGCTACCCATTGATATGATTTTGTTGCCTTATTTCACGGCGCATTCTCACGATTTCTATGGTACCATCTCGTTGATAAGTCTGTTCAAGCATCCTCAATGTTCACAGATTTGTAAGCTAATTAGTAGCTAACAGTTTTCAAACTTTTATCGATTTTAACTGCGTGTAATGTGTTATTTTAGGAATATTTATATTTTTCAGTTATTTTATTTAAGTATATAGTTAAGTCTGCTTTTATCACAGGACTATATTTCTTTTAGATGACTAAGTTTTTACACAATTTCATAACTGTTTCATCGTTTATCAGTGTTTCATTATTTTATTGAATTTTATTATTGAATTTTTATTGAATAAAATTTCGTTACCAGCTCTCGATGTTTTGCCTTTTTCTGTGAGAAATTAAACCTTCATTGCACATTAACCTTATGTGGAAACCAAGTTTGATAAGGTCAAATGTATCACTCTTTCCAGGAAAATGGAGGGACCTTAGTCTACCGAGACACAATTTTCAGCAACTTAGTAGAACGATTTTTGTCAAGAAAGATCATGTTTTGAGATCTTGACGGGGCATTCATTTTTCTCTCCTTTAGGTTAGGTATCCTTCAGTACTTGGATAACGATTTGATAGGTAGTTGATTGATCAATTGATTATAACCGGATTTCAGGACATTACCTCAGAATTCATGAACCTTAAGTATGTAACTCTGTAGAATACCAGGTATTTCATTTGTACAGAAAATTTAACTAAGATTTTGAAATAACTTTGAATAAACGTCTGGAATGTGTAACGCAAATCGAAAGTCAAAACTACCTCCAATATTCACATAGGCTGATTACTAGAGTTATTTCAAAGTGTTTCTTGGTCAAAACTATCAATACCTGACTGAAGTACTAAACTGAGATGTGATACTGGGACATTCTTCAGAAATGCTCTAGAGTCTAGAAATTATCAACTGATCCATCAGTCATTGAATCTTCTCTAAAGTGCTGAAGAACCATCCTAAGACCCAAAATTCTCCCAATTTTCTTGCAAAATTTACACATTTTTCCATTGTGTTTGTGTGAAGAAAATAAAACTTTAGGTGTGTTTTTTCTCTCTCTTTTACAGCTCAACAGGAAACTCAAGTTTATTTAAAAATCAAACAATTTTTAATCGAGTTTTTCTCTTTATTTATTTTTTAAATCTTTTTTTATACTCTAAAAGTTTTCTCAAAAACTCTCTGTAAAACGTGCTTTCATTTCTTCACCGTTAAGTTCAAGATAGGCTCTCTAAAAGGAGCTCCTGAAGAGTGTTTCCTATGCTCATATCATACATTCATACACTATTCATGAACAATTTGTATAGTGTATTTAATTCTGTTTTATGAGATGGTACATAGATCACTTTCTTGTGGGTAGGCAAGTAAAATTTATTTTGATAATGCATTTTTTTAATGGAAGATTTTATAAAGCCCTTGTTTGTCTTGGATCTCGGTTTTGAATACTCTTTAGGAAACCCCGTCTTCTTGGCAAATGCAAAATTTAAAAAAATACATAACATATTTTCTGTTGGGACAACTTTGAATTTGCAACCAACAGCTGGAACAGACCAAAATCTCTTAAAAAATTGAAACATAAATTTTTCCCGCGTTAAAGGAGCTAACGCTCCCTATCGTGATTTTCAACAACGTTCCAGGTGCCGAAAGCGCGCTCTACATTGTTGGTCTCAGCAGAAACACAGATTAGTGAGCAGAAACAATTTTTACAACCTATTTTTCCAATTATTCCTCCATTCGAACAAAAGGAATCTTTACCGCAAATTCTGAACCAGACGCTTTGATTGGTCTAGAGCGGTTCATTCCAATTATTCCGAGTTGAACCAAAACAAGCGGGAATTTCAAATTATTCCGGATATCCTGTCTACCAAATCGTTTCCGATTCCGGTAAACAGTGTTGTCAGTTTTCCGAGCATTGATAAATAAAACTGACAACACCGCTTTACCGGAAACGGAAACTATTAGGTAAACAGGATATCCGGAATTATTTGAAATTCCCGCTTATTTTGGTTCAACTCGGAATAAATGGAATGAACCGCTCTAGACCAATTAAAGCGTCTGGTTCAGAATTTGCGGTTAAGATTCCTTCTGTTCGAAAAGAGGAATAATTGGGAAAATGTAGGAATCACCACTCAGAATTATCAAAACAAGAAAGTAGACCACCGCCAAGTCAAAAATTTCCTTTTAAAATATTTTTAATTTGAAAGTGAAGTGCCTTCGTTTTTGCCTTTTGCAATTTGCTAGCGGTTCTCTTTTTCTATATCCGTGCCTCAAGAATTGAATGTGTCGTGAATGTTGAGATTTTGAACTCGGAAAGATCGTAAGATAAAGATTTGTTTTAAGGTTATGTTGTGAACTTAGCTTAAACTGCAATGCACCGTAGCTACTTTTTTTTTTCATTATTTTCATACTTTGCTGCTCAAATTTAACCATTGTAAAATGTAAATTAACCACTCTGCAATATTCTTAAATGTGTATACACATAACTCTCCCATTAATGGCTGTTTGGAAATGAACGTTAACACTCGTGTAGGTGACATCAAAAAAAAGTTTGAGGTACTTCACGAAATAAATGCAAACAAAACCCAGTTTCGCAAACTTCCTGTAGAAACAAGCAAATTTGTGGTCGGCAGTTCTCAGACTGGTAGCTCATCGTTTATGAATGTCCACAATGACCTCTCCAGTCGCAGCACCAAAAGTGGATCGGTGTTCAATGTCCCTGTTAGCAACCGCAGCAATATCAAGAGGACTCCTGCTTTTCGCTGTGATAAGGTAGCCAAGCCGTCCAGACCACCTGGACAGATCAACAACAACAACAACATTCTCAATAAAGATGTAGGTAAGCTGTGCTCTGATCGGATGAAGCAATTTGAAGGTAACAACAGTGCAGGTTTTGGTATTAGTAATCATAATCTGAGGAAAACATCACCCCAAGCTTCTAAGTCTTTGCAGTCTGTCAACTCTCAACGACAGTGTGCACTTACAGACTACGCACCCCAGCAAGTTCACAATAACAAATATAACCTCCAGAGGAATAAAAGTTTGGGTGAAATTCAGCTGAACAACTATGGCAGCATCAGCGACTCATCTGTTCACAGGAAATTGTCCAAAACTGAAAGTAAATCGACCATTGGTTTGCCCAAACCTAACATCAGTAATACCAAAGAATCATCCCGCCTTATTTCAAATACAGGGCTGTATTCTGCTGCACCTAAAGTGTCAAACAATGTATTCTCTCAAGCAGACCGGTTGAACCTCAAATGTGCCTCAAAATCCTCAGTGCCATCACTACCTTCAGATCCAAGTAAGTTAAATTATAATCTAAGCGGAGCAAATAGTTCTGATAAAAATGGCCATATTGCTTTGAACCCAAGCATAGACCCAAAACCTGTCACTAACAATTACTCACAGAACTTTATTCAAAAACAGAATGTCCCTGCAGTCCCAAAAACCAACAGTTGTAATGAACCTCTGGGCTCCTCTAGTCTTCCCAGCTCAGTCCATGCAGCCCTACGAGCACCGTTACCGAAAGGACCCCCTCCAAAAAAGCCTCCCCGGACTTTCGCACACAATTTAGCTCAAAGCCAGTTCTTACCAAGTAAGATTCCTCCTGTGCTGCCCAACCAGTCGGAACACTCTAAGTTTGTTCCACCCTTGAATCAGAATCTCGCCTCTTCACAAACTTATGATAAATTTGCGAATCTCCGCCCTGTGCGTTCGAAAACAGAATCTCAAATAATGCTGAAAAAGCTGGAAAATTTTCTTAATAGTCAGCATGACATGACAAGCTTAAAGCCAAAGCGATCAAGAGAAGAAGCTGACCTGGATGTTGGGAGGAAATCACTGCATACCTTGCGGAAAGGTCCTTTGCCTGAAGTGCCATCTATTAGTCAAGCCTCTGTTAAGCCTACCAGCAACACGTTGAATCACAATCTTTGTTTGCAGTCTCTGAACTGTGCGTCCTGTACTATGAGTCCCTACTCTACGAATATATACGAAAAAGTGCCTTCATCTCAATCTCAATTTTTTATCGATTTTAAATCAAACCCAATGATGGAATTAAGTCAGTTGAGGACTCAGCCAAAACCACACACTAAGAGGAGTGCCCTGGACGATCCTGTCTACGCCGAAGTTGCTTCACCGAAAGACTGGAAGTTGAGTAGCAGCGGTCAATCCAATGCAGAATTTGGGAGATCACTGTCGCACAGCAGTTCAAGCCCTTGCATCGCTCCGCTAACCATAAGCTCATCACAAAGTGGTCTTCACTACATGGTAAGCTTTTGTTTTCCTTGTTAATTCTTTGCTGTTTTACCATCATTTAGTCCATCTGTATGCTATTCTCAGTTTTTACAATGTCAGTACTGAAAAGGAAACTGTTACCTACAGCGAGGAGAATATCTTTGCATGGTCCGCTGTAAGTAACTGTTCTAATAGTACCTCATCATTTATGACTGATTATTATGGTGATGTAATTATGATTAATCATGATACCTAAGCAATGCATCCTCGAAAAAATTAAGCACTTATCACTCAAAAGTATCAAATGACTCAGTCTTTCGCTGAATCTTTTTATTTTTATTATAAAATGTAGGACCCATAGAGACGAAAAAGAATTTCATATTTTGTCGCTCTTTGCACAAGGAAACGTATCTTGCCTGCGTTGGCTCACTATGTCTACGGATATTTTTTCCTTGCAGGAGAACCATTGCACATGTTTATTTCAAAATTATTGTCTTTTCTCATGAGTGTATAAAAAAGTAAATGTATTTTTCTGGCAAATTCATGCGACAATTCTCTCTCCCCAAAGAAAAAAAATGTCAGTAAGTAATATTAAGTTATACTGAAACAGCGCAATCAAGACACGTTTCTTCATGTGGACACAATTATTTTACTGACAATAATGTATGAAGGAGGTCCACTTATTAGCGTCAGCCATTAGTCCAGCGCATATTTTGTCATCTAGTGCTTGGTAAAATGGCTTGAAGCGCATGTTCACTTTTACATTCAGTTTGCACAGTGTTTTTTTAATGATGCCATCAGCTTTGCACAGCTATTTTTGAAACCAATATCTATCCCTTTAAACCATTTTTGCTCCCCCCTCCCTCCCCCTAAAGAAAAAAATTGTACATTCAAACATATACTATGGGTCAGAACTCCAGTTGAAAACAGTGCACAGGAGATCTTTATTTTGACAATTCTAAAAAGGTAAGCCACTGATTCCACTATTGTAGTTATCTTTCACAGTACCTCTATCAAGTCACTTACCCATACCCTCTCATAGGTGCCATGACAGCTGTGCACTCAGCCAAAAAAGTTTAAGAGATGTAGAGGTATTTGCTTATTTTATTCAATTATTTTCAACAAATGGTACACCTAAATTAGTGGCAATGATGTTAACACGCATGAGGACTGTCCATGTCAGGTAAATATCAAGATTAGAAGAAAGAAGAGATAAAAATAACCAAGCATCGGATAGAAAAAATGTATCAAACAGTCCGTTGTAATAGTGAATATGATGTTATAAATCAGTATGAACGTAAGTGTTGGTCTTAAAACAGGAAGGTTCAATACTGGGAGGGGTTCATAATGCCTGAAAAATTCTTCAAACATATTTGAATCTTTTTTTAACATAATCCAAGCCCTTGAATAATCTTGAATGTAGTAAAAATGCTAAAGGATACTGAAAATCCTTGAAATTTATTTTGCGGGGTAAATACGTACCTAATCTTGCGAGGAGAAATCCACAACTCAAGTGCTCTATGAGTTTGCCTTGATTCTCGGGCCTTGGTTAGTCCCCTGCTAAACTCCACATTTTAATTTTTTATTTTTAGCTTTTGCTTAAGTTGAGGATGAGCATGTAATGGGTCAATGGCATCACATTCATGCAGAGTATCTGACAGTTAACCTAAATGTAATATTTAATGAAACATTTTTCAAAAAACCAAGTCCATTAAAAAGTTTAAAAAAGCTCTTCTCAGTTCCGATATTGTATCAGAAACTTGATAGGTAACTAAGATAATTATCGGATTTTCTTGATTTCTTAGTTGAATTTTTGTACAATTTCAGAGCACACCTGTTGAATCCGTTTCTTACCCACTGGGGAATGTTCTTGCTCAAACAAAACATTTTCAACCTAACTTTATCGATAACCATGCACCTCTGCTCCAACCGCGGAAGATTAGCTCAGTGGATGAAATCTACGGGCATAGTAAAATGATGGCTTTGCCCGATTCTTTGTCTAAGCCAGCAGGTGACAAGATACACTTCAGCTCCTCCTCCAATGAACGAAATGTAAGTTGAATGCCCTCTGTATACTTATCTTGATTGTATCAATTTTATAACTTTTATCAGATCTGTTACTGTGTATGTAGTTACATCACATTTGAAGGGACTTCATTATTTGAAATTTGTCTGTAAACTTTAGACCTCAAAAAATAGTGTTGTGACTTGATTAAGTGTTTGCTATGCTCACAAGATCTTATCCAAAGAACACAATATCCAAAGAGCACCAGCAGTAAATCACAATTCTTCAAGATGGTTCTTCTTTTTATCTGGAAAAGAATGTATTTTTTTGATTTCACAGCATTTCGAAGGTATCAAATGTTTTGTTACTGATCCATCTGGCAGTATATTTTATGCTGATTCTTTATTTCTTAAATGTCCTATCTCATCTCCCATAATTAAAACTTTAAACGTTTTCTGAAGTGTATTTAGACATCCACGAATGTGTTCTAAAATTTTGCTCTACACAAAGTAGAGTGAATTTACAATTTGGTGTCAGTCTATATAATTTACTGTCTCTATTGAAATAACATTAATATCTCTTTATTCTTTTTACTCTTAGATTCAAATGCTTGTCAATGAAGCATATAGTGTACCTTGCTGGAGAAAAATGTCTGAAGTAAGCAGTGACTCAGATTCTACTGCCTCTGTCTCTGAGGATTTCAAAGAAAATTTTAGAGGTGAGTGTGTGTTTTTTAAAGTCATTAAATAGTCTTTTTTTTGGGGGGGGGGGAAGGAGGAGAAAAAAGGAAAGGATATGCAATATTGGACCACTATAAACAAGGTACGATTTTAAAGTTCTGATGTAAGTTTCTTTTCCAAAATTTTACGCAGAACATTATTTGTGCAAAAAAAATTACTGAGATTTACTCCTTACCAAGATATTAACAATTTGATATAGTACTGGTCTTGAAAATGTGGAATTTTCCGTTTTCAAGAAAACAAATCATGAATCAAATCATGCAAACATGAATCAAATCATGCATCACCACAGTTTTGGTAGGCATCTTAATGGAGCAGTATTTTTAATTTTCAAATGGAAACAATTTTCCCAAGGAAAGATTCAGAAACTTACAGGGTTCGCCACAGTCAGGGAAATGTCCAGGAAAATGACAAAAATGTCAGGGATAATTTGTTAAATCACCTTCATTTGCTTTCTAGAATGGGTTTGAGGTTTTGAACAACAAATTTTGCCTGAAAACTATTTTCAATTATGTCCTCTTAACCATCCATCACATCTTCAATTGTCAGGAAATTTCACCAAGATGTGTCAGGGAATTTCATTTTAAAATCTGTATCAACCCTGAACTAAATTTTTCTGTTGAGTGTTAGAGTTGTTTGAAATTTTTGTGTCTTTTCAGATGGCGAAAAGGAGCAATTGACAAGAGAACGAAAAGGTTATGTTCGCCGTGTTGCAACTAGAGCTCTCTCCCAGAAGCGGCCAACTCAGTTTAGTTCAGCAAATTTTTCCCACCTCTTCGAATGCTTGCTTCTGATTGGATTGGATCTGGACCCAGCACGGTGTAAAGTTCCTTACATCAAGAGCAAGTACCCTCCTGAAGTGAGTATAATACTTACAGTAGGTATTGTATATTGTATTGTTTAGTGTATTTGAGGTACAGAAACTTTCCAACCACGCATTTAGCTCGGTTGTGTGAAATCAGGGAACTCTCGTGAGAACTGGAAAAAAATGAAGAACCTTCATGAAGACAGGAAAAAGAGTAGAAAATCCCCGTTAAATTTTTTCAAAATCTCGGTTTTTGCAGCAATTCAACAAAAGGAAATATCTTTTTTCTAGAAAATGGGTTTTTTTTCTTCTTTTTAGACCATCCATGTATATTTTACGCATCAAACGGTCCCAAACCACATATTCTAAGCTTAATAACGGACTTCTTTGAGCCCTGCATGAAACCTAAGGTCAATGAGGAACACAGATAAAATGCGAATTTTCGGCAATTTTGATCTTTGGACGCAAGTTTAGGTCTCATTTTCAAGGCCAATAAATTTGAGTTTAGTTTCAAAACAAATGTCTCTGTGAAATATACATCATCAACTGTAAAATATTGAAAAATCTCAGGACTCCGGAAGTGGGTCAATTTTGCCCCTTATAAATACCTACCCTTCCAAGACTGTAATAGCAGCTCAACCATAGGAACCTTCAGCCCATCAATTTCTTACGTTGATGAAATAATGGTTGAGCTCCTGTGACGGTCATCGGGTAACATCATTGAAGTCAACAGTGGTTTAAGACGTTTTTCCAACCCATTGGTCAATCATCTAATTGACTAATAAGCATTCTACTGACTTCACAAACACATCTGTAACTTCTGAAGGTATCGCCGATTTTTCCATTTATCTATGTTTAGTTGATTAAAGCATTATCACATATCATATTTTCCCAATTTTTGAACAGGTGACTCTTCCCGAGAAATTTGAATATCTATGTTTTCCTGACGCTGGCGACTGGCCTCCTCCAACTCCTCCTGACTTCATCAATCAGTGTTACACTGTTGTCATCACAACAGAGTCGGCGCAACGCAAGTATGGCTACTGCAAAAGAGTTCAACCTGAAGGAGCGCCAATCTGTCTTCCTCTAGCATATTGCATTGTGACACCCTATAAAGCTGACTCGTTTTATTACCAGGTATGTTGTGTCCGATTGGTTCCTGAGGTCAATTTTGATAAGTCTAACGCTAGTACATGAGGCAATGATAGTCACCATATTTTGTCGTGATAGGAAAGAGATCAGTAAAAGCAAAATCGAACACTGTTTTGTTCACACAAAAATTTAATATGTTTGGCTCTGGCATAATGTACAGATCTCGAAGATCACATCTCAAGTATTCTCTCAAAATTTTCTCGATGCCAAAACAGTTTTTTGAATGCGTTTCGAAAAGGTAATTTTTCTTATCCGCTATTGTTACAGATAAGTCCTCAAATGTTAAAATAAAAATGATGTCATTGGTACAATCTAACTTTCATTTGATCTGCGCTAAAAATACTTTTTAATATCTTGTTTAAGAGTAGATTTCCGAACTTCTCTCTGTGTAAATCGTTTTCTTCATAAGATTTTTGAAGTGGCCCATTGTCTTTTGAAGTATTTATTGGATGGTTTTTTCAATTTCTCGCTAATTTTAGTAACTCAGCGAGTTCTTATTTTTAAAAGTGATAGAATTAATGACTCGTTTATTTTTCAATGAGTGTTCGTGCAAACATCAGATGTCATTCTTAAAATGAAGCATTACTGAGCACAATTCTTTACTTTTTTTATAGTTGCTAGGTGAACTAGAATCGAGGCATGGACAGACAGACCAAAATGTAATGAACTTTATTAAGGAACTGTATGAGAACGCCTTTCCATCTCCCGGCCAGGGTGTTAAGGTTACACCCACCACACCGTCCACCATTGATCAGTAAGTTGTAATATTTGTTTTGCACACATTTGTCTTGAACCGTTGTCTATGAAACCGCACCAGAGAAACATCTAATTTGAGTGCTATATGTGGCTATTTGTTTGTGGTGAAAATCCAGTCTCTGAGAATGTAGTATTGTTCTACTGGGTCGTTTTACATTTTGATGTATGAACTCTATGTATGCTTAAATTCAATGTTCATGGCGTAACTAGAAAAAGACTAATTTCAGTAGCAATATTGCTGAATTATTTGTTGTTTTTATTTTTTCAAGAAAAGTAGCCAATGTTTTCTGTAAGCTTTTCAAAGAATATGAAGAGTTGGCTTCATATTTATGACAAAATGTTTCTTTTTGTTTTGTATGAAATTTCATGAAAAGAAAATGCAAGAAAATATGTAATTCCTCCAAGGTATCGGAATATTCCAATGGACCACTAGACAAGGTACGAATTTAAGCAATCTGATACATGTTTCTTAACCAGAATTTCATGTAGAAAACGATTCACACAACGAAAATTACGGAAACCAACTCCTAACGAAGATATCAACGTTTTTATTTTACATTGGTTACGAGGAATTTGAACTGCCCGCTCACAAGAAACTCAAAACTCTATGTGAGTCAAATCGCCCACTACAACGGTTTCAGCAAGCTTCTCAATCGAGCAATGTTCATTTCCCATCATGTGTTGTTCAAACTATTAGCAATTTGCTATAACTGAGCCAAAGCGTCAAGATTGAGGTTGCCAGATTTTTATATCGCAGAGACTGTCATGATAACGTTTAGCGCGCGATGTGAATCACGTAGAGCATTGAGTTTTTATGAGCGGGTGGTTTGAATTCACGCATTAAGAATCATTAAATATCTTCGTAAGGAGTTAATTTCAGTAATTTTCGTTGTGTGCATCGTGTTTTACGTAAAATTTTGGTTAAGAAACATGTATCAGAATGCTGAAATTCGTACCATATCTAGTGGTCCATTGTAGTATTTTAATTCGTAGTTTTAGAATAAAATAAAACCGTTCATATCAAAAGGATGAAAACAAAGAATTTAAATGAATTGCTGTATATTTTTTTTTTTTTTTTTTTTTTTTTCTGTGTTCAATATGACGAAATTTCCTCTTTAAAGGCAATTTTTTCCCCCTTGAAAATATAATCTAAGATATGTTGTAAATTACTTTTCTGTTTCAGAAAATTTGACAAAGTAGAGATTTTAAAACGTCCAAAAGACTCGCGCCAAGACACAGACCTCTCTGGGATGCTGAGCTATGTCCGTTTAGATATTTTTGTGAAACTCTTTTCCACGCTTCTCCATGAGCGCAAAGTTATTCTCCTTAGTAAATTTGTCAGGTACATTACAATTCCACACTTCTTTATTGATATTATTCTCAGCAGTTGTTAGCAATGAAAAAATCTAAATTAGATAGAAAACTTAATTTTTCAGAGCATTCTGGCAGATTTTTTAGCGGTTTGCCCAAGTAATGATTTATCGCAATGTGGAAATTTGGAAACTGAATTCGGAATTGAAACTGACAAGGGGAGTCTACGAAGTGACATCCTGGGATTGGGTTCATTTTGCTTGTACATGAAGAAGAGACAAATCTAAGGTTGACGTATTTTTTTTTAGCCGCCACCTCCCAACCGTTCTCGAGATATCGATTTTTAAAGTTACGATTTTTGCACGTTTCCGCGCGGAGTTCCGGCGAGTCAACTGAGCGCCGCGCCGGCAAGCTGCACGAAGCCCGTTTCCTATCAGCGCTGCAGACCGGCTGTCCTTATCAACTGACTCGTGGCCGAGTGGTAGAGTAGTCGCCTACCGTTTTAGCGATCGCGGGTTCGAATCCCGCTTCGTGCCGTAGCTTTTAGGATACGCCGCAATTCGTTTTTACAAGTTTTCTTCATTTTTATCACACACCAAGGGGTCCGCCCCCTGGCCGCTACGCAGTCCAACCCCCAGGGCGAAAAGGCCCGCTTCGCGCGGCAAGCGAAATCATCGAAATCGACCGTTGACGGTTGCAAATTCAGAGTAAGGAAAAAGTAATCAAGAATATTGTGTGGTGGGAAATTTTTATTTGAAATTAACATCATTTTATCATTCAATTAAAATTATTTACCCAGTAACCGTCAACGATCGATTTCGATGATTTCGCTTGCCGCGCGAAGCGGGCCTTTTCGCCCCGGGGGTTGGACCGCGTAGCGGCCAGGGGGCGGACCCCTTGGTGTGTGATAAAAATAAAGAAAACTTGTAAAAACGAATTGCGGCGTACCCTAAATGTTACGGCAGGAAGCGGGATTCGAACCCGCAATCGCTGGAATGGTAGGCGAATACTCTACCACTCGGCCACGAATCAGTTGGTAAGGACGGCCGGTCTGCAGCGCTGATAGGAAACCGGCTTCGTGCAGCTTGCCGGCGCTCAGTTGACTCGCCGGAACTCCGCGCGGAAACGTGCAAAAATCGTAACTTTAAAAATCGATATCTCGAGAACGGTTGGGAGGTGGCGGCTAAAAAAAAATACGTCAACCTTAGATTTGTCTCTTCTTCATGTACAAGCAAAATGAACCCAATCCCAGGATGTCACTTCGTAGACTCCCCTTGTGAGTCAAAACGGCGCTCTGGGGGGGCTTTGTCCCCCTGACGTGTGCTTTGCGTGCGCTTTTTAGTTTGTATGTCCGGCCTCAGTTGTTCTGTCTTTTTTAGCGACCCACACGTCCACCGCGGGAAGAGTGTATCTTCAAAGGGAGGGGGGATCAGTCTTTCATGTCGCCAGATTGCAATTAAAATCCCTTCTGTAATGTCAGATATGAAAAAATTTCAATAAACGATGTGGCAAGCTTGAATGAGATGGCTCAATCTCCGTGACTCGCTGTACAACAACATTGCTGTCGTGTCCACCAATTTTAATTTAGCTAATCTACAAGGATTGAGCATCAAAACATGATTCTGCGACTAGCACAACTGACCCATTCCTCTTTTAGTATAGTCTTTAGCAGTTACGTATACACCAAAACGTATCACTCAGTAAAACCTCTTTCTTTCCTTTCAGCGTTTTATCGATGTGTATAGAGGGCTTGCAGGCATCGCTGTACCCGTTCCAGTGGCCACATACCCTTGCAACAGTCCTCTCGCCCTCAATGCTGGGGTTTCTTGAAGCTCCTACTCCCTATTTATTTGGCTTGTTGAAACCTTATCATTCCTCGGATAACTACCTCCCATCTCTTTCCAATACTGATGAGGTAAGGTTATCGATATAAAAAAAAATGTTGTCTGCATTTCTAAAAAAAATTGACGGAATTGTTAGCAGGGTGTCTAGCATAAGGAAAAACCGGAAAATATCGGGAATTTTGGCCGATCAGGAAAAATCAGGAAAATCAGAAAAATCGGACGTTTTATCAGGAATTTTTCTTACGCGAATCTCCTCAGCGGAGAAAGTCTTACTGCTTTTTGCCTACCGTGCCAGGAGTCAAGAATAATCAGGAAAATATCAGGAATTTTCAAAATGAAAAAATCAGGAAAATATCAGAATTTTTTAAAATTTAAAAATACTAGACACCCTGGTTAGGGAATCAGAAATGCGTTACCCTAGACGCAGAAATAACTCTAAGGTTTCAACGCGGAAGCTTCATCAGCAAAAAAGTTAATGGGGAAGTTAAAATTGCCTGAATAATCGAAATAATTAATTTTTTTGCATTTTACATGGAAAATTTTGAACTTTTGAAAAAATTTTGTTCCAACACTTAGCAGGGACTCGCAACTACAGTCTGTGTCACGTAGTTTCAGTGAGGACCATTGAAATATACTCAGCCTTAGGTTTTCTGAAGTCAGGGAAAACCCAAATTGTCAGGAAAAGTGAGAAAAATGCGAATAAGAAATTGTTAGATCACCTGTATTTGCTTTCAAAGAATGGATGTGACATTTTGAGCAACTTATTTCAAGTCATTTCTTTTGAACCTTCCGGTACATCCTCAATTGTCTGAGAATTTAACCAAATTGTGCCATGGAAAGCAGGGGAATGTTAGGAAATTTCAATTGCTAAAGTCTGTGACAACCTGCAGTATGTATCAAACCCACCAAAAAAGTCTAGACATTAGTCACAAATATACTGCAAAAACAATGATGATTAAGTAGTTTTAACTTGCAGTTTAACATATAACTCTTTTCTTAGTTCAATTACATAGTGATTAAGTCAGGGTAAGCTTTAATTTTTTTTTTATTTCAGGACACTGGGAGGCTGAAAAAAATATTATACGTCAAGTTTATGTACCCAGACTTATTTATTTTGCAAGGTGGAGAAATGGTGCTGGGTCCACACCATTTCGCGGGGAAACAAAGCCAAGAAATACCAAAAATTAAAATTAGAGTCAAAAATAAATTTTTAGAACTCTAATGCGCACCAGTACGAAACTGAGGGGGGGGAGAGTGTTCAGCTCAGGCAGTTTGCAATGGAATATTAAGTTGGAGTCACGCCGAGAGATCTTTACCGGTTTGGGCCTTATTAGACTTCATCAGAAGATCACACTCAGCAGTGAACACTCTCCCCCCCCTCAGTTTCATACTGGTGCGCATTAGAGTTCTAAAAATTTATTTTTGACTCTAATTTTAATTTTTGGTATTTCTTGGCTTTGTTTCCCTGCGAAATGGTGTGGACCCAGCACCATTTCTCCACCTTGTTAAATACACTTTCGGGCCACTTTTTAGTGTTTAATTTTTTAACTTATTTATTTTGTAGAGTAACAACATGTTTAAACGAATTCTGTCCAGGTTGTGGTAGTTGATCTGGATCTTGGCAAAGTCATAATTTCTATTGGCGATGAGCTGTCTATCCTGCCAACAAAAGTTGCGAAAGGTTTGAAAGCTGCCTTACAACTCAATTTGCCTGCAGATAGTACAACACGTAATCTACTGATTTCCGAGGCTCTAGTCCGCTTGTTTGTGGAGCTCATTGGGCACTACCGTGAATTTATGTTCGTCAACGTTGACACTCAAAAGAAGGAATTTCAGGTATGATCCAAAAGAATTAGAATGGTTATGAATTTACGTGATAGACTATGCTAAGTGTTAATGCCCAAAAAAGTTTTTATAATAATTTGTATCAAATTCCAGAGAAGAGAACCAACACATATCAAAAGCCATGCATAAATTGAGTTAAACTTAAAATCAAATTCTCTGAAATGTTGTATGTAATTTTTACCATGGTGTTGTCATGTTTGGTCAATAACAACATTTTTTTTTTAAAAATATCAGCACTTGCATTTCTCTTTTCCGACCGTTTCGGCACTACACCACCATCATCATAGTAAAGGGTATAAATTGGAATCGAACAGAAGTGTCTACATACTAAATCAAAGCAGTTATCATCAAACTTAATGACATTTAATCGGTGTAACGCACATTATAGTTAACTAGATCTTATTATCTAAATGAAATTAATGACAAGAGTTGGTGATAAAATTTGAGGTGATAATCATGACCTGGAGTTGAACTGCCTGTTTTCACAACTAGATCTCAATGTAATTAATTATTGGTAGTAGAATTTTCCTCTCATTTTCTGTAATACTGATTTGCTATCTTTTGTTTGATTTTTTGTCTAAAGAGAGAAGCATTTATCAATTGTGTGGAGTCAAAAAGTGTACGCTTGTTTCTTGACTGGTTTACTGAAACAGCCATGTTCCAGTTATTCATCGAGTCCCGCCTTGAATCTGGCCCAGAATCAAGAGGTATGAATTACATTTGCTTCCTAACACTATTCAATAGCTGGCTGTATCAAAAAAATCAAATCCCTGAAAAAGGAGTTTTAGGCTGGTTTGTTTGGTTACCAAATTTTTTGAAAGAAGCATGCAAAGTGAAACATCTTGGTACAGTAGATAATAATTTACCATTTAATTAAAGGTCATCGGTGATATATCCTTTGCAATTGTGTGCTAACCCTGTGTTTTTTGCATTAGGTGATCAGATCAAATTTGTAAAAAAAATTACTGGATATTCACTTTATAAAATCTTCCTCCCTTTATTTTTTTCTTTTTTCAATAAAAACGAATTGACCACCAGACAAAGTACAAGTGGGCCAGTTGTGCTGGTCACAGAATCGCCTTTTGATGCTTTATTCTTGCAGATCAACGAAAAATAATAAGATCTGTCCAAACAGTAACTGTCTACATTGAATATTAACCGAGATATTGTGCCTTGAAAAACTTGATTTATGAAGTCATCCACTGCGATAGCACATACCATGTTATGCACCACTGTGGACGTCAAAACCCCGACTTTTGAAAGGACGATATCTCGGTTAATATTCAACATTGAAAGTTGCTGTTTTGGACAGATCTTCTTAGTTTTAGCTAATCTACAATAATTAAGCATCAAAACACGATTCCATGACCAGCGCAACTGGCCCATTTAAGCATTCTGAGTTACGTCTCCTTTCCAAAATTTTACATAAAACATAATTCCATCCATGACAGTCACTGAAATTAACTTTTAGCCAGGATACTCACGTTTTTATTAAGCACTGGTTAATAAAAATTTGAATTTCTTGCCCACACGGAAAACCAGAGTCTTGTGAATCAAGTCGCACTGTTTTGGCAGGTTTTTCAATTGAACGGTTTTCTTTTCAATCCTGTGCCATTCAAAGTTTAAAAAAAGTGCAGCAGCAGAGTCGAAACATCGACATTTAGGTAGCTATATTTTTGTTTCCCAGGGACTGATGTTGTGAAGTTACTTGCATGTTTTAATCAAGTCAAGAATGGTTTTTTAATGAATGGAAGTTTGAATGTATGCATAAAAGAACGTTGATATCTTGGTTAGGAGGTACTTTTGATAATCTTTGTCGCTCAAATTGTGTCCTTTGTTAAATTTTGATGAACAAACATATTGCTATCATGTTGCTTGGATTTGCACCTTGTCTAGTGGTTTATTTGAAAAATTTCAAAAATTAATGATGAAATTCATAAAAACATATTATTTGATTTCTGTGTTCAAAATCTCCTTTCTCACTTTATTTTTCTAAAATGAAAACCAGTTGAATATCTTTGGATGAAACTTTTAGAGAATATGTCAAAACAGTCCAATAAGTATTAATGCTGTATGTTTTTATGTAGGAATATTTGAGCAACGATGTGCGGAATTTGCCGAGGAAAAAGACAGGTCAAAAAGCAAAAATTACAAAGGCCTTAACAAGACTGTTAAAAATTTAGGTAAGATTACCATGCTCTTTATCAATCATTCACAATTTGTCTAAACCATAATGTATGTATGTGTTGTACTTTAGTAAGACATTTCTTCAAATTTGAACGCAAGTGAATGGACTGTATTCTGCGATTCAGAACCACTAGCATTGCAGTGATGTTGAGACTTTGTAACTTGTTGTATGTTACATAAATCTCCTGAAAATTCAAGCAGTTTTTATGAGCCCTCCATAAAAGTCAATTAAACGGTAGAATAACTAAGTATTTAATACTAAGAAATTTGTCTCTAAATTTATACATTTTTAAATATGATATTTTCACAGCCTCTTGAGCACCGTTAGCTTTTAAAATCTAATTTTTTTCGCACCAATCTCGAGACAAGTGGGGCTGAAAAGTAAATTTTGTCGCATTTTCACATCAATAAAAATGCTTATAAACTTAAAAACTCACTTAAAGGTTTTTAGTGATCATTTTCTTGTGCGGGGCTTCAAAAGTTTCATTGGCGTTTTTACATGCAATAACTAGCAATAATGTGGCAATATCTTTTTGGTAATTAAGGAAATCTTTCGCTTCTTCACAAACTGGGAAGATATTTTTTGAATATGATATTGACTTTTTTTCTTTGTCAGCAGAATATATTCTGTTTAAAATTCAAACTATAAAGTTGGCTTGTTTTTCCTCAAAAAAAGAATATAACTACAGAAACATTGCAAAGGAGGCACATGGTTTTTGACTTTGACCATCGATATTATTTGAATTATGTATTATAATTTTGTTTACTATCCTTCCGCAGGTGATCGTTTGAAAGACTGGGCGACTTTGTCCTAACAGTGAGGATACTTCATGTTTTTGCCGCCAAGAGCACTTCCTCGACCTAGGTCCCAGACGCTCTCTCAACAGATGAATCCTTCCAGACTGTAATGATGTAATCTTATATTTTCTTCTTTATTTGTATTTTTTTGTTTCATACTGTAGAGAAAGATTTTGACTTGAAGCACTCACATTTTATGTTGATATGTACCTTCAAGTCTGTGTTAGGAAATATGTACGAATACTCATAGAAAATTGATGTCTTATTAAGAATTTATGTCGCCATAGATGATGACCCAATCGTTAAATCTAAGTGATTTGTTGCGAAGGTGTGTGAAGAGCTTTGATTTTTACCTTATAGCTTGATAGCACCTTCTGTTGATTATGACAAGAATGATATACTCATTATTTTTGTTTAAGTGCCCCTTACGACTGTTATGTCTTTTACCGTACTTTATTCTTTAATTAATTTGCACTTAAAAATCAGGATTAGCTTTTTTAACTCTTTATTGACACTCATAGTTATTCCACTCTGGTATTATAAATGATGCAAAACATTCACATTAAAGGGTCTGTTGCATGCAAGAGATAGTTGAACATAGAACATAGGCGTTTGAAATTATGTTATTATTTTTCCTGATCCAGGAGGTCAAAAAACAATTCTGTGACATTTCTGTTCAGTTGATTCTGTGACCAGTGCATTCGACCCATAGCCAAAATTTTGCCAAATGTTACATTCTTCTGCATTAATAATGATTGAAATGCGCCAACAAATTTCTTGAAAATGCAACAAACAAAATCATCAAAAATCAAGTCAGATGCTACCAGCTGTAAGTGATCAACACAGCCTTCAAATTAAGCTAAAAATCAGTTGTTCAGGGAGTTTTCCTCACTCTAGTAGTCCTTACAATGAGGTTTTCTTGCGGTTTATCCAGTGCGCCCATGCTTACATTCAATCTATGGCCATTTTATGAGGATAAATTTATTAGCAGAAATTTGGCAACATGAAATTCGATTAAGCCAATTCCGTTTAAATCTGTCCAATCGGTTATGGCTGTGGAACAAATGAAGGTATTCATATAATTTTTTGCCACTTACAGCGTCTGATAACATTTTCAAAGTGAGTTTCTACCACTATTTGCATTAGGCTCTTTATTATTTTTTTTTTAATTACGTATCTGCAGTTTTTTTAAAGCATTGACTGACAATCAACAGAGTAACAAATACATAAGATACCCTTTGTTTTTTCTAAGAGTAATTTTGCATTAATCAATTTAGAAATTTAAATTCCAAACTCTCCATTTCTTTTAATAATGTTTTGCTAAACTTTTTGACCCCACCTACTCCCTGTCTATGCTAATTTAGCTCCTATTTTTCTAGTTCTTGATCTGTGCTTTTGCCAAACAGTATGTTTACATTTCAGGTAAACCCAGAAATTTGTAGACATCCTGCCAAATACCAGTTTTCTATTTTTTCTATTTGGATCTCTCGTGGTTATATCAGAGCACTCTCTCAGGGTAAAGATATCCCTTTGTCCCCATTCTTAGGCCAATTCGTCGCCTGCCGGCCAAAGTTTCCTAAGTGCCATTTATGCCGCAGCATCATGTTGCCAAACTTTTCAAACTTCTCCAATTTTTTGCGGAAAAATTAATGAACAGAATCACCTGAAAGCTGTACCTACTGTTCCTTTTGTCATCAAAATTAATCCCTGAAAGTATGTCCTAAAGTCTCAAAGAAAAAATTAAAACAATATTATGCCCAACATAGCGTCGAAGTGTAACTGGCGCTAAAAATACTTTGACCGGAAGGTGACAAATTATTTTTATTTTTCATTTGTCAGAAGTCTGTTTGTGCTAACATGAGAATTTCAAAATTGAAAAATTAAATCTCTAGTGAGGACCTTATCACAATTCGTTTTATGGATCTGAGAATTTGATCTGCCAAGAAACTTTTAGCGCACATTAAGCGCTCAATCCGATCTAATTTTTAACGTCTTAGGATCATTAACTAGTTCCATGAGAATATTTCTGTACTCTGTGTCTCTCATTTGTTACCTCCTAAGCAAAATTGAACTCTCACATAGTAGTGGTACGCAATTCTTACATCAGTTGAATCGGTCCCTCTCAAAGAGAATTACGGTAATAAAAATTTTAATTAACCTGTTCTTAATCTCAGAGCTCTAAAGCAATGCATTAATTAATGTGGGATTTAAAATAGGTTGACCAGTACAGTTTCCACTATTTCTTTCCTATTTTAATATCGAGCACTTAAATCTTTTGGAGAATGACCAATCCAATTGTGTGGAAGTACAGTTCTTCCTCTGTCAAAGAGTTTTAGTATGATATAATATCCTTCAATTTTTTCTATTTTTTTATTTTTTAATATCTTAAAATATTGTAAATCATCCTATCATTCTTTTTTAATTCTCGAACTAACTCCGTCTCACATTTGATTGTGCCTGTTATGTGCCTTTGGTCTTGACGCACGTTACTTTTTTATCTGTTGTGCCGATTTCTACTGATTTATCATCGTCATTTTCATATCATAGTCTAACAATTTGTATTTTCTTGAAAGTATTTATGCACTTCAGATCTCCGTTGATTGTGTTAATTTTTGTGTCCTCAGATGATACTGAGCGGTAAAGAATGTATTTATGTGTTTGTCTCTGAAATCAATTTCATGTTTTGATTCGCTCCCATCTCTCAAATTCCTTCTATCTTTCGTCATAGGGATGTTATCAATAACGATGTCATTGGAGAGGGATCATACTGCCTAGAGCTTTGTCCTCTGAATGGTGGGTCCACTATTTATCCCTTAGACAACTAAACTCAGTATTTTCTCTATACCCATATTATATTAATTTGCCCCGATAGTCGTAACAGCGACATTTACATTCCAATAGAGCGGCAAGCGAAAGCTTTGGTTTTTGTGAGGATTTGCGTTGCTTGTTCTTTGGGGGGGGGGGGGGCTGGTGGTCTCTCTCTACAGAGGACAAGGCTCCAAGCAGCTCATTTCCTCCCTAAAAACCTTGTTGATTTTTAGCACAGTGAAAACTTCCTCATTTGTAAGGTGGTTTTTGGCTTTTAAGAGAATGATTCGATAGTCGACGATCAATCGATAATTTCTGGATTTTAGGACATTCGGAGGGAATTACGGAGCATCGCTTCTCGTTATAGTATGTCAAGTATTGATACACAACATTCGACCAAGAAACGTTTTGAAATAATGCGGGACGTACTTTCAAGCTACTTCAAACTTTTTCTTGGTCAAATTTTGTTTACGAAGACCTGACGCACTATAGCAAGTTGTCACGCTCAGGAATTCTCAAGAACTGCCGTATAATCCAGAAATTATCAATCGCTGGATCAACTTTGGAATCATGCTCCAAAATTCTGAAAATTGACTTTCAATATGGCATATGGACCGCATTAAGCAGAAAGGAACCAAGCCACATCAGCCATTGCCAAATTCAATTGGGCAATTTATTTTTTTACATATAAACGGTTCAACGGATTTTTGTGCAAATTTCAGTGAATTTTCTGCATAGTATAGAGGAAATTCCTTGAAATTTTCAAAGGAATCTGCACAAACGTTCTCTTGTAAAAAATTAAATTGCCTAGTTTAATTTGGCAATAGCTCATGTGGCTTGGCTCCTTTCTGCTGAATGCGGTCCATATGATCTTATAATTTTTCATTTTAAACTCTACAAAATTACTGTTTAAGTGCCTGTGGCTGTACTAGACTGTGTGTAATAATATATACCTTTTTTGACTTAAACACTTGTTTGTATGAGAAGTTATAAAGCAGGAAAGCGAATTATTTTAACATCCAGTCATTTAAGATGTGATTCCCTTTCTATTTGTATTCAATAGATACATAGCAGGAATGAGAATAAATATGGGTCATCTCTTGAAAATTGTAATACCAGCCAGAGTCTCCCTTTTGGGGATAATTTACCTCTGAAACTGAAACAATTGAGTGTAGAAGAGAAAGGAAAAGCGATCACAGTGACTCAACAATCCTCAGTAATTCTCATTTGGAATCAATAAGTTTTCTGCGCACACTCAATTCATAGTTTCAAGGTAGAATGACTTCATTTTCAATGAGAAACTCTCGCAAAGAGGACATTTTATTTTGCCCACAAATTTATAGGATTTCTGAAAACACTGGGAAACAGTGATCGGAAAAAGAATTATTTTGTAGGGAGAAAGTTAGAAATTATGTGAGAAAATTGTAATTTTTTATTACACTGTGCGTTCTGTTGTCTTTCTTACTTAAATAGTAATTTTCATCGTATAGATTTTACAAGTTTTTTAAAAACCTGTTCTCTTTGTAGAAGCGCATATTCTCTTGAAAACGTCGATTTTGAATAGAGGGTTAGGTCGAGTGTTGTTTTGTGCACCCATGCAAGTTAGATAGTTTAATTCTTTTAAAGTTTAATACGCTCCGAAATTTGTGAAGAGTATCATATAAAATAATAACAAAATTTAGCTAACGCTTAAGCCCCTGTTTTTGTTTGCATGGTCATTCATCTTGATTTAATTCCGGTGTTGACCAATAGCAAGTAGAAGGGTATTCGCACCTTAAATTTTCTCAATCGCTTTGGCTTTTTCTTCCAGAATTCATCGCTACCATTTAGTATCAATGCAGCTTCTTTTTATCGGTTGTCCTAATAAGTAACATATCAAGGGGGGAAAAATAAATTATTATCTTTGCGAACTTCAAAAATTATTATGTACTCGAACCTCCTTATCAATTAAGGTGGTAGAAAATACCGTAGATGGCCTTTACACATTGTCACTTTACAATATGTAGGTAGCCTTTTTTGTCAAAAGATTTTTTAGAAACAAGAACTGAAATGATTTAAATCATTCCATGATTTCCAATTCATTTAAATCGTGAAAAGGCATTAGGAAATAAAGTCACTGAAATTTCGATTTTATTTCTTTTGCCTTTTTTTCTATTTTTAATTTTAGGTAATTATAATATAAAATTATTATCTTCCTTTGTATTTTGTTAAATGTTTTGTTGTTTTTCTCTCTGTAAGTTTCTGTTCATAGTTTTGTTGCATTATTTTGTATTTTGTATATTTTTTTCTCTCATTTAGGTATTCACTATTATTTTTTTATTATTTCTACATTTGTGGATTTTTTTTCCTTCATTTTTTTCATTAAATATTTTGTAAGTGAAATAATTTCAACTCATAATGTATTTTGTCATAAAGTTTAAGTAAATAAACCGATAATATTCAGTACAGTTTTTGTTTCGTTTTGTCATTAATTATTCATCATCCTGGATATGATTTCATATTTCCCTTCACATATATTTCTTTACGCTTCCTTTTATTGGGAAGTGAAAAATCCGGTGTTTCCCTCCGAGTTTCATGTTTTTTAACTTTGTTTTCTGACGCCTAGATGAAAATACCCAGTTGTGAATGATACGTATATGGATTGTATGTAGCAAAAAGGAACTAGCGCGATTACAGTGCATGTTTTCAAAATCGTGCAACCTCTTCTTTACTTTTAAAAATACCTAAAATATGTACAGTATTAAAATTCACCCAATTATTTTCTTTAAAATTAACAATTTCTTTAGTGGGAAGGAAAAACTGTTTGGTATTCTGGTAGATTGTTTAGATAATCATGCAGAAGCAACATTTTCGCTGGTTCCTTTTTGCTAAATGCGATCCATATATTTTGTGCGGCCTCTAAAAATCTGTTGTACTTAAAAACCTGACCACGAGAGTAAATCTTGAGATAAAGGTAAAGGCTGCTACTACGTAGAGGGGTTTTGAAATATTCTCCAAAAAAAAGGAAAGAAAAAAACAGTTGAGCAGGACCACGGCTATTATGAAACATCGGAGGAACATCATGCCTACCTATTGGCCGAAGTGCAAGACCACGTTTCTCTGTTTGCAACGTTGAAAACTTCCTTTCATATTCTATTCTTTTCTCGGAATAATAGTCAACGTAATTTCTCCAATATATACTTGATTTTTCTTCTCTACCAGCAGAATATTCTGTGTAAATTTGGAGCTACAATGTTGACTTGTTTTCCTTCCAAAAAATAAACCAGGAGTGGCAACTTTGAAACATTCTAATGGAGATACGTGCTTTTGCGCTTTAAGTGATAACATATGCCTTATCAGATTGAATTATCAGGAATTTACTTTAAGGTATGGTCTCCCCCCATTCCCCTCCCCTGATCGTTCATCCTATTGATAGCCGTAGAATTCATAGAAATAAAGTTGCACCCATTCCCATGTGAGAAAACCAACATTTCTCGGTGCAACATCCGTTTTCAAGTCTCAATTGTAGCATTATTTTATAAATAAGTTTGAGGATTACAGATTTTATACAGAGAGAATCATTTTTACCCGTGAAAAATCATGAGGGAAATTCATCCGTCTGAAAACTTCTGGTTCCGGTACATCAATTTCTTGGCTGTCATCCACATTGTTGCCAGAGCTGGAATTTCCAGTGTTGTTGTGAGTCACGTTTCTGACGAGGTTATGTTTATGTTTAGTTGAAGTGTTCCGGTTCCAAATCTCAACAGGGACCAGTTCTATAGGACCCTGGACTCCCGTAAGAGTCAATGTAAAAATTCGTGAGCAGGTGCTAGTGCTGCTATCTCGCGTAGGATCCTCGCAACTCACTGCTGTTATCAGTTGTTGGACATCATTAAAATCCGTAGGATCGCGTATAACTGCAAAAAATCGAATTTTTCATCGTACCCTTGCATGCGGCGAATCTTACTTCTCCAAAAGGGGTCGAAAAACGCCAAAAATATACTTATTTTTCAAGAATTCAGCCGCCTTATGTGTTATTTTTCAATCTCCGGCTTAACCTCACTTTTGGAGCGGGCGATGGATGAGTCAGGTTCATAGAGTACAATAGAGTCGCAAAGTACTGGAGCGGCGATGAAGCCAATCCATGAACAGGCGTTTCCGAGCCGCGTGTGCTCCGAAAATAGTGAACCATTTGTGAACCCAACGGCATTTTGTAACACGGCGGCTTATGGAGAAATCAAGAACTGCTTGTGTTTTTTAGGTATTTGATAATTCAATCAGCATTAATTTTTTCAAATTTTGCTATTTAGAGGTAGTCAAAGCCATAATGAATCCATTGATGTATATTTCTCCTGGATAATATTCATATTGGGATTTAATTTCTGACTTATACCAAGTGTGAACCAACCGGCATTTCTTATCACGGCGGCTTACGGGAAAAGCAACGACTGCCCGTGTTTTTTCGACATTTTTTAATTTCATCGATATTAATTTGTGCAAATTTTGCTATAATTAGATAGTCAAAGTCATAATGAATCCATTGATGTATATTACTCCTGGATAAAATTCATATAGGAATTTAATTTCTGACTTATACCAAGTGTGAACCAACCGGCATTTTTTTACACGGTGGCTTATGGAGAAATCAACGACTGCTTGTGTTTTTTCGACTTTTTTTAATTCCATCGGTATTAATTTGTGCAAATTTTGCTTGAAATAGATATTCAAAGCCATAATGAATCCATTAATGTATGTTACTCCGAGATAATATTCATATATGGACTCAATTTCAGACTTATTACCGGCCTACTTATTTTAGCTGGTTCAGTGTGTGTCTAGCCGACGAACGGAGCCGAGTCGGGACTGTCGGGAGTGGGGAGCGCTGAGCGCGAGTCTCTGCGTATGCGTCATCGCTAGTCGCCGCACACTAGTCTCCGGAGAACTGGACAAAACAGCCTCGAAAAGTGACTTCATCGGCGATCCAGTACTTTGCGACTCTATTGTACTCTATGGTCAGGTTCGGGGGGAAGGATCCTCTAAGTTGACTAGGATCCTACGCGAGAATGCGCTGCAATCACCCGCTCACAACAGAACGGCGTCCTATAGAACTCGTCCCTGCTTGCCTACTTCCTGTCTAGTCCTAGTCAATTTTGTTTGAGTCAATCTTTAATTTATTAGTTTACTCCCATACCTGTGAATAATTGATTCTTAATATACTTATTACATAATAATTTAATTGAGAGGTTGATATGGATAGTAACAGTGGTTCAGGCAAAAGAGTATTTGATAATACTGCTCCAGGAGGAGGAAGGGTTGATTGGAGCAAAATAGATCCCAAGAAAGTAGATGATTTTAGAGACATGATTAGACAACAAGAGGAAAGAAAGAAAAATTAATCTAGTGGTCAGGGCAGCAGTAAATAACTATATTACCCATACGTGGTATTCGCAACACCTTTTTACGAGCTTTCTCTTGTTTGATTATTAGAAAACAAGTGCTCTTTAGTAATAGTGCTTTCAAAAAATTGACACTGTTATCAGTTGTCGGTGTGTCGACATATCGAGTCTTCACCCATTCTTTATCCCTGGAGATTCACCACCTTGTCGTTTGAAATCTTGAAACCATACTTTTCTTAGATAATAAGGAGCATGAGATGTTATTTCAAGATATGGAGCACAGTTCACGGGAGGAATATCTTCAATTAAGCACCCTGTAGCAATAGGAGTGTCGTGTATCACTGAGAGGACAATTATCTTAGATTAGTTCCTGTTTATCTTTTGTAATCGGCTTGTGATCGATTTTTTGCATCAGGTACGTCTGTTTTAAGAGTTCTAGACAAATAAGCTGCATGCGAGTAATCAGAGGTAGAGGTATGTATCTCAAGTAAAGCATACTGCGGCCAGTAGGAAAGCAAGTCTCGAGATGAATAAAGTTTTCTGTGTAGAAAATGTTATTTATTTTGATAGCTTTTCTAATGTTTGCAACGTAATGGCAGACTACTTCTTCAATAGATGGAGCAGTCTGTGCAGCAAATTTCTCAGTGTATATGAATCAAATACTCGATTATCTCCGAGAGTCATTGGTCAGAACAGAAAGAAATTCCTCCTAAGGAAAAGTTAACAACTGCTACTCTTTGCTGTTTCAGTGGTTATTCTTCTATGCCCTTTTACTCTCCAGTGCCTGGGGTTACTTCAAGAGATGATTGCTTCAAAATGTTGAAGTTTTATGGAACATTTGTTTAACTGCCACTTTTTATTTCATCAATCAAGCACTAAACATTCTATTTGTATTTCTTTGGCAGGCGGATTTAGTTGCACGGAATCAAATGGATGAAACTAAAACTCTTGACAGCGTTCTAGTTGCAAGGCTACTAGAAATGGGGTTTTCAAATGAAGAGGCCAGTGTTGTAAGTATCTTTGTTTTTTGACAAGTCTAATTTGTGTTAAGACCGTATAAACGTGTCCAGGTGTATCAGTTAAATTCAAATTTTAGACACTGAAAAATGTCAGAAAGACTGAAAAATATGCCCGGTGTTTGAACTGTTGTCTACAAGAATGGCGAGGCTGTTACTACGATTCTGTGATGGCACGATAGTAGATGAAACTCTGCGGCAATTTAACATGCGTTCTTATGGGAGAACGCATGACACATGTTCCTTTAGTGCTAATATCTTTTCAGGGGTTGATCTGATGCAAAAATTCATGAGATTCTTTTTGAAAGAAGATAAAATTTCACATCAGAAAACTGCCTAGTTCATAAATTACGTTGGCTGATAATTGACGAAATAAAAGCCACACTCGACTTAATACCGAAAATCGTTACCCCACTAAGATTCAAACGCGCCGCTCATGCAACTTCGGCCGATCAATGGCGACTCTGATTGGTTAACACAGCAATTACTCTACTAGTTTGATGTCACGAAACCGAGTAGTTACAGCCTCTCCATTCTCGTAGGCAACGTTTGAACTTGAGAGGTTTTCAGATATATTCCTTGAATAATATTGTGGACATTACAAACCAATCACCTCACAAGAGTCTTAAATGTTGCAGTTCGTTAGGGAGGACAACAGATTACATTTCCAGAGAGCTCTTCAATCATCAATCACTTTTTGGAGAAAATAGTAATGTGTAACAATAATGACACCCTAGAAAAACTGGTTTTGTGTTTATAAAGCAAACATCGTGCTAAGTTCAAGAACCAACCATTTTTATTGTACTCTCCAGAGGAAAATACACTATTGCGATCTCCCCTGATATTGGACCTAAGTCTCTAACAGAGGACTGGCCCAAGGCTGTAAATTACAAATTTGATAGGTAGCCATTCAGATTCCTCCTCCCTTAATATATTTACTCATGTATGGTAGGTGGTTGGTAAATATGTTTGTTTGAAGGTGTCTTACTTAATTTTGGTAGTTTTAGATAGCGATGGACAAAGTGTGAAACCACATATCTCCATTGCAGTGGTTCAAAATTTCCACTTTATTTCATTTTTTCAAAGAACAAGCCACCTTTATAGCTTGAAATTGAAACAGAGTATTCCGCTCACAGAGAGAAACATCCAGAAAGTTTTCAAGAAATTATGTAGACTAGCTTTCCAGAGAAAAAATGAAGTACGATAAGAAGTCTGCAATGTCGCAAACTGAGATTTGTGATTTTGGCCATTGATACGCTCAATGTGCCCTGCATGAATTTGTGATTAGAAGTCAAAGCCTTCTAGATTTCCAAGTCTTATCCTGTCTTGTGGTCCATTATATTTTTTGCTCACAGTGGGATGTTCAGGGATCAGTGAGCTATACTGTATTTCAACGGTGTAAGTTGGCAATCACACACCTCGGCTTGCAACGTCGCAGACTTCCTGTCATGCTATATTTTTTAAACGGAAAACTACTCAACGGCACTTCTTTAAAACTGCCGTGATTTTTCTTTTTTGTGCAAGGAAAATTCTGCAAAAACTTTTAGGAATGATGTCAATTTGTTCTCCTTTAAAAAAATAACATTGAGGCGGAGATTTTCAGACACCGCAATCGAGATATGTGATTGCGGACTTACGCCGTGGGTTTTGTTGTTTTTACAGGCATTGTCAAGGTCTGATAATTCTATGGATGGAGCACTCGCTTTTCTGCTGCAAGATGAGCCCTTAGCACCATTGAATGAGGGTCTAGAATCTGCATCTGAAGAAGTCTCCGAAATTGCAGAGCCGAATTTGGGGGAGGAAGGAGACTGGGAGGATGTTGATGAAGAAGCCCGTGAAGATCCAATCAAAATGATGATTGCGGTCAACACAGAATTTAAAATGAGTGTTGGGAAAACAGCTTCACAGGTGTGGATTTTCTCCATGTAGCGCTAAGTACAACTTTTCATTACTTCCAATTTGTTTTAGTATGGGCCTGTTGCAAACTTTTGCCACACCAAAAATAAGAGTTGTTCCTATCAATAAATGTCTCAAAAATCACGATGAGCGCATTGGCAAAGTTTGAAATACACGCCTAACTTCACAATCTTCGTAAGAAATTTGGGTTCTTTTGAACTTCCCGTTTCAAAAACAATACTACAGCACAGGTGAACATTTCCTGAGAGGAGTCGTTCCACCCAACCCTTTTGCAACAGCAATTTCCAACGTAGCCGACACTGCCGCGCACAAATTGCAGTCAGGAGCACAAGGTCAACCAAAGCGGATCTTTATCAATACAAAGAAATCATGAATGTAAACACGTTGGGTTGCTAACAAATGGTTAGAATCTCTTTGGCATATGTGTTTTGGAGGATTGGTGTTGGCCATGTTGAATATTGTGTAGTATCCTAGTGCACAGGGATTGAAACGAAGGACACCTCTAACGAAATATCACTTGTGCTGTAGTATCATTTTTGTAGGGGGAGGCTCAAAAGAACGCTAATTTCTTATGTAGATTGTGAAGCTAGGAGTGCATTTCAAATGTTGCCAATGCCATCATGATTTTTGAGATGTTCACTGATGGAAACAACCATTATTTTTGCTCTAGCAAAAGTTTTCAACAGGCCCATTATGAAGGTTTCTACTGTATTCAGCCCAATCTCAAAAGTCAAGGTAAATTTTAGCTCAATGAAAGTAACAAATTGAATTCCTATAGTCAGGGATGGATTATGATTTGATGGACTTCATATTTTAAGTCAGAGCGGCATGCGATATATCGCATCGATTGATTCCATTTTTCAGCTACTTGTCATTTTTCTCGAATTTTGAGATTGCAATTCTGTTGTCAGGAGACTAAAAAATTAATGTACCAATCTAAACAAAAAAATTCAATGTAATAAAGGCATGTATTTTAGAGGAATAATATGGCATTCGATACTGGTATCAAAACTGCACTGGAATGCGATATTTTTCTCTAAAAAAACCGCGCCTTTATTGCGTTGAATTTGTTTGTCGAAATCGGTAAGTGAATTCTCTAGTATCTTGATAACAGAATTGCAATCCCAAAATTGGAGAAAAATGACAAGTGGCTTGAAAAATGGTATCAATCGATGCGATATATCGTATCTTGCTCTGACACAAAGTATAGCGTCCATCGAATCACCTTAAGACCAAAAAATTAATCGTGTATACCAGCCCATCAGTTTCTTAATTTACTCATTGTTATTTTTTGCCAAGTGGAGGAAAAAAACCAGTCTAAAATTACTCTAGGTAAATGTCGATCAGTTCACTAGAATTTTTCCTTGTATTTCAACCTGCCTCCCTATCCTTGCCTCTTTCCTTTTATTTAATTGTGCAAGGAATGATTTTAGACATCTGTTAAGTTCTATAAAAGAAAGGAAATTAAAAGAAATCCATTTGAAAGAAATTTGGCCCTTAGCTTTTTCCCCCCTCAAAACAGTTAAAGTTTGATTGAAGGGGTCTCGGAACTTGAGAATTTCTCTCTGGTTAACAATGCGTCATTCTCCACACAAAGTAACGTAACTCCATTTTAATGTTGTCAAATTTTTCCTCACAAATGGCATATTAACCAGGAGAATCTTTGAATCTTTGACATTTTCAACTGAAAATTTCACTGATTTTTCCTCAGATTTCATGCAGTAATCAGACAAATTTTGGATAAAAATTACACAAGTGCATTTTGGTAAAATGAATGTATTGTTTGAGTCAATTTGGTAACCATGGAATAGAGTTACGTTCCTTCGTTCGGGAAACGACGAATTAGCCCATCAAACAGTCTCCTTCTGTTGTTCTTGATGTGAAGAGAGAAGTTCCCTCCCTATTAAATGAAAGCTAGATGCACATATCAAATCCAAAGTATGTACTCAACCAAACTACCTCTCTAAGAGTTTTTCCAGTCATTTTTATTTCTGCCTTTCTTCTCATTGCAGGTTGCTCATGCTGCTGTCGGACTCTACAGTACGATCTCATCTAAAAAAGCATACAGTAGATTTATACGGGAATGGAATGAAGAAGGGTAAGCATTTTTTTGAAATCTTGTAACTATGCGCTAGTCTCAAGTCTTCGCCACAAAGGTGGTAGACCAAGTCAAGGGAACAGCTCTGTTCATATTAATGGGTCAAAAGGCAGTTTTATTGGCTCCTTTAAATAATACATTGCGATGGAAAAATATAAGCGCCAATAAACCCTGAAATGATGGACTGAACTGTTCCTGCCATCAGCCACTATTCATAGTGAGAATCCTGAAATATCAAATTTTGTAGGAGGCAAGCACATTTAAAAACTGAAAGATGAAAGGTCTGAAAACCACAATTTTCCATCACCCTTCATTGTGTGTTCAAATATTTCTCAAAACTGCAGTCTTTGCCTTTGCTCAATCGCCACAAATCCAATTAACACATTCTCTATCCTTAGTCGTTGCAGAGTTAATTCAATAAGAAGAATAATAAAGAACCATTTCAAATGTTAAATATTTTAACCTTTGGAAAATAAATTGAGTTAAACGAAAATATGCCAAGTTTCAACCAAGACCAAAAGCTTGAAGTTTTATACCCCTGTGTGACTCAGTGTCAGGAATGTAGTTTAATAACTATTTTCTCTTTCAAAATATTTTCTCTGGACCTTGAAGTTTTGACCCGAGAAAATGACTAGTTTGAATCAAATGTACATACTCCCAAGCCACCGTATGTTTTCTCCAAAGTGCAACTAGGTGTGTGCCTGTCAAACATGATCCTTTCGTGTAATTTGTACTTAAGTTTTTATCAGAAAAATTTCAACCCTAAATGTTGACACATGTTTCCTCTTCGATTTATAGTTTTTTTTTAGGATTTTTGGAAATCCAGGTGGAAGATTTCAGATTTTGAAAACCAAGAGTCTTATGAGACTAAAATCAGCTAAGATTCAATACCTTAGATTTTATCTTTATAACAAGATATTTTTTCACATTAGTTTAAAACTAGACCCAAATTGAATCTGTCCGAAAATATATTGTTATAAAACAGTTACATTAACCTTAAACACTTTTAAATGTAAATAATTTTGTTTACAACAAAAAACACTGGATGCTCATGTAAAATTGCTTCAGTCCTTAGTTAATTATCTGCAATTTAGAGTCTTAAACTCAAACTTTCTCCAAACCATTTTTTTTTTTTTTTGTTCTTTCTTTCTTTTTTTTATGAAAGGAATGGATTATGATGATTTCAAGTGTAGATCTTACTGAACCACATTGAAGAGTTAACGACAATGCTGGTTTTCTTCTTCTTTCAGATCTAAAAAAGTAGTTCTTGATGGCAAAAATGCTGCCAATTTAAAGCTTCTGATCGACAAAGCAAAAACATTGAAGGTCAGACACTGTGCCATTGAAGACGCCGGGCTGACAGAAGTTCCGCCTGGTTCTCTCACGGCTGTGGCGTTCATTGGTCGAGCGTCAGTTGTTGACAAAGTCACGTCATCGCTGCCTCTATTGAAATAAAGACGGAACGACGTCCTTTCCTAAAGAGAGGGGGCCAAAAGGCTACAAGATACAGCGTCCAAATGACTTTATTATAGAAAAGCGCTTTTTAATTTGTGATTGTCCATGAAAAAAGATTCTTCAGTACCAGAAACACTAAATTGATACGCTAGTATCCCCGTTGAGAGGAGTATTCAGCCAAAACTTTGACACAAAAAATATGGAACGGAATTGAAATTTCAATGGTTTGAAATGGGCAGTTGAAAATTTTTGTCTAACGGAAAAGCGGTATGAAGTTTGTTTGCCCTGCTCAGAGCCCAACATCATCAAATTATGAAGTAATTTTTCCTCCTTGCCAGATGGTAGAAGAAAATCAGCAATTTTCCCCATTTTAACCAATATAAAACTTACAACCTGGCAACCTCGACGCCTTCAAATCAGAAACTGAATTAAACTGTTCGCAACAAAGAGTATAAAGAGTACTTGAGTATGAGAGAGTATGCATTTTCCAATTTAGGGATGGCAATTTTTGATAATAAAAACGATTTAAGTAAGTCTATACGATTTTCACAAAATTTAAAAAAAAAAAAAAAAAAAAAAAATTCTACTTAAAAATCCACAGCCAAAAATCAATTTCAAGGATTGAAATGATGAAAAATTGATGACATGCTGTCATTGCTGCCGCAAAATTTGGACCAAAGTTTAAAAAAAAAACTTGTCATGTCTCAATGTGATTGATTTGAAATTGCCAACTCTATACTCTATAGAAAACTCGAAAGCTTACTGTTTGACACAACCTGCCGAAAATTGCTCCTCAGAAAAATGTATCTGTGTTTCAAGGTCTCCTTTTCCAGGGACAGTCACATCTAGTATTAATTAAGATTAAAATTAGTGACAAACGTTCCTTATCCATGTTCATTAACCCATTTCTTTTTACAACAAAAAGAACTGAAAATTGATCAGTCTAATTTTTTACGCCTAAGCTTTGGATTTTCTTTTGCCACAAGTCTGAAAAATTCATCTACTGAGAAAGCCTTCTATATTTTAAATTATTCATTTTTCTCCGTTTATTTTATCATTTATCGATTTAACTCATTAGTACCCTTCTTATCTTAGTAGAATATCCTTATGATTCTAGCCATCATACCCATAGGAATGTTTCCTAGATGGTAGTCATGAGGAAGTTAACAATGTTGATGCTCATCAAGAAGTGTTTTCCTTACAGAGGCAAGAAAATCGTTCTTAATGGTAGGAATACTGCAACTTTAAAATTGTTGGTCGAACAAGCTAAGAAGATGAAGTTGAAGAATTATGCAGTTCGTGATGCAGGGCTAACTGAGATTCCCCCAGGCTCTTGGACCGCCGTCGCTGTTATTGGTCGAGATTCAGCTGTCAGTAAAATATTCGGACAGTTACCTCTTTTGAAATAAAAATATGTCGGTTAGTCTGATAATGCTTTTTTCCTATTTTAGCAACCTGGGTTAATTTTCATGGCCCAAGTTCAAAAACACATCCTTAATAGAACAGTTTAAAATGTTAGCCCATTTTTGATTGCTATTGAAGGAATTCATCCTATATGGTTTTGGAAATCTGCTGCAATTTTCCTATTTTTGCAAGGCATGATTTCCAAAAGATCTGTGGGGTAATGTTTAGCCCTTATCTTTAAAAAAGTGTAAATATTAATGCAGGATAAAAAGATTTATTGATTAAGTGCCGTTTAGAATTGAAATTTAACAAATTCAATCTACATTATCATTTATTTTACCTTAATCTTACTGCGAATGACGGAAACTTGTGAACCTTTTCCCCTCAGGTATTGATAATTCAATTATCTAAAATTACAATTTCTTATGGAAATTTATTTCCCTAGTCACTGTTCAGAATGTAACTCAGATTACTGAACCTGGAGCCAGACTGAATTTCAGTTTGATTGCGTGGATTTGGCTGATGTTTTTCCTGATTTCAAATTTCTAAAAAGCTCCAAAATTTCCTTCCTTTTTCCTGACAATTATCCCAGTTTTCTCAACCTATAGATACCCTGCTGCATGCTGAAGCCGATTTTCTCTTCAACTCATTGTCAGCTTGGTCTGCATGTAAACCAGGCGGATAAAGAATGGTGGTCGCATTTCGATTTTGGCTACCATCTTGAAGCGTTGTGACGTCAGGAGGGTACGCGTTTTGGGATGCAATTCGAGGTTGAGCTGGCCCATTACCCAACTCACCCGATACTGTGTTACGTCCAGAGGGTACGAAATGCAACCACCATTCTTTATCTGCCTTGGCATGTAAAAGTGTTAGTGAACTATTTTGAAACACTACAGGTAAATTTAATTAGCATATAGTTGTGGAGGTGCACATGTTACAGGCTGATCCTGCAGCGTGGGCAAATCTAGATCAGCCGAAAGGCTTCTAGGTGTGCTTGTTTTTTTCCAGGCACATGTAGATGAGCTTAAGGTGGATCTAGGAACAGCTGAGAGCGATTTAGATTTACCCGCTCAGCAGGATTGGCTCCTAACAAACACTTATCAAGGGCTAAGGAACAATGCCAGCTAACTGTTAATCTTAGCGAAAATGAGTTAGCAACTCTGCCATATTCAACAGTATTAAGTACGCAAGCTTTTGTTTTTAGTTTTCATTAATTCCGCATGGGAGTGCGCTGTAACAGGTTTAAAAAAATTGCAATTTTGGCCTCAAAATTAAAAAAATAGCGTAATTTTTTCTCTATTAACAAAATCGTCAGTTTGCAGAAAGACGATAATTTTACCTTAGTCTCTGATAAGTATGATCCGCATATTCAAATTTAATTGGGTTAAAGACCCATTTAGTCAAACCATGTACAGTTCGCTGACGTATCTCGAACAAAAGTTAGTGTAAGTTAGTCCATGAAGGAAAAGTCTCAAGTTTTTATGTTTCTATCCAAACAGGTTTTAATGTGGCTTTATTTAGTATCGTTTGGAACTCAATTTTCCAATAAGAAAAATGGGTTGGTTTTCATTCTGTAACTTGGTTTCATTGAGATGCTTCATTTGAATTTTGTTACTCTTTTTGTCTTTTTCAGATTAAACTCTGAAAAATCTTCAGTTTCAATAAAAATTCTGCTCAACAACTGTCCTTCCCAACATGTTTATTTGCTTCGAACGTTAGCATCATGGAACTTCAGGAAACAAAGAGCATTTCATTTTTAGTCGTGCGGCGAAGCCGTATAGACTCTAGGTTTCGCCGGAGGCTAAAAAGTGTCCACACTTTTAGGCTAAGTCCAAGAGGAGAATTTTCGAGGAACCAAGTAACATATGAGGTATTGATATCGGTCCATTTTGGCCCAATGGAGATGTTACATGTGCGAGGAATTTGCAATTTAACTGTTGATTCTTGTATAAAAGTTCGCGAGGAACACAATAGTGCCACTGGTTTTCTCTGAAATCATCTCCCAAGCTCAAAAAAAGCTCTCAAGTTGAGGCCAAAATGGAGGGGATATCCCACCTTACCCTGAGAGTCCACGTCTACATGAAGACAAACTCTCCATGCAAAGATAGGGAGCAAATACATTAGCAGGGTTGCCGTGTTTTCAGTTTTGGAGTCCCCAGATAAATTGGTAGCCCTGTCAATGTATTAGCTCCCTATCTTTGCATGGAGAGTTGGTCTTGATCTAGACTTTGACTCTCAGGGTAGGGTGGGATATTCCCTCCATTTTGGCCTCAACTTGAGTGCTTTTTTTTGAGCTTTGGAGATGATTTCAGAGAAAACCAGTGGCACCATCAAGTTTCTCGTGACCTTTTACCCAAGATTCAACAGTCAAATCGCAAATTCCTCACACATGCAACATCTCCATTATGCCAAGTGGAATTTCTGATCATTTAGCCATGGTTTGGTAGCGTTTAGCAATCAACTGTGACCATAATGTAAAGAACCCACACAGGTGCCTTTCGGCGGAATGTCGCCCTATGGCATTCTTTATCATCGAGTCACAGTTTAATAGCGTAAATAAGCAACCAATGGTGGCCAAAATGTCAAGACTCCAAACTGGTGCTTTTTGGCTGAATTTTGCCCAATAGGATCTTTGATGATTTATCAGTAATGGTTGATGTTTATGTTGATTAATTATTACTGTCTGAAAGTGAATCCTGTGGGAGAATATTATAGGGTTGGTTCAAACAAGTTTTAGAATTTTTTTCCTTAGCGCTAATGGACCCTAAGGGACAACTTCAATTCATCGAACTAAAAGTTTTCAATGTTCATAACCATTTTTTAACTGTCAGAACTCTCTAGACCACATTATATTCATGATGAATTTAAAGAATATCGCTGTCAAAAGTTGAGTTCTCCTTCAATTTAGCACTTTTTGTCATTACCTTAAAGACCATACGGAAAGTGCTAAATCTACGGAAAACTCAACTTTTCACAGCGATATTCTTCAAATTTATCATGAATATAATGTGGTCTAGTGAGTTCTGACATTTAAAAATGGGTATGAACATTTAAGGCTTTATTTTCCTTGAATTTAAGTGGTTTTTCAGGGTCTACGGTAAGAAAAAAAAGTCTAAAACACGTTAAAAGTTACTTGAACCTACCCTATAATGTTGAGCTATGACTTCAACTTTCATGAACCCTTACTTGTGCCTTTCAGCTTGATTTTGCTAAATGGAATTATTTATGATTGAAGTCGTGGTTGAGTTTACTATGCTGATAAAATATCATTGGAAACTTTAGGTTTCACTATCATAGTCTTCTAAAAATAACCATCAGCATTACTGCACCAACCAAAATCTAGCCCAAAAAAAAAAATAATTCGGCTGAAAAAGTGGGAGAAGTTGGGATGTGCAGTCTCAAAATAAAAATACCTAGCTGTGATTGGACATAGCTTTGCTTTCATTGAGACTTTCAAATTTTATGAATAAAAAACAGTAAGCGTTTAGCAAAAACAGTTAGTTTTGTCCTTACCCGTAGACCATACAAAAAGAGCTAAATTGAAGGAGAACTTAGCTTTTGACAGCGATGCTCTTCAAATTTTTCATATACCTATACAATGTGTTCTAGTGAGTTTGGATGGTAAAAAATGGTCAGGAACATTTAAAGCTTTATTTTCCATGAATGTAAGTTGTCGTTCAGGATAGATTCTGACGACTAGATCCTTACTAGAGTAAGGAAAGAAAGTCTAAAATTGTTAAAAGTCACAGAAAAACGCGAAAAAAGAAAAAATTCGGAAAAGGAAGTCAAATTTACATAATAATTAAATTAACATAAAAATTTCGTAAAAAGTATTGGAAATTACGAACAAATGTATTGACGTAAAAACTGTATTAAAAAGAAAGTTAATTTTAATTAAGAAAAATAATCTTGGTAAATCAATTTCTCACGTAAATTTGACTCAAAATTCATTTAAAAAACAGGGCTGGATTTACCTACTTGCCGCCCATGGGCCGGATTTACCTACTTGCTGCCTATGGGCCACCTGTATTTTGCCGCCCCCTTCTCATTCGTTTCGAAACATCAATAAAAAACAACTTAATCGGCCCGAAACAGTAACAGAGAAACAACTTAAAACGGGACTAAGGCCGCAAATAATAAAAAAGAAACACATAAAATATAATAAGAAACCCGGGACGTTTCGCAGGGATCACACCCGCATTTTCAACCGGCAAAACAAGAAAAATTAAAAGAAAGGACACTATGCCCCTCACTACTAGCAAAAGTTCGCACGGAACTTTGCGCGAAAGTTAAGTTCCGTAAACCTATCTATGTGTGAACAAGGCCTTCCATTTGTAAGAAATGAAGGTAAAAATTATGCAAGAACAAACATAAGTGTGGTTTAATAATTTTAACTTCCGCCGGCGCGCCGCGCTGACCGCACTGTGTTTGGCACAATGCGTGAAGTATTCGTACAGTCTTGTAGGCGTTATGCGTTTCACGCCGACCGCCGCACAGTCGGGATTCCTTATGTAATCCCGAATCCGGGGCATTATCCCGAAATCCCGTCGGCTCAGGGGCCCCGTCGGGGCCCCTGAGCCGACAATTCCTGAATTTATTCTTCAATAAATGAAATGAATCCATGAAAAAGTGAAAAATCCTAGAAAAAAATCCTTGAATTTATTCTTCAATAAATGAAATGAATCCTTGAAGAACCCTCGTTTTTTCCAGTCCTTGAGGGTTTAACTCATAAGACCTTCTCTGAGGCCCCTACGGCCGGAAAAAGGTAACCTCAGGGGCCCCTGAAAAGATGCCAGCAAGGGCCCCTCAGCGATCGAAAAATATGAGCTTCAAGGGCCCTGGAGCGGCCCTCGAAGCTATATTTTCCCGGCCTCTAAGGGTTTTTTACTTTAAACAGCATGACTCTTTCTCTGAGACCCCTATAGCCCGAAGAAGGTCACTTCTGGGGCCCTTGAAAAGATGTCAGCAGGGGCCCCTGACCCTGGGCTCGAAAAAAAGAGTTTCACTTTCAGGGGCCGCTTTCGGGTCTCGAAAACTCTTTTTTCCGGTCTTTGAAGGTTATTCACTTTAAAATAACTTCTTTTTTGAGGCACCCCTACTGGCCCTGCAGCCGGGAGAAGGTAACTTCAGGGGCGGGGCCTCTGAAAAGATACCAGCAGAGGCCCCTGCGTAAAAGTTTGAGGAGGTTATGTGCTTCTTTATCAACAAGAGGAATCGCCGAATTTTTCAAGAAATATCTAAAAAATAGGTGACGTTTTCGGAGGCGCTATTTATCAAATTTCAATGCGAAAAGAGCCTAAAACTTCTATTTTCAGGGGTTAAATTTTCAAAATTTTACGGGGGAGGACCCCCAGACCCCCCTCCATCCCTGGGGGGCGACCCCCCAGACTCCCCATAGGGGCCCAGTTTTTACGTCAGGGGCCCCAAAATCCTAGTAGCTGCCTAACTTTTTTTACGCCAGTCCGACTCTGTGTGGAGGTTAAGCTACATTCACGCGTCGCAAGCAACCTGGCGCGTCTGCTTCTTGCTACTGCGAGCGCGCCTTCATTTCCTCCCGCACGCAACAAGGACAACCGCGATGATAAAGAATTCCATTTGGCGAAATCGAGCCGAGAGCAGGCACCACGAGTATATACATATGGGTTATTTTAGTGATGGGTGGGATTTTATTTAAAATTCCTATGAATCCTAGGTTTAGTATTTACTGTAGTAAACAATTATCAATTATTCCATCACTTCTTCGGATTATTTATTTTTAATCAATCTATATTCATGTGAAGTGTAGCTCATCTGCATTTTTCTTTCCCTGGAACCTAAATGTATATTATGAATTTGAATCCATCAGAAACTAAGTCAGTCAAAATCAAATTTAACTACATACGAAGTGAAAACGATTTGTATTTCGCAAATCAAAGTAATAGTTAAAGCAACCAAACTGTGTCAGAAATGTTCCCAAATTACTGGGTAAGGCTTTTATCAGCTCATCATCTGATCCAATAATTTTAATTTTGGCATTTCATTCGGCATGTCGCCGCACGACTTCTATGATACTCAAAGTCTCACATATATAATTTGAAAGGGGGGGTCTGGGGGGGGCGGCGCCCCCTCAGCAGGTAGCTTTTGCTACTTGTTTTTTAAATATCCAAGCATGATTTATGTAGGTTCCAAAAACAAAAATTGAGGAGCATTCCGGAAAACGGGCACATACGCGTATGTGCCCTTTTTCCGGAAATGGCAGAAATGGATTCCTCGCATCCTAACGTACCAATGTCCCGAGTTTCAGCTCAAATACCTAATCAATTTTTGGAGCTAAGAGACCAAGTTTTGTAAGGCTAAGTCAGGGGTCAGAGGCATATTTTGCCTATTTGCCTCTGGGTACGGTCGCCACGACGTTGAGGAGATAGCACGCAGGCAGGCAGGCAGGTGATGGGTACTGAAAAGGATCCCTCACTATAGATGCATCATGCATCGCACTGATTCTGCTAATCAATGCAATAGCATCGGGTTGCAGGGATTGTCTCCGCGTTGCACCGGTCACAATGTATTTGTGTAATTATTAACCATTGAATTTTTAATGGTCTCTTGTGAGTTTGAATTTTTTGCGTGTTTCGCTGTCTTTTTCATTCATAATGATCAAAGATGATCCACCCGCGCGTTCGCGATTGAAATTATTACTTATTAATTAATCGGAATTATTTATTTTTGTTTAGAAACTCGTTAAAGTCTCGAAAATTCAGCTTCAAAAGCCAAAACCTATGACTACCGGTCCATTTCCGGAAAAAGGGCACATAACGGAAAACTTTAAAAAATTCCTCCCACAACACTGAAAGAAGTGTAAGTTTTACCAATGGTCGTTATTCATTCTAGGATGTATGAACTTTGATATGAGTGCCCCAGTTCCGATGTAGGTCATCATCAGTGGCCAGAAAGTAAGAATGAAAACTTCAAATGCGTTTTTCTCACAACGCGTTTTTTCGGTATGTGCCCTTTTTCCGGAAAGCTCCTCAATTGTATCCAAGCAGGGGTGTAGAAAATGTTCAAGTACCAAGGTACACTCTTCTACAGGTATGGACAAATAGGGTGCCGAAGTGGCAGCGCTGAGAATATAGGCCATCGAGTGACGTCGCAAGTCGAACCATCTTTGCCGCGCAGTTCAAAATGAGGTTCTGGCAGCTTCAATAAGCTATCAGATGAATTTAAAAAGTGATAAAACTCAAAATAACAAAAAACTTAGCTAAGGACACGAAATTGACGAGACCCACTCTCAGAACAGATAGTAAATAAGTTTTCAATATGGCGTCACAGTCGCACCATTGGACGCTGTCAAATCTTAGTGTTTTGACGACTTTCTAAAATTCCATTTGTCCACACCTGTCGTAGAATGTACCTTGCTCAAGTACATTAAAACTTGTGGCGTTTTCTATGGCGTGAGGAGAGATCCATTTTCAAATGTACATACAACCCTTATTCAAAATAGGTACCCTCCTTAAAGTTTCTTGACATTTGATGATTACATTACAATTAAATGTCATAGAAAATTGTGGCACCCTGCAGCCTGATTGTTGAAATTTTTTGTTCGTTGGGACGACATAGATGACGTAGGTTAAAAGGAGGAGCATGATTGGTCGGCTATGTCTTATCGCTGCTTTGTCATGCCTATGTCCGGTTGAACTCACGACAAGCTAACGGCACCTCTTAAGTTTCCGACAGTATGGGACAGCAAAGGCACGACAAAGTAGCGATAAGACATAGCCGACCAATCATAATCCGCCTTTCAACCTATGTCATCTATGTCATCCCGACAAACAAAAAATTTCAAAAATCAAGCTGCTGCTGTTTTCCCAGATGAGAAAATCGGCTTAGTGAGTGTAAAGAGACGATATTGCAAGCAAGGAAAATCATACAAGTCTCGATGGTTCTTTGAATTTTTATTGAATGGAGAAAAAAATCAGAAAATATAAATAACAAATTCATAAAATAAATCCAAACAAAAAAATTTAGAATGAAGTGAATAAATTACATCCATGTTAATTGTTAATTAACGTGAAGTATATCTAACCGTGATGCATGACGTCGAATTGCTTCAAAACAAGACAAAAGAGAAATGAGTAAAAAAATAATGCAGTACAATAATCTCTTAAACTTACGTCAGGTCAAAAGACTTATCTGAATAAATTAAATAAAATTAAAGCAGGTGGACCAGTCAGTTAAGTAAAAACAAGAACTAGAAAAAGTTACTTTCTAAAAGAGAAAAAATAATACATTCACAACAGAATCGAACCATTGAATCACTTGAGTAGAGTATGGAAGATAAAACCGTCATGTAAAAATATTCTTAAGCACATCTCTGAAACAGCAAATAGTTGAGACTTGCCCCTTATGAATCCATGAGAGGTGTAGAGTATTCTCAGTAATTTTAATTCAAAGTTGGAGATCGTAATAATATAAACCACTAAGCCTAATTCCAGAGTAAATCAAGAAGACTCGATTTTCTAGTGAATTTTGGAAGAAATCATGGACTGAAAATCCTGAATGTGGGATGGATTTAAATTCAAAATCTGTCTTAAAACAATGTAAAGAATCATTAAACTATTGAATAAACAGCTATGTGCAACAAATTTTTGTCATGCAAATCAAATAAAAAAGAACATTCCGAAGTGTTTTCCAATACTACAGGGGTTTTCAGCTTAAATGCAGGGCCGAATTCGAGGAGGCCACATGGATCATGCCCCCTGGCGGATCGCTGAGACGCAACAGCAGATTTCAAAAGTGATGACATACCTATCAGTGTGCTTTTTGCTTTTTAAGTCTTTAATGAGGTTAACATTCGCGAGTGGATTCAGTTCACTTCTGAGCCAAATTTTACAGAGTGGCCAACTAACAAAGACTCGAGTGTTAACCAAAAGTCAAGAACTAAACTCCGTCGCAATGACTTGCGGCCAACTAATGCTGGCTACCTAGTGAGGTGGGTTGAAGATTTTAGATGTGGTTGTCATTGCAGTCGACATGAAAACCAAATATTGTAGGCGCAGTGCACAGTCGCCTGGAGGGAATTTCGTTTAGTCGTAACGTAGGTTGGTGATGAGTTAAAATTTTTACCGAATTCGCTGATAAAAATTCGCCTGGGGCCATCACTTCGGAATCTAGAGTCTATAAAGTCATACATCCAGCCCTTAGTTTATACGGAAAAATTACCATACTTTACCAGGTTTTCCAAAAACGTAACCTAAATCTACCAAAAATTAATATTAAAATAATTTAGCTAACTTTACTTGAAAATTCATGAGACCCTTAAAGAATGCACTGACACAAAATTCAACCCCCTCTCCCCCTTATCATGATTTTCAATAGGAGTTCAAATCCATCTGACTCTTGCGAACACTTTTTCTAGCATACATGTTTGCAAGAAAACTAGACAGCAGATTTAAAACTCGAGAATCAATCAACGAATATTTCTGAAAATGACCGGGAAAAGTTTTTGCAGTTGTATCGCTCAGTTTGGATATGCAGCAGTTGCAGTATTCACACCAGGGTGTCTACTAAAACAGGCTGGCCAAATATCATCATTTTACAGTACTTTTTCAGTACACTCCCAAGAAATTCAGTAGCTCTTCAAAAAAAAAGAAATTCAGTACTTCATCAGTACCTCCATTTAACGAAATTCGAAAAATTTCAAAAATTTGAATTTCTTAGTGCGCGATAAAAATGACAAAAAATTGTAACAAATTCCGGACCTTCTTGCGGAATTTTCGCACTTTTTCAGTACCTCCGAACCGCACTTAAAAAATCGGCACTATTTCCTGGCCGCCCTTAAGAAATTACAACTATTTCCAAACTTTCCGGACTTGTAGACACCCTGATCCACACATTTCTGGGTATTTGATAGAGACGATCATGTAACAAGTCAAAATTTTGATTGAATGTTTTGTTAAACATCCATTCTTAATAAAGCAGGTTTGTCTGGATAAAAAAATTGATAGACAGCAATTTTGTTCCGATACGTAAACCAGCGCTTACGTAAATTTAATACAAAGTGAGACAGGTTTCAGCTTAAAAATGCGATAAAAAAAAAGGAAAAAAATAAGAGGATTTCTGTCCCAATGATAGAGTTCAATGGGTAGATTTAAACACTTGATAGCCGTTGGTCGTTGTTGTGGGGTGCTTTTGCGTTGATCGGTAGAAGTTTTGATTGTGTAGGTGCATTGTAAAATGTTTGACAGTTGGTGCTTTGGAATAAATGTAACGAGAGAGGAGCAAGTTCAGTTTCTGTACGATTCAGTGAATTGTAGCGGATAAAATTTTCGTTCCTTTTCGTATCGTGTTATCTGTATGTGTGGCAGTCGACAAGAGTTACAACGTATTACGTAGTGGAGTCTGTAAAAATTAAAAACGCATTAGAAACACTATAAGGTGAACAGTGATACGGGTGGCAACAAATTCATAAAGTACACGGTTGGAAATCTTACCGACAGCTTTCCAAAACCGATGGCACATAGAGGGGAAAAATTGACTAGCAGGTGAGAAAGAGCTAAAGGAATTGGAGATGGAAATAATAAAAGAGGGATCACGTAATTTCTAGTTCGTTTGTTCGAGGAGAGAAAATGAAATTAGCTGGACGATTTTTTAAGGCTTCTGCTAATTGGAGTACATTTTGCAATGAGGAACTATTATCGATGGCTCATCCGAAAAAAACACCTATCTACATGAGGAATGAAAAAACGGAAGAGAGGAAGAAGGAATAAAAAGAGGAGGAAAAAACAGAGGGGTAGAAGAAGAAAACATGAAGAGAAGGTAAAAGTAAAGGAGAACAAGAATGGGAAGAGATGAACAGGAAGGAGTCAAAAATAAGAAAAACTGATGTTCCTTACAGCCTCCTAAGCACAATGACCTTTCAAAATCAAACTTTCTTTGTGCTACTCTTAAGAAAAGCAGGGCTACGAGAGCATTTTTTTAGCATTTTTACACGCAAGATTCAGTGGAAATGTTACTACATCTTGATGGTGAACGAGGAGATCTTTTGATTCCTTGCAGACCCGAGATATAAAACAGTCGAAGAGAATAAAATTCCACCAAATTATAACAGCATGTGGAGCAATGTTCACATACACATGGCAAAAGTTCCACATCTTCATTAGAAAACGCGTGTAGGAGTGCCAAAAGCCCTGTTTTCATTGGCACATAGGAAGTTTGATTTAGGATCTCATGGTGCTCAGGAGGTCGTGCAAAATATCACAACACGAAATAATATTGAAATTTAGCCGGAGCCGAATTCATTGCTACTTTAGGATTAATCCTTTGAGTGTTCATACTTAAATATTTGTTGAAGTGTACTTTTATATTTCACTGGAACATTTTGTTACCTGTGATGCGAAAAATTAAAATTTGCACCTAAAACAGTGGAAAAACAGAGGTTGAATTGGACGTATTTCTGCCAGACGGAACTATGCAGATTAAGATATGAGCCCTGAGACCCATGAGAATATTTGCTTAACAGGGCTCATGTCATAATGCACATAGTTCCGTTTGGCAGAAACACGTCCAATTGGTTTTATTCTTAGAGGATTTAAGATACTGCATTTTGCACATAATATTAGGTAGAGAGAGGGTATAGGGTGATAGATAGGTGAAGTGCCATTAAAATTCAAGCTGTCCACTGAAAAAGGTCAAGTTGAATACAATGTTTGTACAGTTGGTCATCAGTATTTTACATTTGATGGGAAAGGCCAGTAGGTAAGTTAGATTAACCGAGGATTAGTTTCGGAGGTTTGTAAAGTAGATTGTACACGAGTGTCTAGAAGCTTAAGTTAGAAAATTACAGGAAGGAAAAGGAGGTCTGCGGTCCATTTACCGAGAGGAAAGAAGGTCATAGACTTCCACACCAATATGTAATTTAGATGTCAGAGAAAAATAAACAATTGTAAGCAAGCAGCAGGCATAGGATGGCTCGTGTAATTCAGTATAAGTTAACAGAAAAACTTAAATGTGCCACACCAGTGAAGGATAATTTGAAATAAAATTACACCTAATTACTTCCAAAATCAGCAAATCAGCTTCTATTATCTTGAAGAAAAGATTTAAAATAATTTCCAGTCTTCAGAGAGATTTAAAGTTTGTATAAAAAGGAGATGTCATTTACCAGATGACCCTTGGATCAATGGACAAGAATGGCGATTAGGTGTTGCAGAGCGCCCAGGTGCACTGTAAAAGCAACTTGTGTGTATGTATAAAGAGAAGATGTAAATTTACAATGATGAAATTGTTTTGATTTAATTTGCTAAGAAAAAAAATAACTTTATCCGTAAGGAGGAGGGGTATTTGACTTATGTCACTCAAGGCATTAAAAAACATGATACAGAGACATTACAAAATCTTGAAAAGAAATAGTTGAAATCTCAAAAAAAGAGGAAAAAATTAGTTCAGGTACATGCATTAATCTAATAAAGGAAAAATGGACTACTTTGTGCAATTGGAAACTACAATTTCTAGCTCATCTATAAACATGCTTTTGTACATAAAAAAACTAATGGCGCATTCATTGTTCATAAACTGAGCCAGAAATTTCAGTTCCTAATTGCAAAATGCGGTTCAAATGAACCGCATTTAGCAGAAGAGAACCAACGTAATTGCAGTGGTTTTAAAATCATGCAACTTCTTTGCTTTAAAAAATGCTGAATAAAAATATAACGTCCAGATTTTCGATTTACAAGACCGTTTTCCTTTCTGACAATTTTTGGTAAAAAAAACAATATCTACTTGCTACTCTGGGCGTTTTTCAAATAAAGATGAATATGCACGATTTTACACCACTGTAATCGTGCCGTTCCTTTCTGCTAAATGCGATCAAAATTAAACACAACTTTCTTCACACTCCAAAAAGGACTAAGGAGACACAGGAAAATGGCACAGTATGATGTAGAATTCAGTAAATATTCCTGAATAAAAAAATACAGGTGTCCTTTCTGCTGAATGTGATAAAAATTAAACAAAACTTTCTTAACACTCCAAAAAGGACTAAATAGACACAGGATAATGGCACAGTACGATATAGAATTCAGTAAATATTACTCCATAAAAAGTGGAAGTGTAGAAATGCAATGATAGCCCTTGGTGGCTGTATAACCAGCTAGGAAAAATATAAAACTAAAAAAATAATACATAAAAATCAACATGAGTGAAATTGGTTTCACATTAACACTAAAATTCTGATTATTCAGACTCCTAATTATTCAAACCAATTTGGCATGTTGACCCGGGGAGCTGAGACTTCCTGATCAGGCGATCATGATCGCATGGCCACTCCCAAAAAATGGGAGGCCAGCTCGCAATTTCATTAAAATCACATAATTCTTTTGTGAGAACTGCGGAGAATTTGTGAAGACTGGCCAAGAAAAAAAGTTATAGCTTAGAAAATAATGGGGAAAAAAGAGAATAGGAGGGCCAGTTCAGAAGATGGGAGGGCAAGAAGTTTTCCGTACCCATGGGTGAAATGCCATCGTAATAGATGTCGGCACACCCTGCTCAGCCCAGAAGAACTCGGCAACACAAGGAAAAACTGGTCATGACAGGTGGCTTCGAATTGCCCAGTTTTTCACCTTGATGTTTGTTTATTTTCTCACACAATTTACAATGCTCAAATGAAGACCCAATGAAAAAGACGAAGATTTCAGTGGCACTGGTGATGATATTCGCGATATGACAAATGAAGTGTCCCATGATGGAACTAGTAGCTCAGATGATGAGTTTCTGTGCGATATTGTTCCGTTGTCCTGTGTTATAAAAAAGAGTTGGAGTAATGCAGCACCAAGTTCGACGACCACCTTTGATGGAAGTGATTTGGAAGATGATGCAGGTGCCGATACTTGAACTGAACCAAAAGGTAAGTGTCATAGTCTAATCGTTGGGTTGGTGGTAGGTGCGCAGAAGGGTGGGGTACCTCTGTTAGATGCTGTGCACAATTGACGATAATATCATTACTCAATTCGTCTCTAATATTCCAAGACAAGGTCCACATGTCACATTTGAAGCATACTCCTTATTTTCAGCTGAATCTTTGCAAGAATACTTGGACAGGTTCAAAATTCAGCCAGGCCTGTGTAATATGCTTGGGAACCAGCCGACAGTGAAATGCCTAAGAACGTATCTTGTTGGCCGTGTTTCAAAATCTCTGCTCCCTTTTTATTTTCTTGAAGGAGAACAAAGCAATATTATTTCTTGAAGTTTTCACAGAAATTCATTCACACCGAGAAGGAAAATCAAGGAGGTTTTAAAGAATGGACGTTAAACAGTTCTCCTTTTAAAAAATGAAGTAAGACAGGAAGTCTGCAAAGTCACAAACCAAGATACGTGCTTGGAGTTTCATTACTGAAACGAGCATTGTGGGCAAGAGTGCACTTGCACTCGGAACACATCTCTGCAATTACTGCATTGCAGTTTCCAGGTGAAAATGAAGATCTCTCCTTCGCAGATATCAAGAGGTACAACAATGGACAAAAAAAAATGGATGGTTTATGGAGGTTGACAATTTTATCTGAACAAAAAAACTAATCCGATGAAGCCATAACTTTTTGTTAACTAGTTCAAAAGCCTAGGGAATCAATTTTTGAATTTGTAGCATCATCACTCAGCTCCAGTTTGTTATAATGAGAAATATCAGTGATCAATACAAGTCGCAAAGCTTCGTTGCACACCCCGCGGTTAACCCGTGGTTGCCTTTAAAGTGGCGGAACCCCATTGGCCACTACGAATTTGTGGATTATTTTGGATTATGGATAATTACGAAATTCAGGGCCTTATCAACAGAGCATGGATAATGATTTCTGTATTGAACTCTGTCGTGCTCACCGATTTCACCATGAAAGCCACCTTCTTTGCCACTACACTCAGCAAACAATTGAGACTACGTGTAGAATATTTCATTTTTGTCCGTATTTCCAAACAGAAAAAGTGAGAGTAATGAAACTAGTGGACTTCGAATTCAGAGGGTCATTCTTTGGTTCAATGCATTGGGGTAAAATTTATCAGATTTTCAGTAATCTTGTAAAGAATGCAACGAATGAGTATGTAGCACACTAGAGATACAGTCAAGTAGATGATTGCTCTACTGGTAAAATCGCTCAAAAATCTCGATGAGCGCATTGACAAAGTCGGAAATCCACTCCATAGCATGCAATCTGCTTTGTTTGCGGCATACTTTTAAAATTTCCTGCGTTCGCAGGCAATGTTTCTTGGTAGCTGATAATCGAGTTCACCCAAAGAAAGGTGCAAGAAAACTTCCCCCAAACAAAGAAAGCCCAAGCCTCCCTAAAATTTGGTGGTCGTGGTTTTGGAGCATGCAGGACAACAATATCTGCATAAGTTAAATAGTACCTGTGGTAGTTATCACATGCATATTTCTATGCTACTTAAAACTATCAGTTCTTTGTACATTAAAGTAGAAAATTATACAAAAGTTAATGAGACAGAAATAAAAGTTGAAGCAACAAAATATACAAAATATCTTTCTTTGCAGAACATTAAGCTACAATGAATTAGTCAAGACCTGGTTTGAGGTTAGTCACGTGAAAATTTGATAGAGTTCAGGTGATACAGTTCCATAATAATTTGTAATGAGTGGAGGAAAAACACCTATCATTTAGCAAAATTAATGAAAGAATAGCGACAAAGATACTTAATTTTTTTCTTTTCAAGAGATCCTACGAGGCTACAATTTGAGGTATTGTAGTTTACGACATGCCAGAAATTAGACTAACTGGGAAAATAATTTATCAGAGGGAAGCCTGGCATTAAATTTCTGTTAAGAAAAGAAAAACTATTAGCAGGGATGTTTTTAGTTGTTACATCAGTTAAATGAAGAATTCACTTCATTACGAGATCTCGAACATTTATAATACATTAAACTAAAGGTATCAGCTGACTGAAATCATTTCTTCGTAATTCATGACAAAAGTTAAAACAGAGATGTAACTTAATTTAATCAGTAGATAGATAAAAATGAAAGTTACGCACGTATGTTGTGCAAGCCTTCACACACACTATGCGAGCTTTGCAAACGCAAAGTTCACAAAAGAACATATCCATTATTTTTACTGCAGCAACGATTTCCTTTGCAGGCTACTGATCAGTATACACTAGTTGATGAAAGGGGACATGTTGGACTCAGCAAAGCGTTTTATGTTACATTATTTAAAGCATTAATGACCGTTTGCTGAAACGTCACAGGGTGTCTACAAACTTTGCGGAAAAAAGTTCCCTGCATTTTCCAGATTTTCTCAGATCAAAATTTTTTGATTTTTCACAACAACAATTAGAAGGCAAAAAACTGAAAATAAACAATTTTCAGCATTGATTTGATTGCAAATTACAGGAACAAGTGAATCTTCTATCTTCAGTGCGAATCATTCCGTTTACTAATATTGCAATTTTTTATGGAAATGTTCTGTTCACTATTTAGAATATAACTCCCAGCACTAAACCTAGAACAAGACTGCGACTCAGTTTGCTTGTGTGGATGATGCTAAAGCTTAGTCTGACTTTAAATTACAAGATTTATCAAATTGCCAGGCTTTATTAAAAGATTCCATGGCTTTTCTCCGATTTCCCAGACCTGTAGACACCCTGCGTGAGATATACATGCTTCGACTTCTACAGTTGGATAGAAGAGAGATTATTTGTCGTCCAGGAACTGAAACGATAAAATGAGCAAAGGGTAGCAGGGAAGACGTTTATCTTCAATTGTACCTTAGAGTAGCTGAGAAGAGCGAGAAAGAGTTGCAGGTTTTAAAGCTTTCCGTAAGTCTCGGAAAATTACTCTCACCAACTTTCTTCGGCTTCCACACGCGTTCGTTTGCGACTGTCATTGCGTGGCGGTTCAGCCTCCATCACTTTCAACCTTGACTGCCCGATTTCTTGACCATGCAAGTGCTGCAAAAATGATGGTCGAAGAGATAATAAGAATCATGAATAAAACAGAAGATAAGAGTGAGATAAGACAAAATATATTAGAGAAATGGTACAACGAAATTTATTGGAAAGACGACAGAGAAAGATGGACTAGAACAATTATTGGCAATAATTTCTATGAGTGGATGTACAGGGGGCATGGTGTCCCTGATTACTATCTGACACAGTTCCTGACAGGACATGGCTGCTTCGGTTTGTATCTACACAAATATAAGATCAGAGAAGATCAGGGATGTTTCATGTGTGGTGCGAAAATGGATGACCCTGATTATGCATTTTTCCAATGCACATACTTCAACACGGAAAGAGATGCGGCCCAGGCGGCCGTGAATTGCGAAATAAAGAAAAATACGGTCATGAAGGTCATGTTAGAAACAAAGACAGGTTGGAACACGATATATAGATACATAAGATTAGTGTTAGAAAAAAGAAACAAAGTATCAAATGGTAGGGTGCCAACCACCCAAACCGATGTAGTGGCCACGGCCGGTTCCGGTATTGTAGAAAATGGATAAGACAAGTTTATGTAAATATGATTAATTTTTTATTTTTTTCTTACTGATTAATTAATTACCCAGCTTATAACGTTTTGAGATCTCATACAGACCTAGAATATTTATGCTACTATTTCCTACACGGATTGTAATTATGATTAACTTATGATTAACTCTTTACTATCTGATCAATATGATCTCATAACTTTAATTTTACATACTTGAGATCTCAACTAGAACCTGAAAATGTATTTATATGCCTCTATACGAATTGTATCCATGCCTATACACGCATTACTTGATTTTCAAGATATTTTGAAAATGAATTACCAGGGAACACAGACAAAGCTGAAATACTCATTCTACAACAAAATTTTTGAGTCTTAATGTAGCATTCATTGCTGCGTAAGGACTTGGTCCTCACATGATTGTATCTGGAATGTTCAGAAATTTTTGTCAACCTTGGTCAATTAGGAGGCCGGAATCGTGACTGACTTCTGCTTCTAAAAAAATGTCTGCACCCCTGACATCTCATGCACCAAGAACAGTAGGTGGCCTCAGTAAATATGCATTTCCGCACATGTGTCTTGATGGTTATTTAAAATCTTGAGTTTCCTTTAAAGCTGTGTGTATGCTTAAAACATATTTCTTACCAATTTGATTTGAATTTCTTAGTTTGCTGCCTGCAAACATTTTGAAGTCAAAAGAATAAATTTATTACTCACCAAGATGGCATTCGCTCCACTGTCTTTTTTGGCATAAGAGACATAACCGCAATTTTTCCCATGGAGAACATGGATGTCAGTTATATGACCAAATCGGCAGAATATATCTCGGATTATATGCATCGGTGGCAACGCAGGTTGAGCTACAATAAATAATCTGGAAATAGGGAAGAAAGGCAAAGGTTACACTTTTTACAGTAATCTTTAAATGATAAATTGGAGCTCTTGGTCCAACCTCTAATTGCAAATTTACAATTTGTGTAGGCAGCACTGATTATTTTCAGACTTCAAAATTCAAGATAGTTCAAATTTCCAATCTTTTACATACAGTTCCCTGACCTGATGAAATTCTCTGATAATCCCCTGTTTAGTAAAAAAAAGCCAACAGTGGCGTGGCGTGAATTACGATATATCAGTTGTTAAGCCATTTAAACCTATGGTAAAGAGTCGATTATTAAGGTGTTCTCTGTAAACGCCCTGTTTATCGATCCTTTTCCATAGGTTTAAATAGCACAACAATCATTTTATCGCAAAGCTTGCCACGCCACGCTACTGGAAGCCAACTCAGAATAAAATAACATAGTTGATTTTCAGTCTAAAAATTTAGCCATAGGCAAAACATATGCATGGTTGTAATAACTAACACTAGAAATTTCTTGACTTTTCTCATGGGTTCTACAAAAATTGTATCCAAAGGTCTCTATTCAAGGGATAATTACGACTGATTTTTCCGTAAATGGAGAAAAGAAGGTAAATTTTAGGCTAAAGTTGCAACACTGGATCTTGATGCTCACACACCTGATTTCTGAAGTTGTCCCAGCAGGAGCAAGAGGTTGAGGAGGAGGCAGCCTTAGAGAACCATATTGATTGGGCAAATCATTCAGCTCAATTCCGTCTGAAACAAAAAAAAGAAGAGAATAACCCGAAATTCAACAGAAGATCAATCCCTGTTGGTCGTTATTTTTTCTTTCTATCCATTTTAGTTTTGTGTAGTTAGAATTCTTCCTTTGATTTAGAACACACATTTTGATTGGCATGACAATTAAAATACACGTTAAAATAATGACCAATTATTTAAAAAGTAGGTACCAGACTAGGTCAACTGTTAAAATAAAGTTGCGCTTTTTTATTTTAAATATTTATAAAATTTATTACTAGTGGAGAGCCCTCACCTGTAGAGAGTCCAGCTGCTTTTAATAATGCTGTTGCCTGAGACAGTGCTTTCGTAATAGAGAGTAGATGATCAGCAGACACTCCAGGGTCAGCTGGCAGCAAATTATTCCTCTGATTTCTTCCAAAGCTCATGTCTCGATCTCGACCTTCGTAATACTCTGGCTTGATGAGAACCGGGTACCCTGGCGGGTATTCGAATCCATCAAGCTTCTCGCGAGCATAGGCAGCACTTTGTGGCCATGCATACTGAACTACAAAGGAGTATTCGTTTCGGAAACCCATTCGATGGTTATTGGCTGGAAATACAGACTCCAAGCCTGGGATGAGGTCGAATAATTTAAATAGATTCGAGTGCGATACGTTCGTGTTGAATACTGCTAGAAGTCTTGTGTAGTTATCTGCATTAGGTGTCTTGTTAATGATATCACCTGGAATGGAAAATAGGAGTAAAGCTAGATGTAATTTTAAACTTGAAATACATTATTAGTTACAATAATGGTCGTATTCAAGCTGTTCCTTCAACAGCTCCTTTCCTAAGGAACACTCTACACTGTGACTAGGGGAAGTTTAAGGACAGCCTTAACATAGCATAATACAAAGGGTAATTTTAATGAATTTCTGGTAAAATTCAATATTATAACTTTAGAAATAGACACTTAACCTATACCAGTTTACAGTGAAAGCTTGATGAGTCAAATTCCTTCGGAGTCGTACATTCAGATATGTTGAATTTGTTTATTTTTTTGATCCAGTCAATTTCCTATACAAACAATGTACCTAATTGATTTCAGATTAAGATAGGATCCCAATTTTCATCTGAGTTTGACGTGCATAAGTCTTGGACGCAATTTTAGATCCTGTCATAAACTTTTTTTGCATTGAGCAAGGCAAAAATGCAGAGTTGCTGACTGTATTTTAGGAGGGAGACTAATGAGTGTGCATGTCGGGTGAGCGGTCAGATAAAGTAAGGAGACATGCATTGGCAGAAATGTGACCCCGCGCAGCGTGCAGCTTCAGCCCACTTCAACCTCGTGATTGCTACTTTGCTGTTCATGTAATGAGAGGGATAAGATGAGTGATAGAAAATGCATACCTGGGCCACCTGAATCGAATCTTTGAGATCCGAAACTGTTGGGGAATTTGTTGTTATGACTACTGTCGCTAAGGTCAGATGAAAAACTTTTCGCTTCTTTCGGCCTAGCAAAAACAGCTTTGTACTGTCGATCGCACTCCTCAAAAGCTCTTGCGCAATGAGAGGCCCTGTGGGAAAAAAAACAAATAAAAATAATAGTAAATCAAATTAAAGGAGAGGGACAAAGCATTTATCAATACTTCTTCATCAGCCTCGTCTTCAATGGTTCTTAATTTCTTAGGAAATTTGGAAATTTGAAGTCTTTATCTAATTTTAATTCTAGAATTATATCGAATTATTATTCGGTGAGGATGACCACTTCTGGCCGTAAACACTGCTGTCGCAGGCCATATTGAACTTGCTTGCTGCCACAATGAATACACAGCTGAGGCAAGAAAGAGAGCAGTTGACGAAGAAGTCCTTATGACATTGTGCTATCATTCAAATTTTATGGTTTGTGAATGTCACTTAGATGTGAAATACTCAGGATGCTACTTGATTAAAAAAAAAAATAAAGATCCTGTGATCCCTATCTCCTCATAGCGGAAAAATTACTCTCAGGGATGGACAAAACTTTACTTAGTTTTATTAAAAAATGAGTGATGAGTTTTATAAACATCCCTCGCTTCGCTCGATTACTTTGCCAGGGTATAAAGTGAAGTTTTCTGACAGTGTTCTGTCTTCCCCCAAAAATTTTAGCTGCCATCTTTTTTTGGTCTAATTTTCAGAAGTCATCTACTACTGCTTCGCCATTGAGAGTGTGAAAAAATGAACAGAGGGTGTCAAATTTTCAGGGCACCAGGATGGCCCAGCCATTTTAAATCTGTCGGATAAAATGCACAGAATATAGAAGGTCTATTTCTCATTGTCAGTGAGGAGGCTGATTGAATCCAGCAGTTGGTGCTCTATAGCAAATTTACTGTTATCCTGTATAAAACTTCGAAACACAAACACTGTCAGGTGCAGCTGATCTTTTGAGTAGTCTATGGAATAAACAATGAAAAAATGAATGAAATGAATCATAGGGCTACTTACTTTTGATATTTTACATACGCCAGCCCTTTACTTTCACGAGTTTCCCTATTCTTCACTATAGTTACGCTTTCGAGACTGCCGAACTGCTTAAAGTGTTCTGTCAATTCTTCTTCTGTTGCTGATTTTGGCACAATGATGAACAATCTGTGAGCTTCGCTTTGATCACGTTTTGGGTCAAAGTCCTTACTGAAAAAATAAAGGAGAACATTATAACATAATCAACTAGGAAGGAAAAGAGCAAATTACAAACAAATACTAAAGAAAAAACAGTACTCAAACTGATACAATGCATTGGTACATGGAGTTTCCCAATTTTTCCCTGGATTCATGGGGGGGTTTTTCATTCTCTGTAATTGGACCTATGGGAAGTAGAGAAGTTTTTACACCCCTGCTCATGTGAGGCATGAGGAAATCTATGAGCGCATAAGTAAGAAAATTCTTCAATGAGAACATTTTGATTTCCTTTTTAAAGTTATTTTAAAGGGAAGCAAAACTTGAGGCACAACAGAAAGTAGCGCTGATGTTAAAATCGCACTGCTTGACATTTACTGTGGACATCTCAGCTGAGTGAGGAAATTTTGAGGCTGACTTTGCAATTCTTCATTTCTGAAGAACCTTTTGCACCCTGGACATCGAAGAATAAGATACATAAATATGGAGGGTGCTAGTATAAGATAAGATTGCAAAAAACACGAGATACATACCTTTGCGCGATCATGACTTTCATGGGTCGATCATATTTTTTACAGATTTTTCCATCCATTTCTTCCATGGCTGTTGCAGCCTGTGAAGTCTTAGCAAATTTAATATAGGCAATTCCTAGAAATCGGAAAAGAGGGAACAATGAGCGAGTGGTTTAAATATCAAAAGGCAAATAAGGCGAGCAAGTTTTGTAAAGGGGAAGCCATTAGTACATAAAACTGGACGTGTTTGAATCAAAAGGAACTATCTTCATTTTGGCAAGGTGTGTCATTCTTCTGTCATTCTTATCGGTCTAGGGGTCCTGATCTTGATGGCAATCGTTCCTATTGATTAAAATATGTTCAATTGAGAGTAGCAAGAGGCAACTTGTAAAAGAATAAATTTAAATTCTCTAGACAGGGCTGAGCTTGTACAAAATAATCAAATTCTAGGCCGCTGGTATTGTTCACAAACGTAGGTCTATCTCAATCATTACGTTGACAGATACATTCAGATGTCATTATTAATGGGAGTTGATAAGAACAATTTTCTACTTGTCTCAACATGAAATGAGCAAGTCTGGTAGATAAGAGTTGAATTACTTGAAGCACTATGAGTGCAAGTGAACAAGAACCAGAAGTAGGGCATCATAGGATTAGCAGTGACACTGTGAACCTTCATGGGTCAACAGTGTTAGAGAGAGAGTGGCAACACATGAAGGAGAATAGGAGGAGCACTACATAAAATGCAGGGGTAATGGTGAGGAATAATGAGTAACATGTCATTTACATCCCCTGATGTTCATCTGAGGAACTTGAAACCAGGAGGGGTTTGGCACTTTTTTTTGGCAATGCAAACAATAACAAATGTGTACTCCGATATTCAGGTAGATTGAGGATGAAAATACAACAATCAAAAGAGAGAACCAGGGGCATTACAAAGTTCTAAACATCTTTCAGAATTCCAAGCACAAACTTTCAGCAGAGCCATACGGTTGGGGTTTAACAAGCTGTTATCATAAAACTTAGCTATTGACAGAGACTTAACAATCAGCAAAAACTTGTTTGGCAGACGACTGACAAATTCATTCAGAACAAGGAATATAAAATATAATAAAACCTATAATTGAAAATTTAAACTTCGGAGTAGGACTGAATGAGGGCCCCTTTTCAGTATGACTCGGTGAAATGCTGCAGTTTTGATTGTTGTCAACTGTAGAGAGCTCATTTAGAGCTGGAATGAAATCTGGAGCTCATGCCACTCTGAAATACAATCGTAAGGATAGAAAACGGAGGCAGGACCAAAGAAAAAAGCGGATGTGTCGCTTTGATGGGAATTAGATCAATGAGATGCACTTAGAGAGTGTACCATGGAGACAGTTGGACCACGGCTTATACCGGTAGTTTTTCTGGCGGAGTCTTGTAAAAGATAAAATTGCGGTAGATATTGCGTGACATTAAAACTTAAGTACCTTTCGGTGAGCCGGTTTGGCGATCTTTAAGTCGCCTGAAATCCAAAATGTCGCCATAAGGTTTGAAAAGGTCTTCGATTTCGTCGTCTTCCATAAGTTTACTACACACGACAAACAGTCTAGAATTTGGTGGGTCATCGTTCCGTGAATCTGCCATCACTACACAAAGTTATCAACTTCCCGAAAGCGATTTATAATTAACAAGAAAAGAGTTAAATTAGGGACAAGAACTCGAAAAACATATGAATTCAACTTCAGCTAAGTATTTGTGGACCACTTGCGTAGACTACGTTGCATCTTTTCTGATCTTTCGCAAATAAATGAAATCGGAACGCTAGTAAAGTGGAACCGCCAGCGCTGATTGGTGTTTGCCCAGTTCATTCTTTGTTTTGAATTGAGGAATTATACGGAAACATTGAACCGGAAACGACCCGCATCGAACAGCGGGCATTTCAAAATTTCACCGGATATCCTGTTATGTGATTTCCCCGAAAAGGTTCGCCTTTACCACGTCTTGCGAACGAGAGTACCTTCACGTTATTTCTTCGGTATTTGAATTCGAGTAGTGATATTATAATTTTATGTCGATAATTCCAAGACCGGCAGGGAGGGGCGGAAATGTTGTTTGCAGTATTAACTGGCGAGCATGTGAGTCATGTGACTGATGCAACGTTGTTATGTTACGTCGGTATTTTTCTCTAAGTGAAAACAGGATCAGCAAATTGAATTGCGGGCTGAGTGGCGACCCCTACTTTTATGAGTCGTCTCTGATTAGCTGATCCGCCTGGTGCCTACTTTCTGGGGCCCTTCCAGAAAGTAACACGGGGCTCATTTCTCATCGAAAATATTTTGAAAAAGAAGGAAAAATTTTCCGTCGGAGGTTACAGAAATCAATTCTCCAGATTTTTCGCAAGAAATTGATGGGTGATACATGCCACTTTTTTCTCGAACACCAAACAGTTCGACTTGGAATTTTGTTTTTTCAACTTGAAATGGACCGAGTTCATCAGAAAGGAACCTACCCACATTTTCGAAAAAATTGAGTTTAGAGTGTTTTTGAGTCCCACTGGTCGTACATCGATGGTGAAAGTGCAGAAGTGCGTATCTCAATTTTTGACAGTGTTGAGTTAGCTGCTCGGAAATTTTTAAACATTGCATGGCGCTTGTGATACTTTGGCCGGAAGGGGACGATCTATCGATAGGTTCGCAATGTTTTTACCAGTTCATCGTAAGCTCATGAATCAAAGGTAATTGTTTGCTATTATTATAGATATTACTTTTCGCACTCACCGGTATATTGTGGTAGTTTCTAGGATTTTTCTGTGGAAGATACCTAGAGCCTCCAAAAACACCATACTATGGACCTTGGCGGAAAGTATCATTCCTTTGCGGGCATGAAATGGAAGAGTAATGAACTGAAAGGCAAAGGCAGGGGCTAATAAAGTGGGTCACTCGTTAATCACACCCGTGCAATATGCTGAGTGTTGAACGAGGTAAATCGTCTTCACATCGAAAACGGGTTATTTGCGCTGGTTACAGAATCTTGTTTTAATGCTTGATGAGGGTTCCATGGATGTCCGCGTTGCATACGCACGGACTTGAAGGCGTTTTGACTGACCATGCTCATCACCGCTTCATCCGCGGCACGGCTTGTCTCTGGGCACGGCGCACAGTGGAACGAACTTATAGAAGCGGTCGGAAATTTTTGGCTAAAATTTCATATCTTTATGTTTATTTCGTCACAAATTCAATTTCAAAAGGTGTTTACGAGAGGAAGTTTCACGAAATAAACCAATGAAACTACCCTCAAACTGTTTTGTATCATTTTTTTGAAAATATAAGCTTCTTCCGATTTTGTCCGACTTCTTCCATTGATTCGACCGCGGGTGAAGCGGTTAGTGCCTGGATAGTCAAAACGCCTTCAAGTCAGTGCGTATGCAACACGGACATCCAGAGACCTCGAATAGTTGCATCCAGGCGTTATAATGATATACATTTAGTGTTCATCGCTTGCTGTTTTTGTAAACAAATTGTAGATGGTATGGATCGTATTCTATACATCGAATGGGCGAGATTGTAGCGATATCGATTGGTTCAACATGTAGCCTCAGAAGTCATAATCTGAGAGATCGCGCGGGTTTTTTGTTATAGTTTTTTTTTTATTATTATTATTTAAGTACAAAATGGCAATAGAAAGGGAACTTATTAGGAATTTTCTCAATTCAGCTTTTCTAACTTAAACCCTAAAGTTTTTGTTTGAGGATATATGTTCTATATACTGTTTTGAGCCAAACGATACATCGGACCACAATCAAATTCGATCCATTCTCTTTCTTTTTGGTGTCGAATAATCCCTGGCCGTAGCTCTCTCTTGTCTTTCGTATTATTAATATACGATACAAAAAAATGTGAAGAATAAGTACTTTTGCAGGAGGTCAACCAAGGGAGAGCATTAAGAAAAGTCCTCGATCCCCCCGATGAAATCACTTTTATCTAGCGTTGATGGAAGGGGAGGTAGTGAAAGTTCCCCGGAGGCACAAAATCTATCTCATCGGCTTGATTTTTTGTTCATACCTGCCCATTTCTCGCTCTCTTATTGAAGCAACTAACAAGGCTTAAGACAAAATCAAAGGTCAATCAATACGGCTTTACAACTTCGAGCTATCGAAGTTTCCGAACTTTGTGGGTGTACTAGGTAACCATGAGATAGACTTATGTGATTATTACGACTTTGTACACAGCCGAGCTTTTATCGCCCGAGCTCGAGGAACCACCCCAATTCCTTCGCTTTTCGTCTCCCTTGAGAACTTATGCTTTGAAAGCGCAATCGAGTTTCCGGGAAATAGGAATTTACAGGTTTTCTATTTCTGCCAGACGTGTTTCACATACAGTTGAACCGCGTTTAGTAATAAGGGCCCAGGTTACATCAGCTATTGCCAAATTTAACCGGGCAGTTTAATTGTTCAAAAGAGAATGTTTGTGCGGATATCCTCGACAATTTTGAAGGAATTTGTTTTATACTTCGCAGAAAATTCACTGAAATTTGCACGAAAATCTGCACAAATCCGTGAAAAAATTGAATTGCTCAAATACATTTGGTAATGGCTGATGCTGATTGATTCCTTTCTGCTAGAGTACCTGTATAGCGAGAGTATAGACACATGTGAAACTCCGAAAATCCGTCAGGCTTTCACCGATACCTCCGCAAATAAAGTTTGGGCCCAAAAATGCAGCCCACCTAATTAATAATCGGAACTTTGCAAAACGATATTCCGGGTATCGGAACTTGGCTGTTTTGAAAACGCCTTCAAATGAGGCGTGATACCTTACGCATTCCGGAGAGTTCAAATAGTTGTATCATTGCGCCTTAGAAATGCGACAGAAGATTACAATTGAAATAGCCTTCATACACGCTGGCCTTTTCGATTTCCGTTAACATTTTTGCAGTCATGAATGTATAGCTAAAATGCGCTTCAGCTAAAATCGCCTATAGCAAATTGGTGTTTTTTATAGGAGGATAATATATAAACAAGTGATTAGAAATGAAAACAAAATAATATGAACTATGCAAAACGATAATCCAGGTATCGGAACTTGGCAGGTTTGAAAACGCCTTCAAATGCGGCGTGATACCTTACGCATTCCGGAGAGTTCAAATAGTTGTATCATTGCGCCTTAGAAATGCGACAGAAGATTACAATTGAAATAGCCTTCATACACGCTGGCCTTTTCGATTTCCGTAAACATTTTTGCAGTCGTGAATGCATAGCTGAAGTGCGCTCATGCCAGAAGTGTATTCAGCAAATGAGTAGTTTTTATAGGAGAATTTAAAATAAACAAATGGTGGGAAATAAAACATAATAATAGGAACTTTGCAAAACGATAATCCGGGTATCGGAACTTGGCTGGGTTGAAAACGCCTTCAAATGCGGCGTGCTACCTCACGCATTCTGGAGAGTTCAAATAGTTGTATCATTGCGCCTTAGAAATGCGACGGAAGATTACAATTGAAATAGCCTTCATGCACGCTGGCCTTTTCGATTTCCGTATACATTTTTGCAGTCGTGAATGCATAGCTGAAGTGCGCTCCAGCCAGAAGTGTATTCAGCAAATGAGTAGTTTTTATAGGAGGATTGAAAACAAACAAATGGTAGGAAATAAAACATAATAACCTATGAATTTCAATTATCCAGAGCGCATTAATAATACAATTGTTACGAACCATCGTTTATGAAGCACGTATTCGACTTAGTTTTTGCGTAAATTTACTCATTTTTGCGGAAGAACGCTCATTTATGTACATTCTTAGCCATCTTGGTTAGAATTGGAATCTGCACACTGGCAGTGAAATGTTGTATGTACGTTAGAAGTTGGTTAGAAGGGTGGCTGCACTTTTGGGCCCTAAGCCCTCCATGAAACGATTTGTCCATACTCTCGCTGTAATAGGCACTCTTCTCTCTGCTTAACGCAGTCCAGTTTTTCTTCTTCTTTGTTTCTCCATTATTCTGAAAAGGTTGTAAATGCAGACTGAATCTTCGAGAGAGGAGGCCAAAGATTTTGGATACGACTAGATGTACAAGCAGCCACGAAATTTTTTTTTTTTTTTAATTTGTAGCTGTGAAGATTTCGCGAATTAAAGAGATATTTTTTTTTAAAATTGCAAATGACGCAGAAGTCACGAAGAGGACACTAGTAAAAGTCTGAAATTTCCTCCAAACTTCACAATGTCAATGTTAGGAACAATACCACGTCACTGACAGTTTTGACTGAAAATAAGTTAGCGACTTTACCTACAGTATCAAATGCGCTAGCTGATGTTTTTAGTTTTTCCAAATCACGCATGGGAGTGATGTAATGACGCTGTAATGTATACAAAAAATTGCAAATAGAACCTCAAAATTACAACATGATTTGTCCGCACAGTAAAATTGTCAGTTTGCAAATAAGCGATATTGTTCATTAGCCATCGATAAAGGTTCGACAGAAATTCGTGAATGTTTAAGCTGATCAATTCAAAATATTTTCTGGGATGAAGACATGATTTGAAGCAAATGAGTCACCCTGGTCTCCACCAGGGAAACCGTAATTCATATGTCTATGAATTTTCCCTCTACCATCAAGAATAAACCTACAAAATGTCAGGGTTGAATGTTGTTTAGATTTCGGTTAAAAAGTAAAAGACGAGAGAAAGTTAGGCGAACAGTATCCAAAAGAGTAAATGCTTAAAAATGAAAACCCTACAAAAGAGAAATGCATACCTAATGATACCGCGAGGAACAATTGACGCGACTGATTCCAAAAGCGCAATTACAAATATAAAGTAAAACGGTAAAAGAAAGGTACGCATGATTTTTCTCAACGCTCTACTCAGCATTTTACACGAGGCATTTCAGACCGGCTTTTTTTAGACCGACAGTGAAAACGCCTTCAATTCAGTGCGTATGCAACACGGACATCCGCAGAGCTCGAATAGTTGCATCCAGGTGTTGCATGAAATTCATTTAGTATTCGTTGCGCGATACTAATTGAGGCTGATTTGTTTAAGTCTCTTATACATTTACCTAATTCCAGTGTTGCCTCTTGTGCTGATTAACTTTCTGATTAGTGGTTGAAATCACTTATTACTGATTTCAATTGCGACTTAGTCATTTTCCCAAAAAATGCTTCAATCGTTTGAAAGTATTAGGACGTTGTAAGTCTTTGAAATGGCAAAATATTTGGGTAAAATGGCATGATTTGCAGAGCTTTATTTAATCTTCTTTAATAAATTGTGTTTATAATGGTCTACAGTAAATATGTATAGTGCGTAATATATAGTGACTATGTAAATAGTAAAAGTAATAACGTTTATATACTTGTAAAAATCATGTTACTAATCTGCGTTTTTCCTCCTAAAATGTGGGTTTCGGCCCCTACATTCACTAATCTAAGAATAACAAATCGACGGTGAAACTACCAAACCACGTATCTCGGTTTGCGACGTCGCAGACTTCCTGTCATACTTTATTTTTTAAATGAAAAACTACTTAACGTAAAGTCTTGAAAATTTCTGTGATTTTTCCTCTTCGTGCGGAGAAAATTCTGTGAAAATTTCAAGGAATGATATTGATTTGGTCTACTTCAAAAAAATAAAATGCGAGCGTAGATTTTTAAACACCGCAAACGAGATACGTGGTTTGGTAGTTTCACCGTCGAAATGTTTCGTCCCTGCCATGGAGAATTCAAGAATATTTTTGGGGGAGGACCGAACATATTTGATCCCACTAAAGAGTTGAAGAAAATTTCAGCCAGATATGTAAATTTATGGTCGGTTCAGATCCCAAAAAAGCAGGATCCAAAGCATGTATTCTAATAGATCCAAACAAATTTCTAACATGGATAAAGTTTTTATTATTGTTTGTTTTTCTCCAAGGGCAATCATTTGTGGAGGACTCCCCGCTTTTAGACGTATTTCTGCCAAACGGAACTAAATGCATTTAGACATGAGCCTTGAGACCCATAGGAATACATGCATAACAGGGCTCACATCATAATGCCCATAGTTTCGTTTGGCAAAATACATCTAATTAGGCGATAAGTTTAGACGATACTCGTTAAATCCGTTCATGTCTAAAAGGTACCTTGCTTCAATGAAAATAAATTATCCTATAAGTGAGACACCTTGTCTCGATAAATTTCGACGGTTTCACTTACATATTTTATGAACAAAACAGTTTTCCTGACTAAGAAACATCGCAGTGGCAATCCTTGAAAGTTGGCAACGCCGCTTTTCCTCCGTTTAGATGTATGTAAAACAATCGATTCTCGATGAGGCCGTCTCACCTCAAATCGATATATTCAATGACTGTAAATAGATTGTTAACAGTATTTTCATCTTGCTGGAATCGCCACTGTTCGGACGGTACACAGTGGATCGAGTCAATTAGAGAGGTCGGACATGAAATTTGTGACTAAAACTTCAAATTTCAATGTTTTTTTCGTAACATTTTACATTTCAAGGGGTGCTTTAGGTAGAAAATTTCACGAGGAAACCAATGAAACCACTTTCAGAGTCTCAGAGTTATAAACGGAGTTACAAGTGTTAATAAAGTTTCCAAATTTTGTCCGACATCTCCTAATTGACTCGATCCACTGTGCGGCAATCTGACCACAACACGATTCCGAAACCCAGTATACTGGGAAAAAAAGATTGGTAGAATTTACCATTCCTTCACGCTGTATTTCACACAGCGTGAATAAATGGTACATATTCTATCAATCCTCAAGTCGATTATTCTGCCAAAGGAATGATTACTTGTGCACGGAGAAAAAAACTTCGTGCATGGAACCCGAAGTTGAGCTCATATGGATCTCTGAAGTTTTCTGATCACGCATCCGAAAACTTGAGGTCGAGCTGCCGAAGTTCGGGTCAGACATCGAGGCACTTCGATATATACCGGAGAAGATCAAATGTGTGACCCGAACCCTTCGGTATATATCGAGGTACTTCAGATGTCTGACTCGAACTTCGGCAGCTCGACCTCGAGTTTTTGAATGCGTCATCCGAAAACTTCAGAGATCCATTTGACCACAACTTCGGGTCCCACGCACGAAGTTTTTTTCTCCGTGTGCCAGTATATAGTAACGTTTACCTTTCTCCTGGCAGAATTGACTCTGAACTGACTCTGTGTGAAATACAGCGTGAAGGAATGGTGAATTCTACCAATTTTTTTTTCAGTGTAATATAATGCGTCCTGTTTATGCAGGGGGTTGGAAAAACCGAAAAAGGCCTCTAAACGTGAGTCTCAACGAGTTGTCAAGCGGGCGACTCCGCAATCCTGCCTCGGACCGTGCAGGATCGAGCGCGTAGGAAGGAGGGGTCAGCAGGGGACGGGAAGATCAACAGTAGAGTTGATAAGGATGTAGTAAGGATACCACCCAACATATTCTCCAACTTAATGAATGGAAGAATGAAACACGTGGAACGCGAACGCCAGTGCATGCGCCCATACACACTCCCCCCTCCCCCACCCTCCCGACGCCGAGGATAATCACNGGGGGGGGGGGGGGGGGGAGGCAATGATACGCTCCGACGGAAAGCTCATTCAAAGGTTCCCAAAAGCTCCGGCCGACCAGACGCGCGCGGTGCCCTCCCGTCCCGGTGTCGACTCCCCGCTGAATTATCTCACGTGTTTGTTTTGGTGACGTCATCATCAACGTGGATTCGCGGTGACGTCATAGTGGATTTTAGTGGCGGCAGTAATGAATTTGACGTCGACCGTCCGAGGGTTGTATCGGAGAAGGTTGTTCATCCACGTGAACAAGTTCGTGCGGATAAAGATACATAACCTGGTCGATGGTTGCAGACAAACCGAGATTCGTATCGAGATTAAGTTCAAACGTTAAGTGCTCCGCCATGGAGGTGCTGTTCTTGAATCGGGAAGACTTATTCGCGTGTAACCGTTACAGAAAACTAGCGGAAAGAGAGTTGGAAGCGTAAGTACGGTCGACTTCGGACTGTCACTGGAGATCCTTTATAACTGGTCAGCCTCAAGATCGCAATTTGAAAGAGAAATCTGAGAGGAAATTACTGTGAAATGAATATATTGGCACAGAACCGTGACAGAAAACCAGCCGAAAGAGAAAGTTCCTGATGGGAAATATTTCTTTATTTCGAATTTAATCAATTTTCAAGTGTGACTTAAAAAACCCGCGAAACTGGTTTGCTATAAGACCAAAGTTTAAAGGGTGAAATTGGTTTGGGTGTTATTTGTAAGCACATGCGTTTACAAGTGATACTAGCTCGCTTATTTTCGGAATTATCTAACGATCGTGGACTCATTGAAACTGATCTGCCTCAAACTGAAAATTCGAAGGGTGGAAATGAGTTCAGAGTGGAAATAGCACAGGAATAAATACACCGAGTAATCATAGCACGATTCCTTGCAGCATTGTTTAAGAATCGTGAACCCGGTTTCAGCGGTCACAACTCGAGGCTCGAACGTAACTCAAATAAATTCAGCGAATCGATGAATATTTATAATTTCCAGCGAAAATTAATTATGAAAAACGCCACTCGGCGGTTGACCGAGCTCAGCGGTGCGGACTCGCGGTGTGCCAGACGGGCGGTCGTTTTCTTTTCAGTTTAGGGATTTTCCTCGCGAAAAAGTGCGCAAAAGAACGGTGTTTCCATTAATTGATTCATGCGTTGGCACGTCTCGGAGTTGTATTTTAGTTCGTAATCGTAAAATTTCGATGAGGAGATATTTTAGTTTACACCTATTGAGTCAGTTCTCTTGAAACTCGCCCGCCGTGAATATACTTCATTGAGTGCGTTTTTATTGAATAGTGACTAAATCCGCCCCGTTGAGGAACATCAGGCACAGAGTGAAGTCCAAGATCAGCCAAATGAATGACGCGCCTTAAAGGACCCACCTCACCCATTGCCGTCAGGATCACGTTTAACTCTGCCGCTGGGTGAGTGCGATATTAACAGTATTTTGCTGAAGAAAATGATCAAAAAGAGCCTTAAAACACTGCCGTGCTAAGGGAAAAGCCGTGTGAGCCTTCAGGCGTTGCCAAATTTTTCCTGGCAAATCACTAATTTCCAGGAAATTGTTTGAATATTTTTCTGCCAATTTCTCTGATAATTTTGATTGTAATTTGATCCAAAGTTTCTGAAAATTTCAGGGAAAAATATTCACGATTTTCCTCAAAAAGAAACATTTTATCGAAAGAAATTTGACAACTCTCGAATGTTCACACGGCGTTCTTCCTTAGCACGCCAGAACACTGCCCATACAGCGGCCGTGATAGCGAAGAGAGCCATAACTCTCAAATTTTCGAAATCTAGTCTCTTGCAAAATGCGTCTAATCTCTTTTTAGATGAAGTCACTGAAACAGCTAAAACCGCACAAGTCGTCTTATTTGTATGAAAACGAGACATATCAACGACAGTGAAACTACTAAACCACGTATCTCGTTTGCGTTGTTTCAAAATCTCCGCTCCCATTTTATTTATTTATTTATTTATTTTTTTGAAGGACATCATTTTTTGAAATTTTTGAAGAGTTTTCCTCGCATAGAGAGGAAAAAATATACGGACGTTTTCAAGAAGTAACGTTGTATCAAGTAGTTTTCAATTTAAATAATAAAGTATGTCAGAAAGTCTACAAAGTCGCAAACCCAGATGAGTGGTCACCGTTGATGTGAGAAAGCCGTAAGTGCGCAAAAATTGACGTAGTTTCAGAAAAAAACAGTCGTAAAAAGTATTCCGCTAGAGAGCCTATGAGAACAGTGCTTCTAAGTAAAATGCCGCCCTTTTCTGCCAATTTCTAGCCCACAAATTTTCTTGTTGTGCGTCCAAAACGCAACTACTAAAGCATACAGAAGACAGTACTTACGGCTGTCATGCCCAGACAATAGCATGACCGGATTTACCTACTGTTGCCCATGGGCCGCATGTATTTTGCCGCCCTCTTCTCATTCATTTTGAAACATCAATAAAAACCATCAAGTGAACGTGCCGGAGGGAGAAGGGTGCATAAGACGCGTTCACTCGTGTTGGACACATCTTTTGCGTAAGCCCTGTCAACATTACTCGCAAAAGTTCACGGAACTTCGCGCGAAAGTTCAGTTCCGTAAACCTATCTCTGTGTGGACAAGGCCTTTCATTTGTAAGAAATGAACTAAAAAATTAAGAAAGAACAAACATACATGTGGTTTAATAATTTTAACTTCCGCCGCCGCGCCGTGCCGCGCTGGCGCAATGCGTGAAGTATTCATGTAGCCTTGTAGGCACTGTGCGTTTCGCGCCGCGTCGACCGCTGTTGACCGTACTGTGTTTGATGCAATGCGTGAAGTATTCATGCAGTCTCGTAGGCGCTAATATGTGTTACATGCCGACCGCCGCGCCGAGGGCTTCTCCTTTTCATCTCAAGTTTTCGTCATCATTTCTCTCTGCGCCGCGCCACTCCAGGCCAAATTACGTGTTTGGTTTCTCTCTTAACTCAACTAATTAAAGGCGCGCAGTCTTTTGTATCACCGAAAGAGACAAAATTAGAAATTAATGAACTCTCAGGAAATGAGAGATTTTGTTACCTTTTCTTGTTTATAATTTTATTCTGAATCCGATTTTTTTATACCTGCATTTAAAAAAAGTATAGCTTATAGCTTATAGATATAGTATAGCTTATAGTATAGATTGAGGGGCTTGGAGGATAAGTCTCATAAGTTCAGTTTTTGCGATTTCAATGAATACGTGGTTTAAGTTTCAAAATTACATGGAGCTTCATGGCGGAATGGAAGTTTCAACTCATTTTTTGATGCTTTAAAGTTGGATTGTAGTTGTTTTTTCACAGAATATCCTTTCAACCTAGTTTTAGTTAAATTCATAGATATCTCAATTTTTTGAAAAATTGCACTTATTATGTTCTCCAAGCCCCTCAATTGTCCCCCCCTTCCCCAAAAGAAGTATTGGTCACAAATCTTCATAGGTATGAGTTTCATAATTTCTATTCAATGATTTCTCCTGCGATAAAAATCTTAAAAAATGTTTGATTTTAATTAAGAATAAAGTTAAGAATTAAATCGCTAAAATTTAAAAAAAAACTCAAATCTTTCCATACTTAATTTTTATCACGGACGACGTTTCGAAGCGACGATAATGCGACTGCACTATCACACTATCACCGTTGCAAAGGGGAGGGGGGGGGGACTCTCCGAAACGCCCCACAGTGGACCGAGTCAATTGTAGACTTCGAGCAAGAAATTTTTGACCAAAGCTGCAAATTTTGATATTTATTTCGTCACATTTTAAATTTTAAGGGGTGGCTCTGGAAGAGCATTACACGAGGAAACCCTTTTAGAGCCTTAAAGTTTTGTATAAACGGAGTTATAAGTGTTTAAAGATTCCGAATTTCGTCCGACCTCTTCTATTGACTCGAATTCTCCACTGTGCGTCGTTCGAGACAAAAATTAAATATGGAAAGTTTTCAGTTGTCTAAATTTTCGCGATTTTATTCTTAATTTCAGTGAACTTTTCCTGTTTTTTAACCTTATTTTCATCGTCAGTCCAATTTTAGCTTGTGCAGATTTTGTTTAATACATAAGAATTAATCATTCATTCATAAACTCCAACATTTTTTAAACATGGTTCTGCTGCCGAGGGAGTGAATCCAAGAGCAGTTTTTTTCTCGGTGATCGAGAGAAATAAATAATAAGTGCATCGCATTGAAAAAGCATGAAAAGTTTCATAAAAACTTTCCTCGGCATTAATTTAGTTTGAGCTATTACCTAAGCCGTTGAAACTATTCTATCACGCATTTTGCCCCAGGCGCGCAGCTTTCCCGGAAAAGACGGATAGCGTGCGAAGGATGAGAGCAAAAGTCCACCATTACTGCCGTGCTAAGGAAGAACGCCGTATGAACATTCGAGAGTTGCCGAGTTTCCCGGAATGAAACGTGTCTTTTTGACGAAATTTATGTATGTTTGTGCTTAAAATTTTCAGATATTTTGCGAACAAAATAGTCTGAAAAATTGGAAGAAAAATATTTACAATTTCCACAATAAATTCGTATTTTATAAGAAAACATCGGGCAACGCATGGAAGTTTATACGGCGTTTTTCCTTAGCATGGCAGAGTAGCGACCACCTTTTCCTCCTTGCAGTGCTCCCGTTTTGAATAACGATAAAAACCTTTTAAAAGCACCCCTCTGATTCATCGAGGGAAAAAATTAAATGTTGATTTCAATTAAAATGTTAAAAAAAAGTCCGTTGAGTTTAAAATGCTGCTTTTACAATACGAAAATGCTAACTCGACATTTGAATTTGTTCATTTTACTACGAGCGTAGTTAAATTTGAGTTAAGTAAGAATAAGAGTTAGTCTTTATTAAAATTGATCTAAGGAATTTATTATCCTACAATGAGAAAAACTTTGATTTAAATTAAAGAGGAATTGGTGCTCCATGTGAACTCTTAACCGTAGGCTCTTAATTTTAGTAGCTTTGACCAATAATACTGACATATTTTGACCATTAATTGATAATTCTCCTGAATAGTGGTAAAATTATCATCTAACTGATTATAATTTTTCATTATACCACACTGAGTGATAATTTTACCGAAGTAACGATAAAATTATCATTTATATTTGTAAAAATACTACTAATATTGGTTATGAATGCTGTTGATTGAGAAATAATATGGAACACCATTAGCCCTCACTGGCATGAGTTAATTTTGGATGCCAGATTCTGGAGGGCACTAATCTATTTTGTAGCATACATTCAAAACATATGAGTACCAAATTTTTTATTCAAAATTTAAAAATGTTGGGAATCAGTTATTCAAAAAAAGACATGACTGTTGAAAATTTGCATCATCATGCTACAAAGGAAATATCCAATTTTTAAAAACTCAAAAAATATGCTGTTACGAATCCGTAACGCTGTGCCATGGAGGGTTAACGCGATAATTTTATTTAAAGTATTTCTTGGTTTAAAATTACGGGAGCTAGCGTAAACGAGATGGCAAGCCGCAACGCGTCTTCCCGCTCTGGAAAAAAAGTCGCTTGGATCTAGAGTCCAGACTCGTAATAACTTCGACAAGAATATACTTTTGATTCAATACAACTTTTCCTTAAATCGAAGAGCCAAGCTCCTTGATCTAGGCGGCTTTCCTTTTGATTCAAGCAAAGAGTCCGATTGAATCAAGAGTATTTTTTCTTGTCAATGTTTTTAAGAGACTGGACTCTGCACTGAAAAAAAAATTCTCGGCGTTTTTACCAAGGTCCGTTGGTACCTTTACCATCTCACTTTTTTTACCAATTATTGGTAATTTTACCAAGATAGACTGGTAAGCTTACCTAAAAACCGGTATTTTTACTGTTTTTTTCAGGTAAGAATACCACTTTTATTGGTAATCAATTCCCGGTAACTTTGCCATTTTATCCCGGTAATTTTACCACAGCCGATAAAAAATATTGGCATTTTTACCAAGGTCCAGTAAAGTTACCGAGAAAGCTCAACAATTTTACCGAGATTTCTTGGTAAAATTACCAATTCCATAAATGGTAATTTTACCAAGAAAAAACTGGGATCAAATAGAAGCCTGAATTCTTGGTAATTTTACCCTTTTCTTAGTAAATACACCGACATTTTTTTTTCAGTTTGGATCCAAGCAACTATTTTTTCCAGTGCTCCGTAAGCCGGAACGAAAGTTACATTCCGCACTGCATCTTCGATTCTCCCCGCTTCCGAGCGGCTCTGTGTTTGTCATTGAGATGTGGCGACTCCAGCTCCAATACTCGAGGGATGGTACCTACTTGCGGGAAAAGTGAAGACTGAAGAGGTATTGGCTATTCATTTTGAGTCAACCTCCCGGTAACTGAGAGGATCGAGTCCGCATGAATAATTCAGGCATGGATGCTGCAGTTATTATTTTTGCACGATTCTTGAATCAACCGTCGCGTCATTAG